AATAAACACCCTTGGAATCATCTTCTAAGAATATATCCAGATCCACATGTCTGCAACATTTTCATTGTATCCATGGTGCCCTCCAAAATCCAAAAAGCCTTCAAGCCATCATCTTCCTGCTGAGCTTCTGAAAAACCCACACTTCCAACGGCCTTCACAAGAGTTTTGGGTGAAGGCTGGCCCATATGGCTGTCCAATACATATACAAACTTTTGCTTCATTGACTTCGGTGATCCCTGCGGCAGAAGGATCACCAGTGACGCACAGCAATGTCATTCGTGAGACTGAGCGCCAAGAATGTGATCCGGATCCTCCACTGCAAACATCTCCACTCTCATATTCTGGGACAAGCCAAGTAGTGTTCCTCTTTGCGCACTGCTCTCATAGAAAGATGATCAAGAGATGGTATGATGAAGCATACTTAACTTGATCGCACAATTTCCATGACTAGCAGTTCTTCCGTTTCGTTTCAGCTGAAAGTAGTGTGCATTTCTTTCGATCAATCTAAAACTTGCAAAGACTTTACCTGGACCAGGTGGCTGAAGAAAACGTCTATTTTAAATTGCAAAAAGCTTGATCCATGCCTCGCTGGTTCCCTGACACAACAAAGCCACTGTAATCAACCAATTGGATCAAGTTTAATTTTAATATAGATATATTATTTTCCAATTTAATGATTTCTATTTTTGGCTAAAATTTTAAGGACCACTACATGTTTCCTTCTCGAATAAATTGCAAAATGCGGCAAACAAGAGCGATGCCTTCTCTGAGCTCGTCCGTCTGTGAGGAATGGCTGGCATGCACTTTTGGTTGCTAGCTCAAACAGGTCTCTAACATTTTCTTGTGGCTCGCTGTCACTAAAATTCGTTTTTAACTATTGCTAGTTCTTCATCGTCCAATTTGATGAGGCCAAGAACATCTCTCCCAATATTTCTCCAAGGTAGCGGATAAGGTGCGCAGTTGGATTCACCCATGCCTTTACACCCTTTCTCAGGACAGAGGCAATGTTATTGGGGTAACTTACTACAAAGGCACAATCCAAAGCAGCCTGATAAGCTTATTTTGGATCATCACATATCTCGATTGACAAACTGAGAGCCTTGTAAGAACTTCCTTCTCGTAAACATATGGTTTTTCAGCAACGTCTGGATGCTCGTCGATTATATCGCGGAAGATCTTCTGTCCACGATAGCACCTTCTCAAACACCCCAATCCCACGTTTATAGCCCAAAGTTTTCATCGTGTCCATGGTGTCCAAAATCGTATCACAGACAAAATGATCTTTACAGTCAAAAGAAAATGCAATCGCTCGCGTGAAAGTCTCCTCATCACACGTCTCATCCAAAGATTCCAGCGCCTTGAATGCCAAGCGTTCGTCAAGAAGCCTTCGGACCATTGTGTTATTGCGCCTCTTCCCGCTCAGATTGTGAAAAATCAACGCGTCAAGCGGCAAGTCCGAGAAGAGTTGTGGACATTCTTCGTGGCGGCCAAGCCCATGGCACAGATGCCTGTCCAATTCCAGCTTTTCTACCACCACCCACGCACTTTGCATCTTTCCAGCCCTAACTCGACTTACCACCTTTGTATATATAATATATCGCATCTTAACCAGGTTTTACCACCTTTGACTTATAACTTCTTAATCCTTCAGGAAATTCTTGCAAAGCTCACTAAGCTGCTGCCTATCCTCTTTAGCCGCTTCTAGCGAAGCCTTTGCTTCATTGGCTTCAGTGATCTGTGAGGCAAATAGGATCAAATCCAAGTAAAGAAAAGCAACTTACCGAGAGAGCCTGCGAGGCACGACGCGATTCGATTATGTCGAGCAGCACATCCTTGGTGAACTCCGGGTGGCCTTGAATGCCAAGAATGTGATCCTCCACCGCAAACATCTCCACTCTCGTGTTCTGGGACGAGCCAAGCAGTGTTCCTCCCGGCGGCAGCTCAAGAACCTTGGATTCAAATAGATGATCGATCCAGGCAAGAGATGATAACGAATCACACTTACTTGATCGCGATGGCTTTGCAGGACTCGCAGTCTCTTCGGGATGTTCCTTCCATATCGCTTCAGCTGAAAGTGGTCGTTAGTGTACATTTCTTTCAAGCCAACTTCCCATCCCACGGGAGCTCTTCCAGTCACTCCTCCAAGCGCGCGGCTCAAAACCTTGAAAGAAACAACCAAAGCTCGCGACCGATCATAAACTTGCAAATGCTTTTACCTGGTGGCCGAAGCAAACGCCGAGAATTCTCTTTTTCTCTTCGTGTAGATCGCAAAGAACTCCACAGAGCTGCGTGATCCATGCCTCGTTCCCGTGCGCATCGTGCGCGCTCCCAGACACAACAAAGCCACTGTAATCAGCCAATTGTTCCTCGCTGGGGAAAATCCCATCCACAATGCGGAAAGTCTCCCATGTCTCACCAGGATGGCTCAAGAGCTTGACGAGCAGCGCTCCATAGCCGCCGTGCTTGCGCTCTGTGTAATCCGTGCCATAGCCAGCCACAAACACCGCGAATTTCTTGCCAGGAGCTCCCGCGGTGGCCGCCGCCGCCGCCACCGCTCCAGGGTGGAAGCTAGACGCGGCGGGAGAGACGAGCAGCCCCAAAACCATGCTAGGGCTCTTCTACAAAAATGCCAGGTCATCAAACTTTAAGCCACGTCATTCAGCTATTTTGCCACATATATATACATATTATATATGCTATTTTCCAACGCAGTTCCCACAGTTACCAGTTTTGAGGCAATCCGGATCATTTGCATAGCAGCCGTCACAAATACAGAAATCTAAATACAGCAGAATTTTATCTTTTAATACCTCGGTTCTAGCAAATACCCTACTGAATCAAAGTGGCCAGAGGTTATTTACAAGCCCAATTGGATCTTGGGAGTTCCCACAGTAACCAATTTCGAGGCAATCTGGATCATTTGCATAGCAGCCGTCACAAATGCAGTATTTATTGAATATTTTGTCATTGGTGTTATTGCAGTTGTGTTGAGGATGAATTTTAAAGGATTCTGAAACACCACATAAGAAATCTAGAATTTTATCTTTTCTTACCTTGAGTTCCAGTTCCATTGCTGCTAATTAGCAAGCAAAACAGTAGAACACAAACTAGAGTCCATGCCTTTGCCATCTTTGCTTCTTCCTTTTCTTCTGAGCAAATTGTGAGAAAGTGGTGCCATTTCATTCATGTATGTGATTTCCTGGGTTGCATCTGTGGGCACACTGATTTGTGATACCTTTCGAAAGTTGCTGAGTGGTTCTCGAGTTTTCCAAAGATGCTCAGTTTTGGCATATTAAATTTTAAGAGAAATTGCCTGCTCTACTCAATGGTTTGACTTATCTATTTAATATGTATATGATTTAATTAGTAACTATACATTTATAATTTTATTTTAAATGTATACATACGGATTTCGATACAAATAATCTAAAATGTTACGATTTAACTTTATAAACAGTAATTATGCTAAAACTTAAAACCAGCTACAACTCCTTGCGTTTTGAAATGGACAAAACGTATGTGCTTTGTGAACTCAGCCCTGGCGCTTGTCCTTAATTACAAACATAAATATAACTCTTCAGTCCTTTCACATAAAAGCCATGGCCAAGGTATCACTTGTAATTTGTGTTTTACTCGTTTGCTTGCTGGTAAGCAGCAGCGCATCTGATCAAGGTAAGGAATGGAACATCTACTCTATCATAATATTTCCTGTCTCCATATTTTTAATCTGTGAACTAGACATGGACTCTCGTGAGATTGATCCTCAACACCACGATCATTGTATTTGTGATGGCTGCTGGGCTGGAGAAACCGCTTGCGAGGTCAAGGGCGTGTGTGGCGAATGCGTTGGAAAAAAATAATCAAGCTTTTTAAACTGCTAATGTTATAGCAAACCAAAAGTCAATGTAATATCAAATCCATAGTTTCGATCTTTACCTGGAGAGAAACGCTCGAGAAGTCGCTAGACAAAACAGAAAGAAGATAAACCTCAGCGAGAACTTTGAAAAGACTTTCCTGGAGGAACCGACTCTGCCTCAAGTTGTAATTCTCGCCGCCTTCGTAGAAGCCAGTTGCGATGCATTTGTCTCCCGACAGACCAAGCGCACGCACGAGAGAGAGAGAGAGCCTGTAAGAAACTACGCCCCGCGAGCTGTAAGTAAGCTGGACCACATAAGCGATAGACATGAGAAGAATTTGATAAACTTACTTGTGTTGGCGCTCGACTAGACAAGTATGCCGACCTTCCACATAAAAAACCTTTGCACGAAGCAGCGTTGTCTCCTCACCGTGTTGAGTTGCCGCGCTATAAATTGCTCGCTTCGAAAGGTACTGGATACTTCTCTTTCTTCTCTCTGCCTTGAAGTTGTGGAATCGAGAGCTTCAGCTATGGCTAGAATTCCTGCTGGCTGCTTCTTCCTGATGGTAGTGCTGCTTCTCCAGATGCTCGCCGGTGCTCGATCGGCTTGTAACCAGGCTGAAATCTACGAGAAGTGTGTCCCCTGTGTCAAGTTTGGGTCCGTCATGGAGAAGCCCGACGTCAACTGTTGCAACGCCGCCAAAACGATGACTCCCGACTGCTTCTGCAGCATGCTGATTGCCACCAAAGGACGACGAGCAAATTCGGTGATGAAGTCTTACGTTTCCAGCTGCAAGTTTCGCGTTGCTCCAGGCTTCAAATGCTACTAAGTAGAGGTCTTCCTTCCTTCTTGATGTCTCTTTTTTTTTTCCATGTTCCTGTACATGTTGTCAGTGCTCTCTACTCTTGAACAAAGCAATAGAAAGTAAATATCTTACCTGAATGATCGATCTATCTCTCCATCATGTCGTCTGACGGCAGGCTGACTTTCTCGCTCTGTTGATCCGTCTTGTCGGTTAAGAGGAGAAGCTGCTTGGACTCCTCCTCCTCTCTGAGCAAGCTTTCTTGCAGGAGCTCGAGAAAAGCCACGACTTTACCCATGGAAGGACGTCTTGAAGGCCAATCGGAGGTGCAGTGAAGCGCCAGTTGCATCATTTGCACTAGAACTGGTCCCGAAGAGGGGCTCAAAGACACGAGCTCGCTGTCGAAAGTTTCCATGCCTTTGCCTTGCTGGTTCATAGCTTTCACCCATGTAGTCACGCTTACAATCTCTCCCAGGTTCCCCAAGACGAGTGGCTTTCTTCCCGTGAGCAGCTCCAGGAGAACGATGCCAAAGCTATACACGTCTGTTTTCTCCGAGAGTCTGCACGTCGAAACCACCTCCGGGGCGATATATCCCAAAGTTCCGGCTATGCCTGTCGTGAGATGAGTGGCATTGTTCTCGACGAGCCTCGCCAGTCCAAAGTCGGCGATGTGAGGCTCCATGTCCGAGTCTAGTAAAATGTTGCTCGACTTCACGTCCCGGTGGATGATTCTAGGCGAGCAGCCTTCGTGCAAGTAGAGTAGGCCTCGAGCAGTCCCCACAGCAATTCTAAGACGAGCCATCCAGCTTAACAACGTTGATGGAGAGGCAGAGGCGACACCACCACCGTGGAGCACGTCGTGCAAACTTCCACATGGCATGTAGTCGTAAAACAGGAGTTTTTCCTGAGCGCTGCAGTAGAACCCCTTGAGCGACATCAGGTTCCTGTGCTTGATGAGACCAAGAGTGCTTATCTCCGCTTCAAAAGATGGATCATTCGCAACGTTCTCGTTTCGCAGCCGCTTCACTGCCAAGTGCGAGCCATCGGGTAAAACTGCATCGTAGACGGCTCCAAAGCCGCCCTTTCCCAGCAAGTGGGAATCGTCAAAACCGCCTGTTGCAGCAACGATGTCGTCGTAGTCGCAAACAAAGTTGTTGACGAACACCACCATCTTGCCGGGAACATTTTCTGACGGATCATACGTGACTTGAACTGGACGCAAATGGAACCACTTGGCCAGCAAAACAACGAAGACCAGCACCGCCAACACTGCCACAGCCGGCCCGAGTACTGTAAGCCATTTCTTCCAGTTGTGAAAGTCTGCAAGCGTGTTAGCAGCCTCCCCTGTTGGATCTGCTGCTGAACACCTCGGGAAAGGGAGCGGAGGACCGCAGAGCCCGGTGTTTCTAGTAAAAGAATCCGCCTGGAACCTCAAGAAACTTCCGAGTCTCGGTATCTCCCCAACAAGCCCGTTGCTCGAGAGGTTGAGGAGCATCAAACTAGAGCAGTTGCAAAGAGTTGGCGGAATTGTACCAGTGAAGTTGTTCTTGTCCAGCAGCAGCACCCTTAAGAACAATAGAGAGCCAAGACTCGAAGGTATGTTGTCGGACAGTCGGTTAGAGCTCAGGACAAGCTCGCGAAGGTCACGTATCGCACCGACTCTGGCAGGAATGCTACCGGAAAGCATGTTTCCTTCCAAGTTCAGCACCTGTAGTTGAGCTAGCGAGTCCAAAGTTGGAGGTATGACTCCCGTCAGCTTGTTGTGGGCCATGCTTGCGAATTGGAGAATAGGAAGTGTTGTCAACTCCGTCGGAATCGAGCCTTTGAGAGCGTTATCGTTGAGAGCCAGGGATAGAAGGCTCTTGCAGAGCCCGATTTGCGGTGGAATCTTGCCTGTCAACCCGTTGAAGCTCATGTCTAACGTTTGAAGGTGCGTCAACAGGCCGAAACTTTCTGGTATGGTGCCTGTCAACCTGTTGTGTCCCAGCCGGATAGCAATTAAGCCCGAGCAGTTCCCCAAACTCGACGGTACTTTGCCTTCAAGTTGGTTGTTTTCCAAAACCAGAGAAGCCAGGAACGAAAGGCTACCGAGCTCCTCTGGAACAGTGCCCGTCAGGAGATTATCCGCAAGGTTGAGCACCGTCAAGAGCGAGCAGTTCCCAAGCTCGGGTGGAACAGGGCCAGAAAGATAATTTCCGCTCAAGTCCATGGCCGACTGGTCCGAAACAAAGTGGACGTGCTCTGGAAGGCTGGAGTAGAGAGGAAACTGCAGCAGACCGAGTTCTGGTGGGATTGCACCGCTTAAAGAATTGTTGTTGAGGAGAAGCTGCGACAGCCCGGTTAGAGAGCTCAGTTCTCGAGGAATTGTACTTGTGAGGTTGTTGTTTCCCAGGTTTAAAAACCGCAGCGACCGGAGCTGTCCAAGCTCCGGAGGAATACTTCCTTGAAGCTTGTTTTGCTGAAGAAAGAGTGCCTGCAAGTTTGGGAGGAAGCCGAGCTGCTTTGGAATGGAGCCCGTCAACTCGTTGAAATCGAGGTCCACCTGAGTGAGCATTTTGAGGTGCTCGAGGTCCGCTGGAATGTGTCCACTCAAGCTGTTGTTAGGAAGGTACATGAGCCGTAGCGAAAAGAGGAGGCCAACCTCGTATGGAATTGCTCCAGAAAGCCGATTGTATCCCAGTGACAGTACCTCCAAGCGAGAGAGAAGAGAAATATCTGGAGGGATCGGGCCGGACAGATTGTTGAACTGCAAGTCGAGATGAACCAACGACGTCATGTTCCCGAGCTCTGGAGGAATGCCGCCCGAGAGCTGGTTGGAGCTAAGTTCCAGAATCTCCAAGCTCTGTAAGTTTCCAATCTCTGGAGGGATCGGACCCTGGAGATTGTTGGAGAAGAGCCTGATAGCCGGAGGCCCGTTGAAGTACGCGTTGGTCGGATTCGAGGAGCAATACTTTTGAAGACAAGGCAGAAGGCCAATCTCGGGTGGTATCAATCCCGACAAATTGTTAGAGTCGAGGTAGAGCACGCGTAGCACCGGAAACGATCCAATCGCAGGAGGGATGGAACCCGAGAGACTGTTCTCCGACAGCACCAGAGCTTCCAAGTTGGTCAGGTTGGCGAGTGTTTCAGGGATGCTACCTGTGAGCTCGTTGGAGAAGAGTAGAAGAACTGCCAGCTTCTTGAGCCTGCCTAGCTCCGGTGGTATCGGTCCAGTGAGATAGTTGCTGTGGAGGTAGAGTGCCTCCAGGGCCGTTAAGTCGCAGAGCTCGGCTGGAATCTTTCCAACAAGCTGGTTTTGCTGGAGATAGAGCACTGTAAGCTGTGTCAAGTTCCCAATCTCTGGAGGAATAACACCAGTGAGGCTGTTGTTTGCAAGTGAGAGTGCCTAGAAGATGGCAAAGTCAGAACAAACTCCAAAGAATAGAGAGAACTTTTTTATTCTTCTTGAATGAAAACCATACCTTGAGCTTTTGAAGAGATCCAAGCTCCACTGGAATCGTTCCCCACAGGAGATTACTCGAGAGATCGAGCGATACCAAGTTTTGGAGAATGCTGAGCTCCACTGGGATTCTCCCCGAAAGCCTGTTCCCGGGAAGAGCTAGCTTCTCGAGCTTGGAGAGAGAGCCAATATCACCCACCAGGAAGCCACCATCGAGAGAAGCCTTTGGCAGCACGATCGACACGACTTGGACGAGGCCAGTGGAGTTGTCCCGGTGGCATTTGATCCCCACCCAGCCCTGCGCGCCGCAGGGCGTCCCCTTGGATGGATCCCAGCTCACCAGATGCTCGGCCATGTCGTTCCAGGCGGATTTGAGCGCCAGTAGCGCCCACGTCTCCTCCTCCACCTCGAAGCTCTTGATCGGGTCGGCATTCTCGTCCACAATCTCGCTCCCTGCAGCGCATATCACGAATCCCAGGGTTAGAATCGCGATGAAAGGCGCCAGATCGCTAGTCATTGCGAGCGCAAGATCAATCTATCGATCGATCACACCGCGAGAAATATTTTCACATTTCTCGCGATCTCGACGATGATTCCTAGCTCCCAGCCGGATAAAACCAGCGATCGATCAAGAACGCGAAATATTTTCACACATTCCGCTGTCCTCGATCTATCTGCGATGATTTCTAGCTCCCAGCCGGGGGATCACTCACCTCGTTATCAAGCGCGTCGCAGAATCCGGAGAATGGGAAGAGCGTGGCGCCAGCATTCCACGATCTTTTTCCTTGCTCTCCCAAGAACCCTAGTTCTTCCATTCTAAACAGAGAACTTTATAGTTTTACATTGGTCTTTTCTCTGTCTTATTTTTTACACGTCGCCGAGATGGAGAACTTGGAATGGAGCTCTCTCCACCGGATTGGGAGAAGCAGCCTCAAAATTCTTGGCAGTGGCATCGAAGTTCTTGATCGCAGCGCTCAAAGCAATGCTTGGAACGTTTTCTTTGCCATCGAAATCGATGCTCTCGCGTCTAAGTTACAAAGAAAAACTTTAGAAAGCTCTAAACCAAAGAAGCTACGTACCTCGGACTTTCATCACACACTTTGCTTGCTGATAGTGAGCTTCTCCTGCGAGGAAGATGAAAGAAATGTAAATCTTTGCAGGAAAGAAAGCTAGTGGTTTGATCGACTAAGTACCTCGAAGAACGCACGGAGCTGACCGGCGAGGCGTCGTCCTTGCCAATCTCCAGCAGCGCTTTTCCCTCCTGGAGAAGATTTTCGTGGAGCATGAGCATCTGCTGGACCAGGCATTTGCCGTTGAGCTGCGCCCTCTGAAGCTCGCACTGGATCTCTTTCAGCTTGCTGCTGGTGATGGACGCATCCTCGTGAGAGATCGACAAGTCCCACTCGAGTCTCTCGATCTCCTTCTCGAGCCTGCGTTTTTCTACCCGGTAGTCCTCGATGCTGCCCGCGTCCTTGTCGTGCTCGAGCTTTAGCTGACTTAAGCACGACTCCAAGTCCAAAAGCTCCTCCTCTTTCACTTTCACCTCGTTTTCCAGCTCCGCACACCTGTTTTTGAGTTGCACTCGTTCCCGTTCGGCTCTTTCGAGGTTGGCCTTGGCTTTGGACACCTCGATGAGTCCCAGCTGCTGTACTGCCCACTCCGATGCGTCCAGCCTCTCATCTTTGTCTTGAGCAAATGCCATGAGCTGCGCCAGCATGGACTCCAGTTCCTTGATCTTGGCATTCGCTCCTTCCATCTTTGAACTGATCTGATTCCCAAGATCAACTTTGAGCTGCAGGCCCGAAACCATCTCCTTGCTCGATGCAAGCTTGGACTCTGCGCTGGTCAAGTCGCTGAGAAGCTGTTGTCCTCTTGCTTCGCTCCTCTTCAACTCTTCGGCAACCTTCGAGACCTTCACTTGCAAGCTTTGGACCGTAAAGTCCAGGTGGCTGTTTTTCTCAGTGAGATGCTGGATCTCTTCTTTCGCACAAGCTAGCTGGCTCTCCCGGTTGCCAAGTTCCTTGACCACAAGGTCCATGTCTGCAGACTTCGCATGGAGCTGGTCAACACCTTCCTTCAGCTGAAACTCAGTGGCAGATAGCCTCCCTTTCAAGGCTTCCACCTGCTGAGCGCTTTCGGCCCGTAGAGAGACCAATTCCTCTTCCCGGGAAGCCAAAGTCACGCCGAGAAGATCGCGCTGAGCCTTGCAGCTATCCAACTCCGCGACCGTCTTCATGAAAGAGCTCTCCATTATCTGAAGAGCCGTCTGCATGGCTTCGGCTGCCTCTCTCTGAACCTTTGCTTCCAGCTCCGTACGACTTAAGGTAGCACACTTGTCTTCGAATGACGATGAAAGTTTCCCGAGCTCGCTGATAAGATCCTCCTCCCTTATTCGCCAGCAATTCTTCCTGTCCTCCAGTTCAACCATAGCCTGCTTAAGCCCAGTGATTCGTTCCTCTGATTCTCTTTTCTCCCTGCAAGCGACTTCCAAAGCTTCCTCCGTCTCAGCCAATTTTGTTTCGACCGTCGCAAGCTTTTCGTCCAGAGCTGACCATTCCGCTTGTCGCGCCTTCAGGGAAGCTTCTAAAGCCTCAATGCTCGTTCTTGAAGTTTCGGCTGCCGAGTCCAGTGTCACCTTAAGGTCACGGAGCTCGCGAAGTTCGTCACTGATGCAGCAGAGCTGAGACTCTTTCTCCTCAAGAACCTTGGACATGAGCTCCATCTCTTGATCTCTCATGTTCAAACAGCTCCAAGCGTCTGTCAGTTGAGAATCGGATATCGAGAGCTTCTCCCGGAGAAGCTGAGCTTCCGAAGCTGCTGCTGTCCGTAATTCCTCCTGCTCCTGCTGGCTTGAGCTCAATGCTGATTCCAATGCATTGCGTTCATGCATGCAACGCTGCAACTTTCCAACCTCTTCCTGCAGAGATGACTCCAAGTCTTGGCATCTTGCTTTCAGCCTGTCTACCTCCATAACAACAGATTCCAAAGCAGCATTTCGATCTTCAAGAGAAGAGGACAGTGCAAACACTTCGTCCGTAAGAGCGCGTTCTTTCTTCTCCCAGTCGGATTTTCGGATCTCAAACTCAACCAGCGATTGCCTGAACCTTTGAGCCTCCTGCTGCAAGTTCTCGTTGTCCTCGAGTAGAACTGTAAGTTCTTCATCCTTTTTAGTCAGGCTGTTCTGCGATTGCGTAAGTTTCTCTGAAAGATCCAGCAGCTGTGCTGCAGATTCAGCCAAGCGAGAGTCCAGTGTCTTCTGTAGGCGCTGTGCTGTTGTGTTGAGCTTTTTGTTTTCTCGTCGTAATTGTTCGACCTCTTCGGACATGGCCCCGAGCTTCTCGTCTTTGATGTTCGCTTCATTCGTCAAAGCCTCCAGTTCTTCGGTCTTCGTCTTCAACCGACTGGCTAATGTTTCTAAGCGCGACTCGACCGCTGAGAGCTGCAAAACCTTCTGTTGTCGCTCATTCTCATCCTGTAGTGCTTTCAACTCTCCTTCACAAAACTCGAGAGAAGTTTGAAGATCCTCACACTTCTTCCGGTAGCACTTGAGCTCCTCAACCTTTTCTGTCAAACAGGTTGCCAGCTCCTTACATCGTTCCTTTGCATCCCTTGCGTCCTTGGTGGCAGATTTCAAAGCGGCGCATTTTTCTTCGAGAGAAATAGCGAGCTCCTGAACCTGACGAGTAAAGCTTTCCTCCTGTTTGATCCATTCAGCTTTCCTTTGCTCAAACTTCTGCACGGTCTGTTTCAGCAGCTCATTCTGCTCGACCAAAGTCTTCCTGGTTTTCAGTAGCGACTGCAGCTCTTCCTCCTTCTCACCAAGCTTCCCATGCAAAACGCTCACATTTGCTTCCAAGCTCGTTACTTCGGCTTCTTTCACGCACAGGCGTTTGCTCTGACCAGCTACTGTCTCTTCGAGTCTCTCGATCGTCGACTGCATGCCACGAGCTTTTTCGCGAAGCTCGACAACATCTTCGTTGAAAGAAACGAGCTGTGTATCTTTGCTCTGGACGTCCTTCTTCAATGCCTCGAGCTCCACATCCTTTGCTCGAGTTCTCTGCTCGAGGGTCTGCTCCAATGCCCGACACAGCTCCCTGTGCTTCGCAGCATCGGCAACAGCATCACCCAAAGCACCAAACTTCTCCTCTAGCGCGAAAGATAGCCTCTGGATCTCTTTGAGCGAAGCCTCTTCCTTCTCTACCGACAAGCTTCTCTGCCTCTCGAGGTCCTTCACAGCGTCACATAGCCCATCAATCTGCTCGCGAAGGGACTTGTTCTTTGCAGCCAATGCCGTTGTCTCGTCCTCCTTCTCGCCCAATCTCCCCTCCAAGCCTAAGATTTCCACTTCTTTGCGACCCAACCCCGATTCCAGCCCCCGGATCCTCTCCTCGAGCCCACCCAAGGCCGATTCTAAAACCCTATTCCTCTGCCCGAGGCGGAGTACCTGATCGTTGAGAGCCGCGATCTCCCCGTCCTTGCTCTCGAGCAGAAGATCCATTGCCCCCAAATTTGTCAGCTACACCTGCGACCAAAAGATTTCAAGCGCCGAGCTGAGCTCCAGATCTAAGCAATGCGCGAATCCATCGTACCTCTAGGCGTCGGCGCCGCATCCACGCGCCACCGCTTCCTCTCGCCAAGCCCTAGCGACGAGATCTTCCCGCTTTAGCAGCCATTTCGAAAATGCTCTATCCCGAGGTTAAGGTTAAAAGAAAAGCTTTGTATTAACTTAGGTGTAATAAAACATTCAGTTTAAGAAAAACTCTTTTTTACTGTCGCTGCCTCTTTGGTATAAGGCGAACTGGTTCTTCAGTGATCACGGCAGTATCCCTGCTCGCAAGATCAAATTCCTTCTCGGCTTTTATATCGACATTCCGGCCTCTCTTATTGCAGCTCTTGCCTTGGTCGTCGATCATCGAGTTTTTCCTGGGAGAAAAACGTACAATCTCAACGATCTTTGAATCAAATTAAAGAACAAAGCGTACCTGAGAACTGGAAGCTCGAGAGAATTGAAATTCTTCCCTGGAGACGAAGAGCAAAGTTTCTTGTCGTCGTGACCACGAACAAGGCTGCTCTGGAGCGAGAGCATCTTCTCCATAAGATCTTTGGTGTTCATCTTCGTTCTCTGGAGCTCCAGATGGATCTGTTTGAGTTTGTCGTCGTGACGAGAGATCACGACGTGGTTGTTCTTGAGCTCGTCGAAACCGGCGATTCGTGATAATGCTGCGTCGTGATCTGCCTTCAAGCCATCGTACTTGGCTTGAGCTAGCTGCAAGTTTTCCTTCATCGTCTCGGCCTCGCCTTCGACCTTTCTCAACTGCTTTCGCAGCAGTCTCGAGTATTTCTCCATGTCCGCCAGCTCGTCCTCCTTGAACTGAAGCTTCTTCTCTAGCTCGCAAATCTCCTGTTTGAGCTGGACGTGATCCTTCTCGGCTTGAGCTAGGCTGGCCTTAATCTTGGACACCTCGAACAATCCCAGCTGCTGCACGGTCCATTCGGAAGCATCCAGCTTCTCGTCCTTCTCTCGAGCGAAAGTGATGAGCTCACCCAGCATGGACTCGAGCTCCTTCATCTTCGCATTTGCTCCATCCAGCCTCTCAGCCACCTCGTTGCCAGGATCAATACTCGTCCTTAAATCCGAAACCACTTCCTTGTTGTACGCAAGGCTGGTCGCCGCGAGCATGCCCTTCAAGCGATGGCGTTCTTCTTGAGCCTCCCGGATCTCCTCCACAAGCTTCGACGTTTTCTCACGTAAATCCCCGGCCTCCTCCTTCAAACTGGAAAGCTCGGCGTCCTTTGCGAGGAGAACTTTCCTCAAGGACACATTTTCCACCAGTTTTTCTTGGAGCTCACTCGTAGCTCGATCCATTGTTTGCCTCAAGGACTGGAGCTGAGCGTCATAGGCCATTTGGGATGCTTCGCGAGCTTCTCTGCTACACCGCAGCTCCTCGATCTTTTCTCGCAGCGAGCTTTCCATCGCGCGCGACCTGTCTTTCTCGATCCTAGCCTCCACACAAGCGCTGTTCCACTCCACGCATTTGTCCTCAAGTTCCGAGGCCAGCCCCTGGATCTCATTCACGAAAACCTCCTCTTTTCTGCTCCATTCGGATTTCTTCTCCTCCCATTCTTTCTTGAGCTCCAGAATCACCCGATCTTTCCCCTCGCTCTCTCTTGCTAGCGCGGCCACTTCTTTCTGGTTGTCATCGATTCTTCCCTGTGACGCCCCCAACTTCTCCTCAAAGCTCAAGACCTGGGCTTCTTTGTAGGTGAGGCGCGTCTCCAAGGCGCGCACTCTCTGCTCCAGGGCCGCGTGCTTCTCCTGGAGCTTCCGAAATCCATCTTCCTCCTCGTCGGACTCCTCCGATTCTTTCGCTGCCGCTGGACTCTTGCTCGGATCGCCCAAGCCGAAGCGCTGGAAGCTCCTCTTCCAGATCTCGACGCTGAAATTCATCGCATTCTCGAGCTAGCCATCCTGCATTCCCGCGGATGGATCTGGGGCGCCTACCTGGAGATCGCCAAACCCTAGCGCCTCGACGATGTCGTGTGGGCGGGAGTGAGAAGACATGCTTCACACTTAAAGAATGATTCTTGTTCTCTCCACTTCTTGGTCTTCTTTAACGCGTCCCTGGCAGGAATCGAACCCCCGACAGTACCAAGCTAAAGATTTTTATTTTTAAATTTGGATGACGTGGCTGGTTTGCTGACGTCACTCATTCTTCCAGCTCAAGCTAGGGTTGGTGGCTATGGCGCGGCGATTGCTCGTCGCGATGATCCAGCTGCTTATGATCGCTGCTGTGGCTAAGAAGGTTCGGATTCCCGATCATCTGGATGATGTCGTGGACGATGAGGAGGATGAGGAGTGGAAAATGTGGGGGAAGAAGGCCGTCTCCAAGCCCGTGTTTGATCCTCCGCCGGACTTCACAGGTATGACGCCCGACCAGATCCAGGCGGAGATGATGAAGCGCCACATTGGTCCCGCAATGGGATTCGTCAAGCTCCGATTGGATGTTCCACGATCAAAGGTAAGGATCGAATTTCCTTGCTTGTTCTTGTTAGTTTAGTCGGGATTTAAGTCGAGATTTTGTGAATGCTGATTAGGAGGAGCTGCCAGAGCTTGCGAAGAAATGGTCGCGGCTTCTTCGCACTGGAGGCATTGGTGCCAGAGTGACTGCCGTGGATTTAAACACCCTCATGTTTACACTAGATAGCGGAAAGGAAACCACGGAGGTATGGATTTTTCCAGTATTGATATCTTTTGTTGATCTCTTCTTTCTTTCAGCTCAAGGACTTTTTCCTAAGGCAGCCAGAAGCTTATGAAGTGAAAATTGGGCAGCAAGCTTTTAGGCGCCCCGGAGATCCTCCGCTGGAAGTTGTCATTGAAAAACGGAAGCTGGCAAAGGAGAGAAAGCAAGAGCCAAATGACGAACTCTGAAACTTTTCTCAAAGGTATTTTGCTCTCGAATTTTACTTCGTGTGTTGAAGTTCTTGATTAACATAGTGGTTTCTGTTTTCGTTGCAGACGATGTACTCTCATTTTGGACGTGTGGAGTGAAACCCTGGTGGCAAACCATGGTACCTCAAAGGAGTAGCCGATGTTACACGTAATCGAGGGAGCAGCGGAGGCACACTGATATTATCAACGCTGAGGTACTAAGGGGGCGATGGCCAGAAAAAATCTAGCTTCTGGTCAGGCCTCACTGGAACTCGAGGAAGCGGCAAGACGCTATAGGCCCATTGCCATTTTGAAACTTCAGGGGAAGAGTTTTTAAGTAAGCTTGCACTTAAAATGTTGATAAAAGACAACACACCTATAACAAAAATGCACACTTGAGATTTTTTATTTTTAATAAACAGATATAAACATTGTGAATTAAGCTGATGGGACACAAAGGTTATAGTGATTGAATGGCAGCTCCTCATCATTCTTTTCCATTTGGTTTGAGCCATCTTCATGTTAAGCCATCACAGACTGATAATATTAACAAAAATTCAGGAAGTAGTGATCCTCTTGACTGTGTATTCCGCAATTCGGGAAAATGGAGGTGAGTAACCTGGTTTCTTCTTTCTTTTCCTTCTTTTATTGAGGGATTAAACCGGGTTGTGTACAACTGAAGCAACGTTTCCACCATTTCTGGCAAGAGCTGCGCCAAACCCTGTGGCTCCATGTATGTCTGATGTGCAGGACCACTGCCGCGATCGCCACCGTCAGCGCGTAAATTCATTGTGCTTGATGCGTAGACTAAACAGTTGCCCTGACTAAACAAGGATGGCCGTGAAGTCACTTCTAAGAATTCTGGTGCCACCCTTGTAATATGGTGACTTTGACTATATGACTTATTCATACCATTGTAAAAATTTAATTGTGAGTGGAAATTTGTGGACAATTCAAAGTCTTGTGATGAAAATAATATGGTCAATTCAAGCATGCAAGAACTTCGATATATAAGTATAACGCGAGTTCTTGATCCAAACAACACGGTGAAGTCACCCAATTCAAAGCTTCTAGATTTCTAATTGATGGAGTTGGCACTCTCTAGTTTCCTGCTTCCTTTTCTCTTACTAGTGCTCACCGGAGCTCTTAGCATTCTGGTCACTTTGTGGGATAAAAAGAAGAATTTGCCCCCATCTCCAGGATGGGCACTTCCATTGATCGGCCACCTTCATCTCATTAGGAAGCAGCCACATCGATCTTTGCAAGCACTCTCCAAAAAGTATGGGCCAATTATGTTCTTGAAGCTTGGGATGGTCCCAAGCATCATTGTCTCCAGCCCAGAGATGGCGAAAGAAGCTCTCACGAACAATGGCTTGGCATTTGCTTCGAGGCCATATCTCTTGGTCTCCGAGATTATTGGGTATAATTTCCAAAACATTGGGATACACTACAGCGAGCACTCAAGGAGGCTGCGTAAGATGTGTGTGACTGAACTTATTGCTCCCCAGAAACTGGACTCCTCCTTGTGGGTGAGGCTCCAAGAACTCTCGAGAGCGTTTCGTATCTTACAACAGTCTTACGAGGAAAAGGTGGCTGTCGACATGAGGTATCTCTTCTCAACTTTCACATTCAACGCCTTCACAATGATTCTGATGAGCAAGAGATACTTTGGGGACACCACTGATGATCATGATCAACACATGGAGCTTAAACATGTTATTAACGAAATCTTCAGCCTGACAATCAAGTTCCACATCACCGAATTTGTTCCATCGCACCTCAGGCGCTTTTTCGAATGGGTCGATCCGACCATCCCTCAGTTCAAGAGATTGCACGAGAAGCAAGACAAGTTCATGAAGAAGATCATCGAAGAACACAAAGAGTCAACTGATCGTCCCAAAGACTTCATGGACGCACTGCTCGAGAGTTTCGATGCAGAAGCCACTGTAAAAGCGTTTATAACAGTAAGTTCACTCCACATATAAACTCATTCCTTATACCATCGTGGTTGACAGGAGTTGTTGCTAGCATCTGATTCAACGGCCGTGGCTGCTGAATGGGTGATGGCACAACTTCTTCACAATCCTCATGTTTTGGAGAAAGCTCAACTCGAGCTCAACCTTGTCGTGGGTCCAAATCGCCTGGTTCAAGAGTCTGATTTCTCAAAGCTCGAGTACTTTCAAGCAATCATCAAGGAAACCTTGAGGCTTTGTCCTCCAGGTCCGCTCCTCATTCCTCGCAGCTCGGACGTCGCTTGCACGATTGGTGGCTACTACGTTCCCAAAGGCTCAACACTTTTTGTCAATGCTTTCGCCATTGGACGCGATCCAAGTATCTGGGAACGCCCCACAGAGTTCATGCCCGAGAGATTCCTTGGGAGATCAGTGGATTTCAAGGGCCAGCACTTCGATCTCATACCATTTGGATCGGGGCGGAGGATGTGTCCTGGGATGCCACTCGCATTGAAAGCGCTTGAGCTGCTCTTGGCTAACTTTGTCCATGGATTTTATTGGAGCTTCCCTCCCGGAGAGATCCAAACTCTTGAGGATTGCTTCGAGACGACGCTGGTGCTCAAGTCTCCTCTAAAACTCCTGGCAGTTCCAAGACATTCAGCGTCTGTTTATGCTGAAATCTGAAGTGATACTGTTAAATAACGTGGACATATGTTCTTGTGGACGGTTCTTAGGAATATTTTCTAAAATAAACGCTGTTTCTTAATAAATCGGCAGGACTCATCTAGTGTGCTGTTCGCCACTGTTACCATGGAAGGCCTTCAGCAGTAGCTTGCTTTCAAGGCTTCCAAAGGTATTCGGCAGTGCAAGTTTACTTGTTGCTCCTCAGGCCTTTCTAGCTCCATGCTCTGGAAAGAGATGAATAGCGATGCTGTTGACCACACCAATTAACTCCACAAACAAAATTCATACAATCTGGGCGATGGATTCATCTGAAATACCAAGCAAGCAAGCAGCCATTTGAAATTTCTATGTAGTTCTCCCATTCTGCATTTTTCTTTACACACTGCCAAGGAAAAAAATGCCACTACGACATCAAGCCACCTTCACCAGCACGCCAACTGCCACCTTCTAGAATTTTCTTCTAGAGGATAAAGCTCTTGAATGACTTATTTGATTGAATCTTTTGGGGAGATCCAAAATCCTGACACTTGCTTCGAGCTGTTAAAGTCTTGTGGGAGCAGTGGCTTGGTGCCCCTCGGGTGACGCTATGACTGCCGACCTCTCAAACTTTTCAGCATGCATACGTAGGTAATAATTTGTTTTTAAAGCCTAAAAACCTTAGTTAATAGTGGTCCAAATTAAAATTAAAATTTTATTATGGTAGTAATAATATAGTACATTTATTTATCAGAAATTCTATTTATTCCACTTTAATGAAAATGGAGACCTAGCTTTAAATACATGACTTGAGAGAGTGCTTTCCCAACAAGATGAATCCCTTGAAGTTGTTATTATTCCTCCATAAGGCAGTGAACCCCATGATTAATTAGAAGAGTAGCAAGAGAAGCAATGTCAACTCAGTTTAGAATGCCATTACTTAACGTGGCGACACAAGGGGCTTTTGCAGAGTCTGCTCAGTTAGTGCTTGTGATTTCGACTGATCCAATAAGGGGCCATGTACCTTTCAATCCAGTGAAGTCTTTCTTGGTGACTCACCATCAAGCTGATACCACCACCGCCACATGCTTTTACTTGGGATTTTTTCTGGAAACTTCTTCTGCAAACTCGGACTGACACATTCAACTTATTGAACTGCTGTTTGAATTATTCAGAGTATAGTGTCGAATTCATGTACACATGAAATAGTATTATGACAAGTATGCAAGCAGAAGACTTGGTGATTAAACTGTTAATCATCAACTTTGCAGTTCTCAAGAGTTTAGTGACAGCAAAGCAGAATCTTCAAATGAAAAGTCGACGATTCTGATTTGTGTCATGACAACACTACTTTTCCTATATATAAGTCTGCCCCTTCCCAAAAAAATCAAGCTAATGGAGTCGACATTGCTTCTCTTGCTTCTCTGGCTTCTCTTCTTTCTGATAATGGGCTTCAGTGCCTTATGGAGGAACAATAACAACTTGCCCCCATCTCCAGGATGGGCAATTCCACTTGTTGGCCACCTCTATCTCGTTGGGATGCAAGCACACAGATCTTTGCAAGCACTCTCGCAAAAGTGTGGACCAATAATGTATTTGAAGCTGGGATTAGTGCCAAGCATCATTGTCTCCAGTCCAGAGATGGCAAAAGAAGCGCTCAAGGACAATGGCTTGGCCTTTGCTTCGAGGCCATATCTTTTTATCAATGAGCTTGTAGGCTACAACTCTGTGGGAATTGGAATACGCTATGGCGAGCATACGAAGCTGCTGCGAAAGATTTGCACTGTGGAGTTCCTCACAACCCAGAGAATAGATTCTTTTTCTTGGGTGAGATCGGAAGAATTGTCCAGAGCCTTTGCGTTTTGCTAAAGTCGAGCGAGAGAAAAGCGGCAGTAAACTTGCGAGAGCTTTTGTCAACTTTCACATTCAACGCAGTGACAGAGATTTTGATGAGCAGGAGATTCTTTGGCGATGCTTCCAAAGGAGACGCAGACTCCATAAAGTTCAGGAGATCTATACACCAGAGCTTAAGTCTGGCCATCAAGTTCCACATCACAGAGTTTGTTCCAGCCTACTTGAGAGGATTCCTTGAGTGGCTTGATCCCTCCATCCCTCACTTCAAGAAGTTGCATGAGATTCAAGATAGGTTCTTGCAAAAAGTACTTGAGGAACACAAGGAATCACGCCGGGGTACCAAAGATTTCATGGATATCATGCTAGAGAACTTCAAGGAGGAAGGGTCAGGAGGGGAAAACGTTGTCAAAGCTGTTATAACAGTAAGTCTGGAGCATGGTCAAACTAAATTAACTTGTCTTTTGTTCAAATAACAGGATCTAATTCTGGCATCAGACTCAACTGGAGTAGCTACTGAATGGGCGATGGCACAACTTCTTCACAACCCCTCTGTTATGGAGAAAGCCCAGATCGAGCTCAACCTTGTCGTGGGTCCAAACCGCCTAGTCGAAGAGTCCGATTTCTCAAAGCTGGAGTATTTTCAAGCTATTATCAAGGAAACTATGAGACTTTGCCCTCCAGGTCCACTCCTCATCCCTCGCAGCTCGGATGAAGCTTGCAAGATTGGTGGCTATCACATCCCCAAAGGCTCTACGTTGTTTATCAATGCTTTTGCCATGGGACGCGACCCAAGAATCTGGGAACACCCCACGAAGTTTATGCCCGAGAGATTCCTTGGAAGCTCGACGGACATCAAGGGCCAGCATTTCGAGCTCATACCGTTTGGATCAGGGCGGAGGATTTGCCCCGGGATGCCACTGGAACTGAGGACTCTCCAGTTGATACTGTCAAATTTACTCCATGGTTTTGATTGGAGCTTTGTCCAGGGAAAGGTTTATACTCTGGAGGATACTTTTGAGACTGCGTTGCTGCTCAAGACTCCTTTGGAGGTAATGGCAACTCCAAGGCACTCCTTGGATGTATATAAAGTATTCTAAACTGTGATTTAGAAGAACATAATGTATTTGCATATAGATTTGATATTTGTCATGGCTGTTCTTCTAAAGTCTTTGAAACCAGGTTACTCTGACGATCGCATAAGGGAGCAAAACTACTTTGCCAGTCTTTCAAATCTTGCACAGACTCAAGAAATCTCCAAGGCAAATTCACACTCGAATTCTAGAGCTTCCAGATCTCTACCTTTGCAACCTCCTCGTTCTCATGTATGGAAGGTGTGGCAGCATTGCAGATGCCCAGGCGGTGTTTGTGTCCATCGCTAATCCCAATGATTTCTCCTGGAACATCTTGTTTGGTGTATATGCCCAGAATGGGCGTTTGCCGCAAGCCAAGAACGGCTAGATCGAGCCAAAGAGATGTTCGATGCAACGCCTTGAAAGGACACTTCCTCTTGGAATGGAATGATAATGAAAAATGTGTGAATCTCTTAGTAAATCAATTTAGAAATTCATATATTATGAAACTTTATAATCTCACATCCAGGATTCACATGGTTATAAATTTAAAGTAGTTTTTTTTGTGAATTTTTAAGAATTCCTAAGTGTTTCATTTGAATTTCATCAATCATGAAATTCAATTTTTCTCCAATGCCTGAGCATATGCAGAAAGAACAAACGTCCATGAAACTACATTTTTATAATACATAGAAAGTAAAAATGGACTTCTCAAGCTGGCCAGAACATAATATTGATCATCACGTTCATTAACAGAATGTCATTTCGGCATGCTTTTGAACAACTCTGCGTTTTAGAGGTTTTTCTTCTAAGCATATGTCAAGAGCTTGCCCATGTCACCAAATCCCTCTCCGGCATTGAATCAAACAAATGCTTCACACGATCAAGCTTGTGAAATCATTGTGTTGAAAGTGATCATGAATTTGGCATTCTCAAACAAGGTCCCGGCTTCTTCAAGATGCCCGTTCTGGGTATAAGCTGAAATAACACACGACCACGACACGACATCTTTGTGAGGCATGGTGTCAGAAATCTCTCTCGCAGCGTCGACCTGTCCAGCCTGACAAAATGCATGCATATCATTGCCACATTGCAGACATAAAATGCCACATCAGCAAGAAATCTGGATCGTTAATTATATTGAAATTTAAACCATTTGTCGCTAGGATCTAGAGCCGTGGCTGTTGATTGCTACTTGCTCGTGGTTGCACTGCTGCATTGCTAGATGGAGCTGGATCTGTGTTGTTGGATGGAGTTGGATCGATGCTTGCTAGAGCTAGATTGCTGCACCGCTGCGTTGTTGGATGGAGCTGGATCGCTGTTTGCTCGGCTGTGGCTGCCTGGCTAGTGCAGGATCGCTGCTTGCTCGGCTCACGCTGCTCTTGTCTGGTCGATCCGCTGCTCGCTGAATGTGCTGCTCCTGGAGATCAGTGAGAACAAAAATAGCTTTAAAAAAAAGCAACCTCTTACTAAATCGAAAAGCTGTTGCACCAACAAGAACTCCCGCAGTATTGGAGAGTACTCCCTGTTACAAGCTCAGTATCAGTTCCGGCGAGAAGTAGGACATGCCAGACTAGTTAATTACCGCATAGCAAGGGCCAATATTTTGATGGTTGGAATCCAAAACGTGCGAAAGACCAGATATCAAACCAAACTTCCACTTAAAGGTAGATATGGAGAGGATATTACCTGGGAAACCATCATACACAGAGAAGGTGAACGGACATGGCTAAGCTGCGTAAGCCCGGCCAAGAAAACCAATGGATTGCATCAGTAAAACAATGCTGCAAATGCTTGACCAACAACGAAGGGCTAAAATTGAGCACATATATACATACCTTCCTCCTGCTCCTGGGGCCATGGAAATTCAGTTCAACCTGGAAGAAGTGTCAAGAACGAGAGAGTAAAACATGAGAAAGGATGAAAGAAAGTTTGTGCTGGTTTCTGCGACAAGTCAAGAGGGCTTACGTCGGTTTGTTTAGCTTCGTCATAGTGTACTTCTTGACCAGCAATATGATCTCTGGAGTTGAAATCGTCTTACGTTATTCTCACGTAGGGTGTTATGATCGGGAAGCACCGAGTCCTCACTCCTGTGGATCCGACAAGTCAGACGCCAAAGAGAAAAATAAAACAGAGAGAGATCGAGAGAAAGATGGCCTGCAAAGCCAGAGAAGTTTCTAAGGGAAAACGAAAGGACTTAACTGGTTGGCCACGGGCTTGAGAGCAAACCACACTCCATTGTCTGCTGTGACAACCTGGAAGCGAGGAGGAAGAGTAGCTTTGTAAAGTTCTCCGAGAGCAGAAATGCACGAAACTAAGAAACCGAAGGACTACTGTGCAATCAAGCAACTTCTAGGATCAAAACTTAGCATTGCATGAAAGTGATACAAGAAATTTCGTCCTCTTCGCTCGAGCTTGTTATTTCTCACTTAACTTTCATGTAATTAAATAGAGCCGGGGCAATCTCTTCCTCTGAAAGTGTGATATCTTCCACAGGCGAGCTATATGCCTGAAAAACAAAACTGACAATGAGAAGTAATGCAAAGTATGAGCGAACTCACGGTTTTCTGCCAGAATGTAAACCAGATCACTCCCAACGAACCAAACGTGAAGAAAACCGGGGGCCAGTTATACTCGTGAATCAAGGCACAGTGACCACCATATCACTCCGAGGCTCTGGCAATTCGGTTCAAACTGGAGGAAGTGTCAAGAACGAGAGAGTGAAAAATGAGAAAGGATGGAAGAAAGTTTGCGCTGGTTTCTGCGACAAGTCAAGAGGAGCAAGGGGGCTTACGTCGGTTTCATTGCCGAGGTTTAGCTTCGTCGCAATGTACTTCGATACAGGAAGTTCCGTCTCTGCGTGTTTAGAGAAGTCAGTGGAGTTGATAAAAACACAAGTCGTTTAAGTTATTCTCACGTAGGGTGTTATGATCACGGGAAGTCCTCGCTCCTCTGGATCCGACAAGTCAGACGCCAAAGAGAAAAATAAAACAGAGAGAGATCGAGAGAAAGATGACCTGCGAAGCCAGAGAAGTTTCTAAGGGAAAACGAAAGGACTTAACTGGTTGGCCTGTGACGTCCTGGAAGCGAGGAGGAAGAGTAGCCTTGTAAAGTTCTCCGCCATTGTTGGCGCTGGTTCCACCGCGACGTCGAGGGACGCCTTTCGTCGGCCGGGAGAGCTTGGAGAAGCGTCCGGTGGTTGCCTGCCTTTTGATATCTCGGCCCGCTTAGGAGGATGGCTGGTTTTGCTGCCTGGACAATCCTCCGGCGTGGTCCATGTCTGCCAGCTCGACCAAGTATGCAAGCGGAGAGTGATAGCCTGCTGCCACGGACTTGCCTTTGTCTTCGCGAGTTGGTTTCTTCGCGTGGTTACCTGGAGGAAAATCAAAGAAAAACGAAAGATCAAGTCAGAGTTTGCAAGATCATTATAAATGTTATGCCAGGAGACAAAGAGAAATGACCAACATTATGATCCAAACTTATCCATAGTGCAATCAAGCAATTTCTAGGATTAAAACTTAGCACAGCATCTTCCTAAACAAAAAATAATGAAAGAGCTGCTTTATAGAATGTATCATACCTCTGGCGAAATACCGAGGTACAAGACCAGGTCTGCAGCAAGAAGTCGGGAGCCTGTCCAGGTGCTCTTCGTTAAACGCTAAAGCTTAGGCAGGGGTTTTCACCTTGCACCACTCAAGATCCAGTCCTTTCGCAGCAGAGAAAGCCACTCCTGAGTACGAAAATCGATCTACTACCAACGTTGTCCCAGCCATCAATTTCTTTTCCATCTGCAGCCTGTGAGAAAACAAGATGAGCTGTTCCCAAGATATAGTCAAGAAATACTTTCAAGTCCCAGCGGTTTGCTGAAAACAAAATATGCACAGCACGATCATCAAGGTCAGCTCCCCTTCCCAAGAAAAGCAGACACCGCAACCTTGATGTTCTTGCAGGCCACAGCTTCATGTGATGCCAGTGTCAGATATTCTGGTTCGAAATCTCTTCGTCATTTATTTGTATCCGTATCTTGAATCGATGTTGCGAGCTCAAACAAGCGACTTGCCTTCAAAAAACTGCACGACCCATTCGGTTCAAGCTGCAAAGAACAAAGAAAGATCCTCAGGCACAAGACCAACCAAAACAAAAAGCTTTCTTCCTTTTCATACTGCAAGAGGGTAAATATGCAATGCTGAATAAAAAAGTGAGGTATAATTTTATTAATTCGTTATTTAGAAAATATAAAGAATCCAAATATAAAAACTAATTACATATATTTTCTTATTTGATATAATAAAAATAATAATTAAAATCAATTATAAAATATTTAAACATTAAAGATGGTTGTAATTATAATAAAGGTAAGATATATTACCACATTTTACTTTACTTAAAAATATTAACATAACACAATACCACTAATTTAAAATAGTGTATTAGATTACAAATTTAAAGAAATACAATTAAAAAAATTTATAGTGTGAGTGGTCGGGATATAGGAATAGGTATCTTAATTGGGGTTAGGCCCCTACTTATATACAAAAATGGATGGACTAGATTCAGTCCCAAATGGACGGTCTATATGCTATAATACTATAATTAATGTATTGCCTAGCTAGGGTAATATATATATATATATATATATATATATATATATATATATATATATATATATATATATATATATATATATATATATATATATATATATATATATATATATATATATATATATATATATATATATATATATATATATATATATATATATATATATATATATATATATATATATATATATATATATATATATACAGGTGTAACTTCAAGAGATTTTGCTAATAAATAATAAATTATCACCAGACTCTGACGCTTCTATAAAACCACTTACAAAGTTGTTAATAATTATAATTGAAATAAAATCCAAAGCCATGGTATAAGCATTAATCGACTATAGAACCTTGATGAACTAGTTGCAATTCCATATACAACTCCCAAATGCTCAAACTAACCACACAATTATAATTTTGAACTGGAGAGGTCAGACTCACTCCATTCATCCTTCATATTCTCCTTATCCCCTCCTCGAAGAAAAAAAAGTTTTGAAGCACTTGCTCCATTCAGATTTGCTGTGTTTATCCTCACTTTGCCATCTATGTCTAGCCTCACTCCACTATTGCATTCGTTCGGCCTCACTATGTCCTGGCTGAATGTTTTATTCGGGCTCGCTATACTCGTCCTCACTCCACAATTCATGTAATTTGTTCTCACTCCACTACCGTATTTACTCGTCCTCACTCCACAATTCATGTCATTTGTCCTCACTCCACTACTGTATTTGCTCGTCCTCACTCCATCATTAGGGCCGGACTCCCGTCTGTCTCCTCTACCCCCTCCTCTTGAAGTGTCGGGGCAAAAAGGAGAAAATGAGAAAAATTTAGGAAAAACAATTGTGGAAAAAAAAAAAGTGGATAAAGAAGCATCAGAAAAAGAATTTACAACAACTGGCAATACAAAAATGGGGAAATCAGAAGAACATGTGCTTAAAGTTTGGAAAATAAAAGACTTTCTATCATAAAATACTTCGGCCACTACAATATAAACAAAAAATTCACATTGCTTAACTTCCTCAACACACAATTCAACACTTGAGATGGGAAAATTAATAATAACATCCACACTTTCAAGGGAATATATAAATTCCTCAACAACAACAATAAAGCAAAGGCTCTTAATGACACTCACAAGTGGGGACATGCATTCAACTTGAAACTCTACTCAAAATGGTTTAAGCCCTTGGAATAGGGGAATACTCAACACTAAAACTGATCAAAGACTTTACCAATGAAACAAAAGCAAGATTTTCAACTTTATGGACACACTCAACATCCAGATTAGTATGAGAAGGATAGAAAACACTCAACTCAACACTGGACTGAGAATGAGAATCATGAGAGTCACAAATGATTGACGTGCAAGAAGAAGAAAACACTATAGATGAGGAAGAAATACTAGAAACATGAGAAGGTGGCTCAGGCCGAGAAATAAAAAAACGGTTGGGAAAGAGCAAAAGGGAAAAAAGAAAGGATTAAATGGTAGATTGAAATATTGATACCTACCCCACAAAATCTCCACTTCATTTCCAAAGCTATCTCCATAATAATCAAGCTCATCATCACACTCTGGAACCCAATTGAGCTTGTATACATCTTCCCATAAACTTGATCTTCAAACATTCTCCAAAAATTGGATTGTATCATCTATAGCGTGCCAATCAATATCATGATCACATTCCATATCAATAAGAAATGGTAGAACACCAAGAATAGGACAACCTGTGTAATCACGTCTCACAAAAGTTGGAGACAGCAACACACCAAAGATGGGCACAACACCAATATGATCACATGCAACAACACCAAAAGTTCGATCCAACAGAGTAGTATTAGCAGCCTCAAGTGAGATACTTTTTGATCAATGACAGCGTGGCATGGTAGAAGAAAAGAAAATGAAGATCAGAAAAAAGAGTAGATCTAAGCACAACGATAGCTAGAATTTTAAATCTTGCGAAAAATTAATACAAATCTAGATCTAAAAGAGAATGAAGAAATAAGAATAAAAAAGCACGATCCCGACACTAGAGCAAAGCATTGTCAAAAAGCTTTACCCTTAAAGGAATATTGCAATGCCCCTCATCTCCACCAATATGAGTGCTCAGGATATAGGAATAGGTATCTTAATTGGGGTTTAGGCCCCTCTTATATATAAGAATGGATGGACCAAATTCAGTCCCAAATGGATAGTTTATATGCTATAGTATTATAATTAATGTATTACCTAACTAGGGTAATACACACACACACACACACACACACACACACACATATATATATATATATATATATATATATATATATATATATACACATTTATAATAACATTCATCTTTATATACATTATTATTTCAAATTTTTGTTATATGGCATATATAATTATATATATTATTTGCCTTGTGAAAGCATGTTAGTTAAAAGTTCTTTGCATGCTTGTTTACTATTAAAATAAGCTTGCCATACTTGTGCTTATCTCAAATTATACTTGAGTGGAAGATCTATTGAATAACAATAATTAAAATTTCAAACTTAAAAGTATTTTATAAAAAATAAATAAATAAACATTTTAAAATATTCTATTATAATATTTATAAAAAGAAAAAAACTAACTTTTAACACTACACTAAATTTATAAATTATAAAATGTTTATAATTATTATCTCCTAACAAAATAATCTTTATTATTTTAATTTGATTATAAGTTGTGAATTTATAGTTATTCTTTACTTTTATATTTTCCTTTTATTTTGTAAATGGCAAAATTTAATGTAAAATAAAGTTTTCTTATTTACAAAGATTAAACACAATTAATTTTAAATCATGTTAAAAACTGTAGCCTAACAAATAAAACTTTAGGTTTAGTGGTGATGGACGAGGCTTCTGCGAGTGTGGGAATCAGTCCGGTAGGGAATGTGGGCTTGGATCCAGCTTACCTTTGTCTTGTCCTCTCACAGGATCTAATTCACGAGATTTTCAAGAGCGTTTGGGAGAAGGCCAGCCAGGGTTTGCTCTTCCTCTCTCTCTCTCTCTTGTCTGAGCTCCACAACAGATGTTGCCAAGGCGGATGAATCCAACGCAGGCGCAACCTCGAAAAGAACCAAGTCTACCACTGGTGAGCAAAGCAGAGCTTTCTAAACATCATAGAGAAATGCGGCCAGTTTCGTTTCCGTTTTGCAGCAAATGCGAATGCTCTCAAGCTCTCCTGTGAGCTGCTCAAGCTCTTCGTCACAGGTCGGGTTTACTCTATTTCGTTTCAAAGAGCCAAAACTTCTGGGCTGATTGATGCAGAGGCAGTCGGACGAGCGGGGATCATCGCGGAGGCCGAGGGAAAGGATCGCATCGAAGCAACACATTTCGAAAGAATGCTACCGCAGTTTTTGCTGGACTTCTAGCTAGAGGCGAAGATGGTGCTCGCGGGAAGAACTCTAGCAGCGGTATGAGAAGGCTGGCCAGAGGACTCGCTACAGACTGTGCAAGCAACCAGCTAAACTTGAGAGAGTACCTCGATTCGAAGCTATGCTCCTCCGACGTCTTCACTCTGGCTCGTCTCATCCGCGAATGTGGTTCTCTGGGAAACCTGCTAGATGCACAAAAGATTCACAGTCACGTCGTAGAGTCTGGCTTTCAGGAAAACTTTTACCTGCGTGAACGTCTCGTCCACATGTACCTCAAGTGTGGCAGCGTAGAGAACGCCGAGGACGTCTTCTTGGACAGGAACAGGATGGCTCACTTCCGAGACGTCACGACGTGGACGGCAATGTTGTCCGCGTACTCTCGTCAATCCAGCAGCAGCACCAAGGTGCTCGAGTTCTACTGCCAGATGCTCCAGCACGGTGTCAAGCCCGACAGTTTCACTTTCACAGCCGTGTTGAAAGCCTGCGTTTCTGTGAAGAGAGCGTTGAGTGGCGGCAAGGCGATCCACTTCCAGATCTTAGAGAGCGGGCTAGAGGACGACGAGATCATCGGAACTTCGGTCGTGAGCATGTATGGGAAGTGCAGCAGCCTGGCTGATGCTCGAGCCTGGTTTGATGGAGTTTGTGTCCGACGTCCGCATGGAGTGGTGTTGTGGAACGCCATGATCTCGGCTTACGTCCAGAACGGCTGCTGTGGACAGTCCTTGGAGCTCTTCACGCTGATGCTCTTGGAAGGCGTCGCCCCAAACAGTGTCACGTATGTCACAGTTCTCAATGCTTGCAGCTCTACGTTGACGCTGGGTATTGGCAAGGCGGTTCACATCTGTGTTTGCGATCTCGGCCTCGAGTCGGACGTCATCCTTGGAACCGCGCTGCTCAACATGTATGGCAAGAGCGGGAAGCTGGACGAAGCCCGGAAGATCTTTGAAAGGATCGAAGCTCCGGACTTGGTGTCGTGGAACTCGATGATATCGGCTCTTGTCCGGGACAGCCAAGGAGACGGTGCTCGGACGTTGTTCAAGCAGCTACTTCTGGAAGGCCTCAGTCCAAATGAGATCACTCTCATCTCTACTATCAATGCCTGTGCTTGTCCGGAAGATTTGACAGAAGGAAAGCTGATCCACGCTTGCAGCTGTGAAAGTGGCCGGGCGTCGGTACTCTTCGTGAGGAATGCTCTCGTAGACATGTATGGAAAATGCGGCTGTCTAGAGAAAGCTCGCGAGCTGTTTGAATCTGAAACAGTGGAGAGGAACTTAGTCAGTTGGAGCGTCATGGTGGCGGCTTACGCAGAAAACGGTCACGGTCACGAGGCCCTGCAGCTCTTCAGGATGATGATTCTGGAGGGTGAAAGCCTCGACTCGGTCGTCTTTGTCAACGTCCTCAATGCTTGTTCTTCGGCAGGAAACGCTGCTGCGGGAGAAGCTCTTCATGGGAACTTAGTTGAGGCTGGATTCGAGTCGGACGTAGTAGCGGCAACGGCACTCGCAAACATGTATATCAAGTGTGGACGTTTGGAAGACGGGCGACGTGTTTTCGACAGAATGGAGGCCCGGAACGTTGTTAGCTGGAACACCATGATCTCGGGCTATGCTCAGAACGGTCGTCCCAAAGAAGCCTTGGAACTCTTTCACCAAATGGATCCCGGAGTTGCTGACAAACGGACGTATGTAGCAGCACTGGATGCTTGCGCCTGCTCAGTGGCTGCAACCGAAGGGAAACTTATACACCAGCAAATACTTCAGCAGAAGATGAGCGTCGACGTAATCCTGGGAACGGCCATTGTCAACATGTATGGAAAATGTGGTTGCTTGAGCGAAGCCCGGGAGTTTTTTGACAGTATACCTCTTCCCGACGTCGTCACTTGCAATGCCATGATAGCTGGTTATGCTCAACACGGCCACCTCAGAAAAGCTCTTGGTCTGTTCGCCAAAATGAAGCAGGAGGGAGTGAGACCCGACGGTGCCACCTTTGTTAGTGTTCTGTGTGCTTGTAGCCATGCTGGTAACTTGAAAAAAGGATCCGAGTTCTTCATATCAATGCTGGTCGATTACGAGTTTAAGATTTCTGCTGAGCACTGTGGTTGCATGCTGGATCTGCTGAGCCGGTCAGGAATGCTGCGTGAAGCAGAGGAGCTCCTAAAAAAGTATCCGACTTCAGCCAGAGACACCGAGTGGATAACGTTGCTGGCCGCGTCTAAGACTCAGAGTGATGCAACCGTGGCTCAAAACGCAGCAGAGGGCCTTATGAACTGCCGCCCCGAGAGCTCTTTCCCATACGTCGTGCTTTCCACTGCTTTGAGCACTGATGAGGAGGCTGCCTGAGAATTAGAGCTATAGCGTGTAAAATTCAACAGACCTGAATCGAGTTTCAACCAAAAATTGCCTGCAGAAAAAAAAAGTTTGTGATGAAGCAATGTGAAATAGTAAGCCTACCTGTCCACAGCCGAGAAAGATGGTACCCATTGAGGCGCATGCTGAAAGTTTTCACACACACGTTTCTCTCATCAGCTCGTGAACTTGGTCAAAAGATAGCAGAGACATAAAACACGCAATGCCTTCGCTCTCATGGTAGTTTCCTCTTCCGCAGGCAGGTAATGCATGGCAGCCTCGAACAATGGCTGTAGGAAGAAATCCGAGGCACTAGTACAAAAACACACCAGAAGTCAGCTCTCATATAACGGTGAAATAAAAGAAACCCAGAGAAGCGCCAGACTTTTCTTGTGGATGAAAACCTCGAAAGCAAAACGAAGAACGCTTTCTTCGCGCTGCTGCGTCGTCTCTTCGATCAAGAACGTCAAAGCGGACAAGCACACCTCCACTGCAGCCTTGTCATAAGATATGAGAGCTACAAGCTCCTCCTCGGCCTCTTTGTAGCAACTGAGCCCAATCAATGCCTACGATGATCCAAGGAGCCTTTGAGAACCGAAACGCACTTCAGAACTCCCTCGAAGTTCCCATTCTGGAGCGGCCCAGCGGCAATGTACCTGAGAATTCTGAGCTCCAGGCTTGTCACAGTTTGCTCCTCGCCCTTGCTCTTGCACGATCCCTTGAGCGCCTCGGAGCAAATCTCATACGCTTACTCCATGTACTTGACGGACTCAGCCTTTGATTCCGAGCCCTGGAGCGCCAGGAGTGATTTCCCGTAGAGAAGATATATGTCCACCAGCTCTTGATACCTCTCCAGGGAGTCTTGGAGAAAACCACGGGCCCTCCCTAGGACGCTGGAAGCAAGCGCCTGTTCTTTCTTGACCGCCCAAGGCACAGATCAAACATGACCTGCTGCTCTTCCCTGGTGCCGATCGATGAGAGACGATCTCGGTGGCTCGCTCGAAGCAGCCGGCCACCGATTTGTAGTTCCGGATCTTGTGAGAGGTCGTGCCCGATGGAAGGAAGAATGTAACCATCTTGAGAGTGCTCGACCTGATGGATCCAACGGCACCGGCCAAGAAGAGCATCTCAACGAAGCCGCACGTGGTATTCCCCCGAGGAATCCACCGCTGCGCGGCCTGGCGGCTGGTAGCTTAGCTTCCAGATTTGCAGCCACTGCCCTTCGCAGAGCTCGGATTTGAGACCGAGCACCCATTCTTGGAGCTCTTCGACAGTATCGACACCGATTCCTGGATAAGAAGCCTGATAGGCGCTCGATCCTCCGCAGCGGATTCACAGCATCGACTACGTACCTCCGAGATGAGCATCGTGAGAACAAGCGATCGCCGCGCCTGCGAAGCCCTAGAATAATTTCCCGCCCAAATTTTCTGAAAATTAGGGTTAAAGATCCCTACAAGTTGGACATTGATTTAATCTTCTTTTTAGACTTTTGTGTGTCATGTAGCCAACGCGTAGCACAGTTTGAGCAAGATTTTCCGCTTGAGTCTTCTTCGAAGGGACATTGTGTGTCATGTAGCGTCCTCCAGTTTTAGAAGATTTTTCTGCGAAAGGTACGCTCGCTAGCTTAATTCTTGCTTGAGTCTTCGTTTTTAATGCTTCACTTAGAAAATTCCATCTTGCAAGAAGTTTAAGACTTGACCGTCTTCAATCACATGAACGCGCAAACGTGTTGCATGATTTCATACATGTATGGACTAGCGATTTCCGTAGAGGAGGTTATATGCTTGTGTTGCAATTCCTGTGCCATACGGTTTCTATTCCAGAGAACGTAGAGGACGTTATATGCTTGTGTTAAGCAAAATACAGAGCTTGTATCCATGGCCAGCCTCGATCCCACGGGTGTGCTGAGAGCGCTTGTTTCTGAAGCTGTCAAAGAAGTGATTGGGCTTGCCAAGTCTGCAATTCATTGCAAGGAGAAGTGCAGCGAGTTGGAAGATTCATTGACCGAAGCATCCGGTCTGCTAGGTGAAATGAACAAATATTCTGCTGCTGAGGGCTCTCTGAGCTCCTCACAACTGGATATCTTGCTGAAAGCCCTCAAAGCCAAGGTTGAAGAGGCTAAACCTCTTGTTCTTGAATGCCAGTCTCTACAAAATCCCGTTCTAGACGGCCTAAAGAGGTTGGTTGTGCTTCTCTTGGGATATTTCTGAATTGAGTTTGTGATTTTGTTTCAGGATAACGCTTGCTATCAAGATTGACCACTGCTCCAAGGTAATCCATGAGCACTTGGCTGCTGCTCCTCGAAATCTTGTTGTTGAGCTTTTGATGAAGAAGCAAAAAGAGGTGCCCTCTAATGTGGTTCCAAAGGAAGAACAGCATGTTGTTCCTTTGGATGACCACATTTTCGGCATGGAAGAGACGCTGGAGCGGGTTGTATCAGACTTGCTGGGGTCCCCTGTAAGCAGCAAGTGGGTTGGAGTCCATGGAGCAGGAGGTGCTGGAAAAATACTCCTGGCCAAACGAGTATGTGACAACGATCAAGTAAAGGGGCTTTTTGATCCAGTTTTGTGGCTAACATTTGGTCAGTCGTTTCAGGTACGTTCCTTAAGCTTATAATGCAACATATTGAGCAGCTATGGTTGTATCTCCTCAGGTGGAAGCAAAGAAACACGAACTTGCCAAGAAAATCCGACTAGAAGGTGATCAGATCAGCTATGAAACACTGAAGAGGGGGCTTGATGGGAAGAGATGCTTGTTGGTGTTGGATGATGTATGGAAGTCCATCCATTTGGATTTATTTGATGTGGTGCAAGAGAATGGAAGCAAGATCTTCATTACCACTCGACAACGTGATGTGCTTGACAGTATTGAGTAGAGGTGCAATCAAAACCGAGATGGGGCTTTTGGGAAAGGAAGACAGCATGAAGCTGTTCGCAGTCCACGCATTCCCAAACCAAAAACATGCTCAAGTCAGCAAGGTAGTAGTGGAGCAAGTTGTGGAAAAGTGTGGGGGGCTTCCACTGGTCTTGAAGGTAATTGGCAGAAGAATGGCAGGCACACAAGATTGGGACTATGTTCTGAGCAAACTCAAGGATCAACGACTTATTGCTCTTGATGAGGAACAACAGGTACTGCAGCGACTCAAGCTGGGTTACGATGCTTTGTTGCCTCTTGGCATCCAACAGCACTTTCTCTTCTTTGCAGCCTTTCCAGAAGACTGGCGAATTTGATTCTGGGATCTGTTCAGATGTTGGACAGGGGAAGGGCTGGTTTGTTGAGAGTGGCCCTGTGCCACGTGGCTAGTCCATGGAGAGACACGAGTCTTCACTGGTTCACCATGTTACACATATGTACATTTTCCATTCCATATATGCTATGATGGATCTTGAGCACCATCACATGGTTTCACCTTTCGTTAGATGGTATCGGAGCAATGCCTAGGAGAGAGAAGAATTCAAAACCGTAGGATTAAAACTACACTTGCTACGGTGAATCGGAGCCTCCGTCTACGTAGACAGAAGTGTGCCCTAATCCAAGCGCTCCAGGCCTTGCAAGAGGCACTGGACAACTAAGAAACAAATCCGTCCAGTGCCAAAAATTTGTTTCTTAGTCGTCTAGTGCCTCTTGCAAAGCTTGGAGCACTTGGATTAGGGCACGCCTGTGTCTACGTAGATGGAGGCTCTGATTCACCCTAGCAAGTGTCGCCCTGATCTTACAGTTTCGAATTTTTCTTGCTCTCCCAAGCATTGCTCCGATACCATCTAAGGAAAGGTGATGGTGCTCAAGATCTGTCATAGCATATATGGAATGGAAAATGTACATATGTGTGACATGGTGAACCGGTGAAGACTCGTGTCTCTCCACGTGGACTAGCCACGTGGCACAGGGCCACTCTCAACAAACCAGCCCTTCCCCTGTCCAACATCTGAACAGATCCCAGAATCGAATTCGCCAGTCTTCTGGAAAGGCTGCAAAGAAGAGAAAGTGCTGCTGGATGCCAAGAGGCAACAAAGCATCGTTAGATGGTTGCCAACATAGCAGAGGCCACGAATGTTCTAGAAAGGCTCAAGAATCACGCACTTATCACTGAAGAACACTGCCCAGGGGAGAATAAGAGGTACAGGATTCACGATGCGTTGCTGGCTCTTGCTTTGCACATCCTGGAACAAGAAGGCCCAAAGTGTTATTTCAAGGCTGGGAAGATGAGGGACGTGGGGGACGCCTTCACAAGTACGTACAGCAGGATTTCACTGTTTGCTTGTAGAATTTCGGAAATCACTCTGCCTAAGAAGAACAGCAGCACCACTTTCCTGCTCTTGGATTATAATCCCAGTCTCACTGCATTGCCAAGCCTCTCTTGTTTCAAACTCTTGAAGGTTTTGTGCCTGAGTCACACTGGGGTGGTAAGTTTGCCACATAACATTGGACAGCTCAAGACTCTGGAGACTCTGGATTTGTCTCGGAATGATTCACTCGAGAGCATCCCAGCTTCACTAGGCAACTTGACGAATTTATCATATATGAACTTGGGATCCTGTTCGAAACTCAAGTCTTTCCCTGTGGATGCTTTGCTCAAACTCACCAAGCTGGTCTACTTCAAGGCAGAGAAAAGTTTGAGAATGTCGACATGCCACAGGCCGCATCATCGGCTTTTCAAACATAAGAAATGTTTAAACAGGATATCCCATGCTGACAACACTCCACCTTCAGGGATGCCAAAACTTGATTGGCATGGCCACCATCTCTCAACTGACATCACTCAAGCTCCTCAACATCTCCAACTGTTTCTCCTTGAAGGACCTCTCCATCTCGTTCCTTCCAAATCTAGAGACAGTTCTTCTAGATAGCTGCAACGAAGTGACCACCATCAACATATCCGAGTGCCCATCATTGAGAGTTGTTCAAATCGTTGACAATCATTGGCTTGACCGTGTTGCATTCGATGGCAAGCTCCCACGACTTGAAGATATAATCCTTGGTGGATTTGCAAAGCTTCCAGATGTATCTATAGTTGCCATGGATGCGTTCCCACAGCTGACGTCGCTGCAAATAAAGAATTATGGTATTAACCAACTACCAGAATGGTTCACATCATTCACAACGTCGAGAACTCTGGAATTTTGTTTTTTGGAGAACTTGGATGTGATACCTGATGGTGTTGCAAGGCTTCCTCTGCTAAAGAAGCTTAATCTGGAAGGTTGCATGAAGATCAAGACGTTACCCTTTGCAGATTCTGAGGACATCTCCTTCTATCCATCCCTGGAGTACTTATGCTTGATAGGCACATCCGCCTCTGGAGAGCGCCTCTCACAACGCCTTTGAAAAAATGACAAGTTTATATGGAACCTCTCACAACGCTTTCGTATTATGAATATTAAACATTCACATTTATAACCATGTTATAAATTTTTACTAAGAGATTCACAAGTTCATTGCCACGTTTACTGTCCACTTAATACGAGAATTTCCATTAGATGTCACATAAGCTTCAAACGTTAACAAGAAATCTGAATCGTTAATTATATCAGAATCTAGACCGTCGCTCCTGGTGGAGCTGGATCGGCCGTGGCTGCAGCTGGGGCTACTTGCTCGTGGCTGCACTGCTGCATTGCTGGATGGAGCTGGATCTGTGTTGCTAGATGGAGTTGGACCAAGTTCGATCACTTCCTGGAGCTGCTTGTTAGAGCTAGATTGCTGCACCGCTGTGTTGTTGGATGGAGCTGGATAGCTGCTTGCTCGGCTGTGGCTGCCTGGCTAGTGCTGGATTGCTGCTTGCTTGGCTCACGCTGCTTGTCTGGTCGGTCCGCTACTCGCTGAATGTGCTACTCCTGGAGAGAAAACAAAAATAGCTCTAAGAAAAAGTAACAACCAAATCGAAAACATGTAGTTGCTATGACACAAGCAAGAACTCCGGAAGTATTGGAGAGTACTCCCTGTTACAAGCTTAGTATCAGTTCCGGCCAGAAGTACTAGTTAATTACCGCCAATATCCCGACTGCAAGAATGCATCCAAACCCTGCATATCAAAACAAACTTAAAGCTGTATTTTACCTGGGCCATCATACACAGAGAAGGCGAACAGACATGGCTAAGCTGCGTAAGACCGGCCAAGAAAACCAATGGATTGCATCACCTGCACATAGTAAAACAATGCTGCAAATGCTTAACCAACAACGAAGAGCTAAAATTGAGCATATATATACATACCTTCCTCGAAACATGAACGAGAGAGTAAAACATGAGAAAGGGTGGAAGAAAGTTTGCGCTGGTTTCTGCGACAAGTCAAGAGGGCTTACGTCGGTTTCGTTGCCGAGGTTTAGCTTCGTCGCAATGTACTTCTTGACCAGCAATATGGGAAGTTGCCTATCTCTGCGTGTTTAGAGAAGTCGGTGGAGTTGAAATCGTCTTACGTTATTCTCACCTAGGGTGTTATGATCGGGAAGCACCGAGTCCTCACTCCTGTGGATCCGACAAGTCAGACGCCAAAGAGAAAAATAAAACAGAGAGAGATCGAGAAAAAGAGACAACCTGGAAGCGAGGAGGAAGAGTAGCTTTGTAAAGTTCTCCGAGAGCAGAAATGCACGAAACTAAGAAACCGAAGGACTACTGTGCAATCAAGCAACTTCTAGGATTAAAACTTAGCATTGCATGAAACTGATACAAGCAATTTACCTGAATCACTGCTCTAAGATTTGTGCTCTTTGTCCTCTTCGCTCGAGCTTGTTATTTCTCACTTAACTTTCATGTAATTAAATAGAGCCGGGGCAATCTCTTCCTCTGAAAGTGTGATATCTTCCACAGGCGAGCTATATGCCTGAAAAACAAAACTGACAATGAGAAGTAATGCAAAGTATGAGCGAACTCACGGTTTTCTGCCAGAATGTAAACCAGACCACTCCCAACGAACCAAACGTGAAGAAAACCGGGGGCCAGTTATACTCGTGAATCAAGGTACAGTGAGCACCATATCACTCCGAGCCAGTTAAGTTTCCATCCAAAAGAGAAACGAAACTTTTTTCTGGATGGAAACGAATGTAGGTGTCGGAAAAAGAAAATGAAAATCTTTGCTCGCGCCTCGTCCTAAAAGTCGTGACGTACGTTTGAGGCGATGGAGCTGGCATCGCGGCCGACATTGCGACTAGAGCCGATCCCTCGGGCGTAGATTCGATCCTGTAGATACGAGAGAGCTGTGCCATAGATGAGAACCCCGCCTCCAATCCACGCGATTGCTCCAATCTGCTGCTATCTCTCTCGCTTGATCGCGCAATGCGGAGCGCTACCGGCGGATTGTCTCCCAGCCGTAGCGCCTATAAACCATGTATCAACGTGGCACATGCTACGTAATGAAATTGTGAAATTGTCATGAAAATTTTTTCATTGCGTGATTTCAACTGAAAACTACTAGCGATTCATACATATTGAATCCTCAGATTTCTCTAGCCATGTTGACGACGCAAAGTTACTCTTTGACAAGATGCCGGAATGGGACGTCGTCTCGTGCACGACCTTGATCTCCCTATTTGCGCTTAAACAAAGGCTAGGAGACTCAATGCCCAACAATGGGCATCTTGAAGAATCCAAAAAGGTGTTTGACGCCATGCTATACAAGAACTTGGAATCCCTCCACGCACTGATTGCCGCTGCGAAGGTCCTCGATTCCGTGCAAGTCCGAGACATAGTTTCCTGGAACACTCTCGTCGCTGCTTATGCCCAGAACGGTCAAATGGATCGAGCAAGCGAGTCTGATTCTAGGTCGGCTATCTAGCTTTTGAGTTCTCCAGCAGTTCTATGATCGCTGGGCAGGCCGTCCAAGTTTTGATTGAGATGGTCATGGAAGCCGGACGAGCTAACTTTCGCGAGCGTTTAAGGGAGGGCTGCTCGAGCAAGGCAGACGCTACTTCCTTTTGATCATCTCGGACCTCGGGATCAAGCGGTGCAGTGCTTCTCGGCGATGGTGGACATTTACAGCCGAGTCGGGCTGCTCAAGTTTGCTGAAGAGCTGATTGAGACGATGCCGTTTGTGCCCAGAAGAATTCGTTGCTGGGGTCTTGAGCTGCCGAAAAGGTTGTTTCTTGGATCCTGCGTATATTTTACTTCACGAGCATGGCTTTGCCATTTCACTGCGTGTTTTTTGAGAATTTCTTTCTTGATCACAAAGACAAATCCTATTATACAAGTATGACAAATACTAAATATTAATAATTTGCTACACGTGCTTGATTTACTTAATACTAAATAAAAATTTATAATTAAAACACAAGATTAATTTTATTGCATATTAAATGGTGTAAAGGCCTAAGTGTACAACTATGATGCCATATACTAATATTAGTATAGTGAGATTTTAGTAGCTATCGGATTGGTTTCAATCTGGACTATTCACTCTTGTATATAAGTTATGATTTTTGGGCTAATTGATATGCATATTTTTTGTATTCCCTTTCTATAATGGTAGAATAAAATAGAATATACTAAAAAGTGTTTAAGAAAGTTTATAAATTATAAATACAAAATTAACTTAAATGAATAAAAACTGTTAAATGATAGAATATTTTAAAATACCCAAGCATATTTTAGGTATATTCACTACCCCTTACAAGTTTGCAAAAATTTAAATTTATCAGAATATTTTAAAACACTTATACCAAAAATTGAATCTTTATTGGTTTTCTAAGTTACAAATTGTGTTGTCCCCAAAAATCCGGGCCCAAAATTTACAGCAGCCACCACCACTCCTCCATCCATACATTCGTGAAGATGAAAACGAAAGTAAAAAAAGAAAAAATGAAAATAAAAACAGCAGAAGAAAAACTCTCTATGCATGCACCGTGGATGGCTACATACTCGTCGTATCTCCTTGCAGCTGTGGAACAAGGCACTCTCGCGGATTGGAGAAAAAGTAGTCCTCCTCCTTGGGCCTGTCTGGGAGAACTCGTCTCTCCACAGGAGATCCCATTCGCTCCGCGTGGAGATGCCTCACCGCCATCGCAAACTCGTCCCACCGAAACGTTCCAGATTCATACTCGTCGATGAGTTCCACCAGACTCTTCCTGTCCAGTAAAACTGTCTTGCGGAATCCCAAGTACCTGGGAAGATTGCACAGAAAAAGTTTTAGAATCGAGACATTGACACTGCAAGAAAATCAAAACAACCAAGGATCTCGGTTCTCGACAAGAACTCTACTTTGAAAGCAAGCAAGGACACGAGTTCTTGTCACGAAACTGGAATGAATGAATGAAAGGACACAAAAACAAACTTTGGTTCGATGAAAAGCGATGAAAAACCACTTTAAATCGGCCATGGAGCTCGACAAACCAAAGAGATCCAGCACACCAACAAGGACGAAGAAAAAAGCTGGAGAGTTTTAGCCAGTACCTTCGGTGTCCTTCCACGACTTTAGCCATATTCCCATCGTAAGTTGGAATGAAGACGTCACTGGCGAGCGAGATGAGATAATCCAAGGCTGCCATTTGCGAGGACCTGTTCTGGAAAGGTCTCAGCTCCTCCTCCGTGAGAAGCATCTCCTTTCTCACCTGCAAAACAAGTTTTGATTCTTCGAAAACTTAGAACAAGTTAAGACGCACAAGATCGAGCGAGAAAACTTACGATCTTTGGAAAAGCTCGCCTTACGACTGCCATTCGCTTGTCACCTCCGTAGATCTCTCCAGCAGCGATGTATACTTGCATGCCACTGTCGTATCCCAGCGCTCGTAAAATCAAAGTCGTCTCTTCCGGAGTGAGTGGACAAAGCCCGTCTTTTCTCTTTTGGACACCGTCAATGATCTTCTCCTTCCACCACGGGTAAGCGTATCTGCAAGCACGAAAACAATTCCATCGTGTGTTAAGTCACAGAGAACAAAGTTTTAAAAGAGAGGAAGGAGAAGAAGAAAAGTGTGAGGGAATGTGACAAACACTAGAAAGTTGCCACGACAAGAGTTGCAGAGAGTTCTTTTTACTTTTCTCTACTCTCTCGCACTGTGAAGGATGAATTGACTTGCCTCATTCTCGTGAGCTCCTTGGCTTCTACTCTCTTGCAGCCGTGAGTGCATCCAGAGAAAGCTAGCATGTCCATCTCGTAGCGGAGATGGAGAGCCATGAATGGACCCTTGGCCTGCAAGAGCTTGACGAGCTTATCACCGAGGAGCTCGATCTGGGGAGTGAAACGAAGAGAGTGGAAGTTTACGCGGCACCGGAGCTTCTGGATCTCGTCCGGAAGGCCATTGTTTGCTAGGCGAGCGTCCGTGCGGTTTAAGTGGAGGATTTTGTGCTTCTTGATCAGTGGAAGTATCTGTGACAAGAAAGAAAGAAAAAGTCGTCCATCAACTTAAGAAACTTGAGAAGAACTCCACCACAAACTAAAGGACTAGACAAAACACTCGCATCAAAGAAAAGGAAGAACTATAAAACTAGAAAAGAGAAAAACGAAAGCCAGACTCGACCGAAACACATCAAGAAAAGGAAGATGGATTGATGAATCCGAGATTACCACCGAAACACATCAAGAAAAGGAAGACCTCGGAACTAGGATTGATAGAACGAGAGCTCACCTGGTTGAGATAATATGACTCGTTGGACCAGCTCACGGGAGGCATGGTATAGACAGCTTGGTTTTGCAGCTTCTGTGCGAATTTGGCTGGAACTTGTTTGATGATCCGGACTTCGTCACGGAGAGAGTTTATAAAGTGATCCACGTCGAAGATATCTCCAAAGTCACTGCGAGTAATCAAGATAGTCACCTCCATTGTTTCTTTGATACCATGAGATTGAGTGGAAGCTTACCTGGGATCGGCCCAGAACGATGTCTTGTCCAACTCTGGAACGATCAAAGTAACGTTTAAATACTTGGCGATGGCGACCATATCACATATCTGCACGAGAATTGGTTCTAGAGTTATGAAAGGAAAGTAGAAAAGTTTGTTTCGATCCTGAAAAGCTCACCGCTGCTCGCATCTGGTTGAGCCCTCCATTGCACGAAACCATGAGATAGCCATTGTTCTTGTAAATTCCTGCGGTGATCAATCAATCAGCAAACGTTAGAAATAAAGGCCAAAAAGGAGAAGAAAAGTGACTCCGAAAGGAAGAAAAAAAAAAAGAAAACCAAGAATCGAGACAAAGAGAGAAGTTTTCGCGAGAGCAAAAGATCCATTCAAGTAGCGTCACGGCCAAGAAGATCCTTGAGACAAGCAAAACAAAAGAAGCAAAGAAAAACTCTTATAAAAGTTTGGCCATACGAGAGACGAGAGAAAACTTACTTCGAGGTGGCGGAGATGGATCGAGCAGCAACGCCGCGGCGGCCGGATGATCCAACCGATGGACAAGAGGGCGATGGAAATCCACGCTGCTACTGCCGCTGCTACTCCCACCCGAGTCGAATCGATCGAAGCACGAAGGCCATCGCTTTACCAAATGGAGCCTCCACAGCTCGCCCAGCGCCGTGAGTTGGATGATACACGTCCACAAGAGAATGCTGGTGCTCGCGCGGAGGAGCCAGACGTGGAGCCGCGATCGATGCGAAGAGGGCGCTGGAATCATGGCCGAATTGCTACTCTTCTTCTTCCTCCCGCGCTGGAAATTCTTGATCTTGGCTATGGCGGCTACCTCCAAATCCTTCCACCGCTGCTGCTGGAATCCATCCTCCTCTTCGTTCTCCTCCTGCTCTTCCAGCCCTTGCTCTTTCTCTTCCTGTGGATCTTCCTTCCGGGGCATCTTGGTGGCTCATTCGCGCGAGAATTCGTTCAGCATTGGGTGGAGCGCGAGAGATCGCGAGATCGCGCAAATTGGGCAGGATGGTTTCGTCCGGGGCAAGCCGCCCACCAAACAATCCAACGAACCAACAAACCCAGCGAAGAGAATCGAGACCGGAAGAACAACCAAACAAACCGAAAGAGAAAAAAATGTCCCTTTTCTTTCTACCCCCCTGTTCTTGGTTCGCGCAATTCGCGAATCTTGGCTCGATTCCTCTTCCTGGGCAGCGGCGATGGGAGGAAGCCGGAGCGATTGCGCTCGCAATTCCCAAGAAGATCACCTGGGGCGATGGATCTCCTCCTTTGCCCCCTCTCCCATTCAAGAGAGGGAAAATGGGAGCTCGCTACAAACAAGAACTACTCGCAAACTACTCCTCCTCTCTTCTTGCATTGATCAAGAAATGTAGGAGCACCGATCCATCCCCACGCTTTCAATGTGGGCGCTACCGACTTTAGATCAGATCTAGGCGCGCGCGCGCGAGAGAGAAAGAGGGGGAGAGGGGAAAAGAATCGATTGATCTGTTCGACCACCAAAGAATCTCTCAAAGAATCGGCCGTATGCGCGGCAGCCCACCTCGGATTCCTCCCCAAATCGCGAGCCCAAAGAGCCCTAATCCCTCTGTCGGGCCCTCTGCGACGTCACGGACGCCGCGATCGCCATCGCCTCTCTTTCATCCTCTCTCTGGTTTCTTGCTCGTAGTGACGTGGCACTGACACGTCAGTAATGACGTGGCGGGCCCGCCGCGCTGGCCCCATCCTGGCCGTCGGTGGGGCGCCCAACGGGCACACCGTACGGTGGGAATATCCCGGACCTTATATGGCCCATCCGTACACATTAATAGCCAAGGTATGTGCAGCGTGTCTGCTGTCCAAAGTCATCAAGGCGCCAGGACGGTGCCATTTTCTCATTCTTTACGACCAAAGCTTTTTTGGCCTGGACGACTGATTAAAAAAAAAATCCATTCCTTCTCCGTGTTTGGCTGTCTGGAAGACCACCATGAGAAACCTTTAAAGAAAATTTAATCACCCCTGGTCATGGTCGACACTACAGAAAACCTTTGCTCTTCTTCGTAGATTGGTACCGCGTTCCATCGTTTTCGCCTTTGGTTTCAACAAAAAAGACAGCCTTTGGCAGGGACTAAAGCCACTGGTTTTCGCAAATCACTCCGTTTAGCGAGCCTAGAATAAGAATAAGAATGCACCGAGTGAACTGTAAAGCACAGAGACTTACAGCCGTGCGCCGGACGAACAGGGCAGCGGTGGTCGCCGCAAAGACGCCGTTGCTTTGGTTTCGGGGAAAGCGCCATGAGTCGTGACCAGTTTGTTCGATCCATGATTTTCCATGGAGCTTTGCGAGACGTTGCAAAGTGGATCAAGCAAAGCAAACCTGTTCGAAACAAAGACAATCACACACACACACACTAAAAAACACAACTTGAGACGAAAGTGAAACGGGGTACCTTTCCTCGATTGGGATGTTTAAACACCGGGTAAGAAGAGCGATCACGATCAAGGGAGTCCCCCACCACAACGTCTGTTTCCATGTAGAATGCGCCGATAGAACTAACGGGACCCCGGACCCGATCAATGGAATGCTTGTCACCGCTGTTCATATCGACCAGTCAGTATACTTGGAGAATCTAAAGCAGGGGGAAATCATACCCCACACTCCCCAGATACCTTTGATGGTCCTACTTTGATTGTTGGCCACCTTTAGCATTCAAGCGCCACCGAAATTTTCCCCTTTGACAGTACACCGACTGGACAAGTGGACGGAGGATCGTAGGCCGGAACTGCAACCTCAGCAGTCTAGATTTGACTCGAAGTAGCACTGCGATTCACCAGCGTCAAAGACGAGTGAAAAACACCAGAGAGCATTCATGTTACGTCTGGAAGCTGAAAGTAAACAAGCGGCCAAAAAGCCTGTAGTGGTGAGTGGTGAAGGATAAAAAAACGCTTTCAAGCGTGAAAGGTGTAGAGATACCTCTCTTGCTCTGTACGCCAGATCCAGCAGCGCGTATACGTTGTGCTGATATAACTTTGTGCTTATACGCATAAAAAACCACCTGCGACTCAGCTTTCAGTCTCGCTTATAATACGAGTTGAATCTGCGAAAGAAGAGTTACTCGGGAAGAGAAAATCGCCACCACTAGCTCTCATGACGAGCTCAGGCCGTAAGGATTCAAGGCAGACTTTCACCTCTCTCGATAAAATACGTAGCTGCGAAAGGGCTTACGTATCACAATTCCTTTGAGGACCGAATCCTGTGGAAAAACCACGTGAAACTGGCGCAGCACTAAGTTGGTAGCAAATTGAGCACGACTCGAGCAAGCACGAGATGGAGATATCGAGCGCATACCAATTAATTCCACGCCTACGTCAGGGAGCTCGTCATTTGTCTCTAGTTTTCTCGCCTTTAGATCGCTTGCGTGTTTTCAATGGCCACTCCCAGCGCCAGGATTCTCCAGAGCTATAAGCTTCTAGAAAAAGTCCTCGAGCTGGAAGAACAAAAGAAAGAGAAGATCGTATGAAGTTGCTAGGAAATAGGAAAATCAAAAGAACTCATACCTTCCCAATATCCAGGATGTTTAAAATCCACGGCCGTGCCAAGGAGCCGCGACCATTTCTTCGGCTCCTCCTAATCAGCATTCACAAAGAATTTCCAATCCTAGCGAAGATTTCTACTTCGATCGTGGAACTACCCGAGCTTGACCCATTGGTGGCGCTTCATCACTCCGTCTGCGGAGGATCAAAGCAGCCATTTCTTCCAGATTATCAGGAATGCGCACCTGTCGCCATAAACCCTAGCTTGAGCTAGAAGAAAGAGTGTTACAGGAATCGAGCCTGACACTTCGGCTTAACCCGGGTTTAGCCTTACCACGCATTTCCATTGATTACATGTATAACTCAATCTCAGAGATTTTTCGCTGTGGCCTTCGCTAGGCGAGCACTCGACTCGGCGATCTTGCCAAGAAGAGTGCTAACTTGGAGTTCGTAGTTGACTGTCAAGTTTTTCTGTAGAGAAACCAAGGATTCAAGCAACTTAAATTTGGAGTTCCAACATACCAGTTCCAGCAGTAGGCCAAGATGTTTTGCCTGGAGCTGCTCGAAAGTTTCTTCGTGAGAGTAGCTCTTATAAGTCAGCGTGGCGCCTCCATTAGACGACTGGAACATCAAACGTGAAGGATATAGAAAAGAACTAAACAAGAAGGGCGTTTGACGCGAACCTCGTTTTGGCTGGCTTGGATGCCTTCCTTATCATCCAGGGGAGCCTACAGACGAGCGTTTTAAACGGGAAAAACACGTACAAAGTGAAGTTACCTCAGTTTGTGCGAGTCCTTGCTTTCCACCGTCGCCTTTAGATGGCTTGCTAGCAGGAGAAGTTTTTTTCAATCCGCTAATTGGTTGTTCGTTCCTGGGATTCGGACTACTGCTTGAAAGCTGGAGCTGAAAAAGAACAAAAGCAAGGCTTAGTTTTAAGGAATTATATTTCTACCAGTGAGTTCTGTGTAACTTGGCTGTCAGTGCATGATTTCTTCGCAGACCATTCATGGTTCTCATCGTCATCACTATCTGGTACAACCAGAGTTGCAACAGCGAGCTTTTCCTGAGAAACACGTTAACAACGGTAGTACAGTCGCTTGCTTACCTCTTCGTGTCCTCGTTTTTTCCCGCTACAGGATGAAATGACGTTCGCTCCCGTTATCTTGACGTTTACTTCTGTACAGTTCTGTGTTCTCACCTCGACAGCAACACCTAGATCATTATTCAGGTTGTTCGCCTCGACAGCAGCACGAACTGTGGGTTCAATTTGACATGTCCCATTGTTGTGCTTGCCTTCCTCATTGTGATTTCTGCATAGCCCGTGAAGAGTTAACATTGAGAACTAAGTGATACGTTAACACACCTGAGAAAATCCTGAAGGTAGTCAACCAAAGGATAAATATGAAGGTAGTCTACAGCTTGAGATGCACGTACTTCCCATCCATATGATGATATAAAATCGCCCTTCGCCCTGTATGTAACACCGCAAGAAGCTTTGAGACAAATAAGAGAATAAAACTTGTCGCACATTACTTTAGGAAGAGACTCTCCAGCGGCATCCATTCGAAATCTTCGATCCCGCCGCCCAACTTAGGCTGGACATGGTCCTTGCAGACCATGATATACAGACGAGTGTTGTCCCCTTTCTGACTCATGGCACGGAAATGGTGGAAACGTTGCTCAAGTTGTACACAACCCGGCTCAATCTCTGAAGGAAAGAAGGAAAAGAATAAGAGAAGAATGAAGAAACCAAGTTACTCACCCACATTTTCCCGAATTGCCGAATACGCACAGTCGAGAGGATCACCATTGTCCGCTACTTCCTTTTCCACAAAGGACCACAGACCACGAGTGATCAAGCTCTTCACAAGCAAGCAACTCTTCCTGTCCTTGCTTAGAAGGAGAACCGCAACTCTGGTAATGGTATCACCGGTTGCGGCACCTTCAGCGGCAGAGAAAGCTGCCTGGACTCTCGCTTCTGCTAGGTCCGTTTCTCGTCCAGGCTTCACGTAATGAGCCAGTCCAAGACGAAAAAACACTGTCTTGCGGCAAAACTCCAGAGGATCGTAGTACTCGAGCTCTAGAACAGACACACGTCTTTAACAAACGCTACCAAAAAAGAAAGAAAAAGAACCTGGGAATGACTTGTGTAAGTAGAAGTAGTAGAGCCATGCCGTAGCTTCTAACTGAGAGAGAGAGAGAGAGAGAGAGAGAGAGGTGTTAGAAACCACTCTATTGGATGGTGCAAGAATCGAAAGCAAGGAATACGAAAGAACTCTCGTTTCAACGACGAAACAATCAAGCAAGCCATTCTACATTCATGATCATCCCCAGGAAAAGAATCGAGCGCGAGGAACACGAAAGATCTCACATTTGGAATGAAAACGCTCGAAATATTTCAAGAAACTACTCGTAAACCTGTTTGGCGACGAGCTGCGCTCCATAATCCGGGTACTGCTTCTTGCTCAGATCGTGGAGATGGTCATCGACGAGCCGAAAGAGCAGCGCGTCGAGAGCGTCCCCGGCGTCCACATCCTCCATTTATCCCAAAAACCCTAGTTCTCATTGCCAATGGAAGCGCGCTGAAAACACTAGCTACACAGCTTGAGCTTCTTGAAATGGGAAGAAACGCGCGACTTCCAACACGGCTTTGTGGCCAGGCACGTAGGAAGGTTCTCTGGCTGCTCGATCCACAGCTTGTGATCGATCGATGCCTCTGCCAGCTTCTTGGAGAGATTGAGGAGCTGGATCTCGCCTTTCACCTCCAGGGTCACCTGGAAATTCTCAGCTCGATCAATCAACAATGCCATGGAATTGGAAGTTGGGATCTTCCCCTACCTTGTGCATTGTGTCGATCTTCTCGGGCGAGCAGTACTCGATCGTGTCTGGATCTCCGCGATGCATCCACACGGCAGCCACCGCGGCATGGCAGCCCTGTGAAATCACGCTCCCCAACGGCCATTTCATCGTCTCCACGAGATCCTTGCGAATGACCACGTATTGGATGAGGACGTCCTCCTTCGCGGCCTCCGCGGTGGGAATTTCTTGCGCCATGGGCTTGCAGCTCGCGAATCGGCTCCTGGGCGCTGCTGGGAATCGCGGGATTGACGCCAATGGAGCCGCGATCCTAGACCCTATAATCACCACCATGAAAGAAAACAGGGCCTCTGTTTTAGGGCTCTTGGGGGGCTCTGTTTTTAGGGCTCTTCGCTCTCGCGCTGGAAGAACAGGATGATTTGGAGGAAGTACTGCGCAAATCCTCCAATACTGGCGAATCGAAGCTCCGTCCCTTCGACACCCTCGAAGTCTCTTCTCTTGGCAGCTCCAAATCCGCCGTCCAGCCACGCCAGGTTAGTGAATCCATCGCCGTGGAGCTTCTCGATCGCGAGCAAGGACCTGCGAGATAGAGCTCTACTCAATCAAACAATTGATATCGATCGATCGATCTGACCGTAGTCCTTCGCCGCAAGCGATCAGGAGCTTGGAATCTTTACTCCGCGCGGCAGCATCGAGCGCCTGATCGAGAAACTGGATGTTGACAGCCGTGAGCTTGTGCCCCATCCACATTCCAATGTAACCAAAGTGGATCCATTTTTTGAGCAGCGTTATGGGGCTGAGATCATCGTCCTCCACGAACAGCGGGACATGGATCGATTCGGCCACGAAAGATTTCTGGCGCTCCCAGATCGGTCTCACATCCAGGAGCTTGAATCCACGCTCAGAGATTAGGGTTTTGGCTTCCTTGGGCGATACCGCGATCACTGCGCCGGATTGGACGAGCTCCTTGGCGTCCTAGATTCCAAGATCGATCGATAGCGGCAAGGAATGGAATGGATCAATACCCGCATTGAAGCCGATGGCACTGGGTGGAATTTCTTCCCGGGATTTCGCTTGAGGCGCTGGAAATCCACCGCGGGAGAACGAAGAGAGGTGGAAGCCATAGCCATATCTTTTAAAATTATAGGGCAAGGGCTCTTATTGGGTAGGGCTGGGTAGAAATATTTTGGCGCTTGGATCGATCGATCGATCGATCTGGAGTGGCGCATTGCGCGTCGGATCTGGAGATCCAGGACGTGCCGATCGTCGCGAGCAGCAGCGTCCGGCACCGAGGTACAAATCTTGAGGAGGCTTGTGGCGGCTCCTCGGGCAGCGACGAGGAATTTGAGGAACAGATGAGGCGGATGCGGCATGAGAGCTCCCAGGAGAAATTTGCGAAGTACAGGGGGGTCTTGTTGCTGGTATCGATCCCGCTGGGATTGATCTTGGCCGTGATGCTGCTCATGCCACGGTCGACGCTGGAGAATGGCGCAGTGTCCATCACGGATCCTTTTGATCGCGAGGCATTTGGGAGCCAGTCGAGCTTCGCTGTGATCTTTGACGCGGGGAGCTCTGGAAGTAGAGTCCATGTCTTTCGATTTAGTTCCGATCTAGAGCTACTCGCCATGGACAATGGTCTTGAACTTTTTAGGCAGGTAAGGAACTAGTTTTGTCCTTTTGAATTTGGTGAGCTAACTTTTAGTTCTTTCTTTCTTCCTTGCAGCTAAAGCCTGGATTGAGCTACTATGCCTCTGATCCACGAGCAGCAGCCAACTCCTTAAAGCCACTACTGGATGCTGCTTTGAAGGTGGTGCCAGAGAATTTGCAAGGAAAAACTCCAGTTCGTCTCGGGGTATGGAAATATTTTTTGCTGCTATTGTTTTCACATTATGTTGTTTTTGTAAAGGCTACAGCGGGATTGAGAACTCTACCTGGTGGAAAAGCCAATGAGATTTTAGAAGAGGTATGTCTTTGGACGAGCTTTTAGTCTGAGCAGTAAAACAACTTTCTTGCAGGTTCGAGATCTTTTATCAAATAGCAGCTTTAAGTTCGATCCATCCTGGGTTAGCATTCTTGATGGGGCCGACGAAGGATCATTTCAATGGGTAGTTCTTTTGGTGTTTTCTATGTGTCTTTCTAAAGCTCATATGTAACTGCAGGTTACAATAAACTACTTACTAGGCCGCCTTGGAAAAGACCTTTCCGAAACTGTTGGAATTGTGGATCTTGGGGGAGGCTCGGTGCAAATGGCTTACGCAATTGCTGAAGAGGACGCCGCAAAAGCTCCAAAGGCGGCAGCTGGCGAAGACGCTTATGTCAAGACTCTGACGCTTCTCGGAAAGACATACTATTTGTATGTTCACAGGTATGTTCATCATTGGTCGCTTCCAAAGGCCTCTCGTCACTGACAATATGTGGTGTTATGCGATGCAGCTACTTGCACTATGGCTTGCTAGCAGCTCGGGCAGAGGTGCTCCGACTTGTAAAGACCAATGATGAAAATCCTTGTGTTACCTCTGGCTTCAAAGGTAAGCATTGGCCGATCAGCTTATCAGGCTTGAATGATAGTTCTGTTCCAGGCCAATACGTATATGGATCAGAGACTTTTGATGCCGTGGGGGGTGCTGATTTTGATCGATGTAGCGATCTCATTGTCAGCGCTCTCGAGATAAATCACACATGTAACTATCTCAAATGCACTTTCAAGGGAATCTGGAGCGGTGGCGGCGGTGCGGGTCAGAAAAAACTCTTTGTGGCCTCATTCTTTTTCGATCGAGCATCTGAGGTATGTATATACGCATGTGTTTTTGCAACACTCAGGCTTGTTTCAATGTTTCAGATTGGAATCATCAAAGATCCACAGGTTTCAGAGGCAGTTGTTGAGCCCTCTCAGTTCAGAGACGCCGCCAGATCGATTTGTTCGACGAGTTACGAGGACATGCCAAAGAAGTTCCCAGGCGTTCCAGAGCTTGCGCTGCCGTACATATGCATGGATGTCCTATACCAATATGATCTTCTCGTCAAAGGCTTCGGTAAGCTTCGTGTATCTTCGTTTCATCCTTTGACGATGTTGTTCCTCAGGTATTCCGGCCAACGAGAAGATCACGCTCGTGAAGCGTGTCCAATACAAAGGCTACGAAGTGGAAGCAGCCTGGCCTCTTGGTAGCGCGATAGAGGTTGTATCAGGACACAGCTCCTCGACTCATTCTTTGCAACTCTAGGCTAATTATTTGATGGAGATTCGTGAATTCTAGGATATGAAACGGCATTTTAGCCGACGACATGAAGAAAGTCGATTTGAATTGTAATCAGCAGACCATCGTTACAGGTACACTACTTCTTTGAAGCAACCTTATCTGGAAAGACGCCTTCCTGGTACTCAGACTCACAGAAATCTCCGCCAAGTTCATCGCAGGCCTCTCCCGGGAACACACTGCCAAGCACCAATTGTAAGTTAGATTGTAAGTTAGATCTCTTCCTTTTCGTTTTCGTTTTTGGAGTTCTTACGTTTTTTTTTCTTTGTAGTCGACGTAATCGCGATCAGGCTGCTTCACGGCTTTCACTTCCTTCGGTGGCGATGGCTTGGGCTTCACCTCTTTTCCAAAGCCTTCGACCGAAGTCCCGACCTCTTCGCCCGCTTCGGCCGGGAAAACGCTGTAAGAAAGAGCTCAATTCTCTCCAGGTAGTACTATAGGAAGAGATTTCTTCGAAGAACTTACGATTGCTCGCCCTCGTAGGAGACATAATCTTCGTCGTCTGGCTTCGCTGCTAGAGTCGCCACTCGATTGATCCTCCTGGAGCAAATCCCCGCGAAGCTCCTCCGAGATTTTAATCCTGGTAGATTTCTTTGGTGGAGCTGGTACGGGATTGGAACTCCGGCAGCTTGCATCTTGGTAGCTCTTCTCTCTTTTTGATCTTCTTCTCTCGTTCTCTCTTCTCCCAAAGATATTTAGATATATTCCCAGATATTCTAGTCTGACGTGGCAGGCTACTGGCTGTTTGCGTCACCAACGGCTGCGATTAAACGCCATGTTTGTACTATATTTTGAGGAGATCTTAAGAATAACAATATTATTCAATAAAATATAAATTTGAACATGTGAAGTCTAATTGTACAGTTATAATGCCATTTCTTCCAAAGCAAACCCAGCAGGAGGGGTAAAAAGGACATCGCCATTTAACAGCTATGAAGAGACTTTTGAATTTGCAAATGTGTCTTATATTGGTTGCAATTAGGACCAGCCTTTTTTAACACCCTTATTAAAGTTAAGGGTGAAATTTAACGTTCACACAAACCTTTAAGCTAAGTATCAATACTTACCATTTTATTTTTTATTTTTTTTAAGAAGGATTTAATTTGCACATATTTCCCTTATACTTACGGTTAACCCACTTAACTTCTAAGTATTTGGTTGTGAGGAGAGCTGCTTGATTGCTAGTGTTGCCGCACTAATAAATTCTCTGTTATGTTCAATCACGGTCGGCTTTTTGTCCAATAAACTTCGACTTTGTCGTCCAAGAAACTTTGTGTTCGACTTTGTCCAAGAACACGTCCTCGGCGTTCTCTACACTTGAGGTACATGTCGACGAGGTGCTCACGCAGGTAAAAGGTTTCCTGAAAACCAGACTGTACGACGTGACTGTGAATCTTTTGTGCATCTAGCAGGCTTCCCAGAGAACCACACTCGCGGATGAGACGAGCCAGAGTGAAGACGTCGGAGGAGCATAGCTTCGAATCGAGGTGCTCTCTCAAGTTTCTTTGCTTGCACAGTCTATAGTGAGTCCTCTGACCAGCCTTCTCATACCCGCTGCTAGAGTTCTTCCTGCGAGCACCATCACGTTGAAGCCTCTGGCAACAGGGGCAGAGCAAAGGTGAAAATTCGTGTTCCAAGTGGCAAACATCAAGGGCTCGACACACTGGACAAAATCGTGTACGACTTTGGCTCCGAGTTTGTGACTTGTGAAAGCCACTTGCTTCGTTGTTCCCTGGTTACATCCACGTTGACGCTTAGCACCGCATTGCTACGGTGGCCTTGTGGACTCTCGTGAAAGAAAGAAGCGATTAAGATTAAGAGTTTACGAAACCTCCTTGGCCCCCTTTACGCGTTGCTCAACTTGGTAAAACAGGCTGCCGTCGTAGATTGCTCGGATATCCTCCTTTGAAGCGAAGCCGTCCTGGTCTTTCATTATTTCGTAAGCAGGTCGCCATTCGAGCTGGGCTGCGGCCCTGCAGACGCGAGGAACAATTCGATTACAAATCCAAATGCTTTCAAACAGAAATTACCATCCAAAAAAGTCGTTAACATCGCGGTTTCTTCGTGTCATAGTTAGGATCTCGTCGAATGTCATTTTGTCCGGATGTGTACGCGCAAACTTCGCGAAAGTCTTCTCAAAGTTGGCTTCGTCAAAGCTGGAAGTTACAGAACACTCTTCACGTCAGGAAAATATAAAGCACACTGAACTTACTTCCCGTCATGATCATAAATTCCCGTGTCACTTCCATGTATGCCCTTGTGTATGTTCTTGATGTGAACTGGGAAGAGTAGGTCGGGGATCCAGCTCTGGCAGCAATAGCAAGCTGATGAGATGTTTCATCGAATAATATGAAAGGGAGACCTCCAACGTCGGATAGCTCAAGGCAACATTAAGTGCAAGTGTGCTGAAAACAGAGAAGGGAATATCGAAACCCAACGCTCTGAATCCTAAACAAGACCACAGAAAAGAGGAATTGAGACGAAGAAATCTCTAACAACTTAACAGCATACCATTATACGTTTCCCAGGGGTACACTTTGCCATCCCCATCCCTATCGAAAAATTCAACATGCAGCTCCAAGGGAGTCTTCCCTTCTGTTGTTAGAGATCAGAATGAGCTCGGAATACAATTCAAAACTACAACTTACTTTGATTCATCGCAGTATCTCCATCACTCTTCAACTTACTTTGAGTCGTCACAGTAGCTCCATCATACTCCAGCTTACTTTGATTCGTCGCAGTAGCTCCATCACTCTCCAACTTACTTTGCTTCATCGTGGCTCTGATGGAGCTGCTGCGGCGTCTGGACTTCAAACCCGAGGCTCTGGTTCCGGAGGCCGGGCCATTGGAACAGCACGGAGAATAGAACAGGCTTGAAGCCATTGAAAATGCGGGAGCTTCAAGCTTCAACACTTTGTTGCCTCATGAAGAAGGTGCTAGACGGAATCAGGGCCGCGCCAGATGTCGGACAATCCGGTAAAGCGTACATGCTGCGCCTGGAACAGCGCCTGTAGGACACATAGCCTCATCGTAAACCTTGCGATCCAGGATTCGAATCCAGGATTGCCTATATGCCACGTGACATAAACTGTGATGTGGCTCCTAAACAATGGTTGAAACTGATGCATTGCTCGTCGAAAAAGCTAGAAGTTAATTGTTTTTAAAGCTCGAAAGCAGCTAAATTTCCTTCTTAATTTGTTGCAAAATTTAAGATTGGCTTGGATGTAAGAAGTATGGAATTCTTTGTACCATTTACAAGTGGACAACTCTTTCCATGATGTGTAGGCTTGTGGTGTTTGTTTCTTCGGAGAAGATGAAGTGTTCTAATCACCTTGTTGACCATATTTGACCAATAGTTTCCAAGGGGACATTCAGCATTCAGAAGAGCTTAATGAACTTACATTAAAAATAAATTGGCTCTATTTCCCTTTGATATTTTCTAAACCTTCTATTGTACATTTACCAAGAACTGCACCTTCATGGATAGCTGTCTTTCAAACTAAAGCAAAACTTATCCAAAGACAACTCAAGCTTATCCACAATCTTATTCGAATAATTTGTTGCGCTTAGCATCAACCCTTAGTTTGAATTTATTATGTAATTACAATAATTTATCAATTGTCTGGCATATTTCATATTAGTTCCTATGCTTTGAACATAGAGCCAAGCGGTGAGAGTGGCCAGCACCAAAATATTTTCTCGGCTTTGCAATGGCTTGTTGAAGGTGACGCATATCATTACGGGTGGAGGAAGCCACAGTATTGCTTCAGGTAAAGCTCTGTCGGAGATGTAGAAAGCAATACGAAATTTTCGATTGTATGCCAATGGCGAGTGACGAAGCTGATGTTATAGCAGAAGAGACGATGAGCAGCAGACCCAGGCCGCGTTCCAGTTGTGAGTAAATTCCAAAAGTATGATCACCTGGCCGAGAAGGATCCACAAAATGATGAGAGGCCTTTAGAGGGATGAAAAGAAAGAGACCAACCAAAGAGAGACATTCCATGGAGGAACTAATCATAAGCATCAACGAGACCATTTGGCAAGAAGAACATAAAGTATGGGGTTCACAATCCAGCCACCGTGATGCCACGAATCGCGTTGATCGCTCTAGAATTCTCGACAAAACAATCACTCTCCAGAACCGGGTGTGGACAGCGTCAAGACGCAAGTCTCGCAGAGGCCAGCAAGATATAACCTTTTTAAATTTCTACAAAAGCTCTTAGAACGAGCTCTCCCAGCTCGTTTCATTCTATTTTTTCCTATCATCCTGAATTTTTATCAACGGGATAAGTCGCCACGATCACGAGCATACTGAAAACATTTGGGGCCCCGCAGATAATCCTCGATTCCTTGAGTGGCAAGGTCTCGTTCAAGGAGTATGGCAATCAAAGATTTTTCGAGGCCCCGAGCAAGGACGAGCTCGAATCGATGAAGGCCGCAAGGAAGCCTTGCACCTGGATGGAGAAAACAAAAGACATTTTTTCTTTGGTTAGAGGCAGACCGTGTAAACAGTATATGAATCACAAACATGGTGACAAGTGACAACTTTCTCTCAAAAAGCTTGATGAGTCTCTTTTAGCTGATTCTCATCAAATATCTGGCAGTTCCAACCCTCGCATCTTCGTTCTCGAAGTTTTCACTCCAAATTCCAAAAAATTATTTCTCTGGTGTTCACGGGGAATTTTACTGTACAGCTCAAGCTCCTGAGCTTCCAAGTTTGTTCTAATGAGCTTCTCGAAGACCTGGTTTTTAAAACCCTTTTTCCTCACATTGACGTTAGCAAACTCTGTGGAAGGAAGAGGAAAGAAAACGACCTTAGAGCTACGGTTCCCGGTGGAGGCTTATTTTGTGGCGATTAGTAGCGATGCTTTCTTTTGTCATCTCTCTCACTATGCAGGACAAGGGATTGATGATCGCCGCGTCGTTCTATCCTTCTAGCTCTTCGTTTTTTTCCCCTTTATCCTTTTCTTTCCTGGGAAGGTGATAGAAGCTCTTGCGATTATTCCTTGCCACAAGCTCTCATCACTTGGTCGAGTGTTTTCTCTCTTGTTTTTGTTTCCTTGGATTAACACAAGACCGTGACATGCGAATAACTCCAGTGACACGTCTGTGATACGTAAAAGTCACGATCTTTACTTCACTGGAGCTCCAGCGCTCTCTCTAAAAGATTTCGCGACTTGTGATCTCGTCGAGGATGCACCAAAGCATTCGAACGAGCAAAGCTCCAAAAAACTCTTAGGTGAGATCGACAAAGAGTGCTGGAAAGAATTTGTTTTTCATTTCCCCTTTTGCTTTCTGGCTGACAGGCATTGAAAATCGCGAGCAAAGCAACAAAGGCATCGATTCTTTCACTGCTAGAAACCATCCAGCTTCGAAGAAGAAAGATGGCCCTCCCAGTCCCCAAGAGCCATCGATTCTATCCGGTTCTTCCCATGTTTCTACGCTTCCTGTACCGATCTTCGGTCGTCAATGGACAGCTCGAGCAGTAATAGTATCTCGCGTAGCTGCTACATGACGTTTTAAAATCCTGCGAGCGTTTTCAAAGGTCAATAAGAGAGCGAGAGATTGATTGATACGAAACAATATATAAAGTCAAGGGAAGCAGCAGTAGCGCGTACCTTTCCGGCTGACATTGCTTGCCACGAAGACAAGCTGCTGTTGCTATCTTGCTGCTGCTTTTCTTCTATTTGCTTTTGAAACTCTGCCTTCTCTTCTTCCTGGCAAGGAGAGAATGAGGATTTGCGCGCAAGGCAACAACACGAACCATTATTCTTTGTTGATCAGCAAACCAAGGTGCCAGGTTGCTTGGCAGCTTGACAATATCCTCATCAAACAGCTCCAGGAACTGCTCGTTTGCGTAATGCGCTTTGTTCCCCGCGTAGCGTCTATACTGCCAGAGAGTGCTTCCAATTCAGGACCTTTGAGTAGAAACCTGGGCTAGCCTAGTACTTGTAGAAAAACTTGCTCACCTCCTCTATAATTGATGTCAAATTCCACTTTTGTAGCCTCCTTAAGCAGCCGACAAAGGTTCCAGTTTGCTGAATCCCGGAGCTGAGACCCAACGAAGATGAGTGATGAAGCTTAAAACCATGGAGTGTAAAGGAACTTACGAGCATGTAACCATAATAGGATACATGGAATCGTCCAAAATAATTTCCAACGCGTCCTTCATCATGTTTTCGCTCACTGGTTTCCACGAGGCGGGCTTTCCCTCTCGCGCCCCTAGATGAATCTGTTGGCAATACCAATAAAAATCGTAAGTGATCGTCGGCCCAAAGCAAACTAACACAGGAAACAAAAGAAAAAGGCCAAGGAGAGAGAATGAAAAAAGAATGAGAATGAGAGAGAGAGAGCTTGCTTACCAAATTCACGGCTGACTGCTGGAGAAACGTCTCGATGACAGGACAAAGTGGCTCGGGAGAGAGATGCAGCAACGTCTTGAGATGGAGATTGGAGACAAAGGCGAGGCTGTGAACTTTGAGGGCGCTGGCTCTGTAAATTCCTGGCTCCACAATACCATAGTTCTCTGGAATGCTCATCACGGCCAGCGGAGCGGCTGAAGTAGAACTGCCATTTGAGACAGCCATCATATCTGTGTGTGACCAGTTCTCCCTTTTAGAATCTCAGCGGGGATCCAACCTCGCCGGAATCCAAAAGAGGAAGATCCACTTAATCCTCTTGCCTTGCGCGAAGGTAAACGAGCGCTTACACCTGTAGAGCCTTTGTGGCGGCAGAAGACCAGGCAATCAGCGTTTTATTCGACGACGCAAAAGGGTTAAAGGGAAACCATAAAGAAAAAAAAGCAGCCATGTACCACGATCAGGAATCTGTTCCCGTTTGTAGTTTAGCTCCGCGTGGTCCCACTCGGCGGAACATCTCAGCATCACAATTGCCAGGTTCCTTATCCAGTAACACAAAACAACTTCTCCTCTGTGCCACAGAAAAGAAGATTGAATCAGGCAAAGCATCGAAAAATTTTCCAGGTGAAGGGAACCACCAGAGTTACATACCTGACTTATCCAATAGAGGTCACATGAATGGAGTGATCCACAGATCCTGTAACATATGTGTCGAGATGGGGGTGCCAGTCTACTGAGGTTACTGGACCCTTGTGTTCTAGGCTTTTTAAAGCTTTTGGCCTCCCTCTGCCAAACTGCAACACGCCACCCAGTGGTTTAGATTTCGGAAGTAAAGTCTAAAGTGATGCTTACATTGATCAAAGGTGCGTATAGATTGTTTGAAGTCAGCAGCAAGCTGTTCCCATGAGAAGCCAGAGCCATTTCGTGCCGCGGCAACTTTAAGCCATCCGCACTCGTGAACCTTGACAAAATTACAAAATCAATCACGGAAGTCATAAAGTGACATTTCTTACTTGCTTGCATCGTATGATTGAAGAACTTGGCCTTGATTATGCAAACTCCATTCGAACACCTATTGCCACAAGTTGTGTGCACGCAAGTGCAGAAGAAGAAAGATTTTACGTACCTTGCCATCTGACCCCATCGTGAAGATGCTAGTCTGGTTGGTACCAAATCTGACACAGTTTATAGCACAACCATCGTGAGCTGGCCAGCCAGTGATTGGAAGATATCCATTCATATCTGCAACGCATTAAAGAGGTAAACAACTGAATAAACCATCCATCAGGATACCAAAGAGCCGGATCACTCCGTCATCTCCTGCAGCGGCTACCATTTTTCCGTTGTGGTTGAAGCAAATGGAGGTCACAACTGGTGGATCTTCACCAAGTGGGAGCAAATTCTGTAAAATAACAGATTATCAAGACTACCTTTAAAACACTTGCCACGATTACCCAAGCCTTCCAGTTCTTCATGTTCCAGACTGATAAAGAACCAAATCGACGTCCAAGTTTATCTGCATTTGTGCTGATCTTGAAATATAATCACAATATCAAGCTGCGTAGACTGTTACCATTCAGCGGAAACGAAAAACGGGTCTGTAGGACTACACTTTATATCCAGAACTCTGCGTAGAACACGAAGTTTCAATATTTATCATCCATAGTACGATATATTTACCTTGGAAAAGCCTGGTTTGAAGAAAGATCACAGACAACCCGCTTAGCATCGACATTCCAAGCTTTGATACCAGCTTCTGAAGTTCCAAGCAACAGCTGCGAGAATCATTGTGAAGATAGGCTCAATGTAAATAATCTTACCAGACGACCCGATTTATGCTCCCAATCCAGAGACATTATTTCAGCACCACAGTAGATGGTTGCATTTCGCGACGTTGAAACACTCGAATCATACGTCCATATTCTGAGCAAGAATCCGCTTTGTTTATTTTTTTTCTTTTGTGAAGCGTTAGAGCAAAATATACCTGACAGTCCCATCAACTGATGCACTGGCAATATTGGATCCCGTTGGAGAAAAACGACACCTGGTTATTGGACTAGTATGGCCTGAGAAGCTTTCCTGTTCACAGTCACATAGCATATGGGTTTAGTTTCCAGAGAAAAAGAAAGGAAAAACAACAGGAAAATGGACATCTCCGATGCTCACCACCATCCCACCTGAGATCGGACAGTAACTTCCGTAAAATCTTCAAGTAAAAACACGTTCTCTGAAAATCAAAATATCAATCCAGCATGTTAAAGCTCACAATTCTAAGACGTACCAGCAGTAAGAGGTTCGAAGGCTACAGATCCAGATTCCCGAGATGTGGACAGTTCTGATGAGTTAGCCAAGTCCGATGTTTTCTCGACTGAAGAGATGTCAATATCTCCGTCGGTCAATCTACTAGACTCCATCGACGTCGTAAGTTGATTCTTCAGAGCTCTGAAAGTGAAACAGTAAACACGAGACTATGAAGATGGCTGACATACGCTTTAAGCATTATGATCTCTTCCTCTTTTCCCTGTAGCTCGGCTTCAAGAGAACTGCATTTCTCTCGACTTTGAGTCAACTGCTGCTTGATCTCTCTATAGTTCGAGCGCTTAGAGATGAGCTTTAGCAATGCAGGAAATCGTGAAAATCGTTAAAGAACACAGGCGCATAGAAAAAGGTACGGAGCAAAGGATATGAATACCGTCGAAAAACTGGCAGAGAAAATTGCGAAACGAGACCATCAAAGTCTCCAGCCAGTCTTTGGAGAAATAAACTTGGAACTGAGGGTCGGAGCTTGGATCTTTCACGTAAGGAAGAGCTGCAAAGAAGAAAAGAAAGGGACCGCAAAGTGAGATATAGCTGAAGTTCCTTATCGAGAATTTTTACCAAACCACGCTTGCCAATCGTCTCCTTCGTTCAAGAGATTGCCCCCATACTGCTTGAAGAAATCCAGCACACGATCCATTCGCCCCTTTTGCAGCGCATGAACCAAGTAGAATCTCTTCAATCCAGTGTGGAGCTTCCTCGCAGTGGCTTGGCAATGCGAATCGCCCGGCGCAAACAGCGACAAGCTCAAGAAATCCATGAGCTCGGCGAGCTTCTCGATCTGGTACCTCGGAATATAGACATCAAACACGAGCTGCATTGTCTTCTCGACCTGGTAGCCCTGCGTCACATCCGCCGCGAGATCCGCCTCGAACGCGCGAATCGTCTGCGTGAATCCACGAAACAGGAGGAATTCGCGAACCAGCCCCTCGGCATTCTTGTGCTCGTCCATCCAAGAACCCTAAACTCTTGTCCCAAGAACCCTAAACTTTAATTATAAATATGGGCCCTACGTTTAGGGTTTGTGCAAAGGATATGGAGGGTGAGAGACTGTTAACGGATTGGGAGCTGTCCCAAAGTCCATTCCCGGAGCTTCCAATTAGGGGGAGCCAACATCGCAGCCAAGTTCCAATTTGCCCTATAACTTTTCAGGTGTTGAGGCCGTGGCCTCGATTCGAGGAGGAAGCAGCAGCTATGGCACACGATCTGGATAACCAGGCACATAGAAATCAAGATCCTGCCTTGTTCATAGAGCCTTTAGACGAACCAGGCGACGAGGTAGGAATAAGAGTTCCTTTAGAAGGATATATCTTTCCTCTGACAAACAAGTTGGCGGCAAGGCTAGGACTTGCGTTTAGATACAAGCACAATGGAAGTGGACGGGGTTTCAGCTTTTCAGATCTCCTTATTCTCGACTCCAGCCAAGGACAGCCAGCAGGAGCTAGAAAGATGCTCTCGCAAAGGGTTTTTGGGAATGGAGGAGCAAAAGGGGTTAGTTTAGCTGGTTATACAAGCTTGGATGAGCTTTTACGTGACGATTCAGTGAAGCAAGTGATCCAGCAGCTTTATGGCGATATGATCCTTGATGAAACCAAGTATGGCTTCATCACGGAGTACAATTCCACAGTTTTCTTCAGGCGGGTTGTAGGAACTCAGACTTTGGAGTGTTCTCCGGTGGTGAGAGTGAATGAAGCACCGATCGAGAAGTTTCTCTTTGTGCTCCACCAGGCAGAGATGGACAAGAACATGAAGCCTGATTTTTCCAGGACAGTAGTGAAGGACACCTCTCCAGGTGATTACCACGTTCTACAGAAATTCGCAATGTCTGAAGGTTTCTCAGTAAAACGATCTTTCGAGTTTGTCACAAACTCGAGAGATATAACACAGTCAAAACCAAAAAGACGGCTGGTATATAATCCTCAGGGTATTGTCCGAGTTGATGTCATTGACAATATGGTGGATGTCACGGATAATATGGTTGACAACTTTGAGTTAGCCATTAATAAATTGCCAACAATCGATATGGAAGAACTGGGTGTGACAGGTGCTGTTATTGGGTTTGGAAAGTATGGTAATGTGATAGAAGGAAAGGCACCGGATGGAACAAAGCTTGCACTCAAACTCTTTGATCTGAGAGCAAACGAGGCATGGGATGCTGCATTTCAGGAATTCCGAGTGTACCGTCGCCTAAAGCCTTTGCAAGGGTTGCATGTCCCGCGTTTGATAGCATTGGGAAGAATAGCTCACACCAGTATCATCTCTCTTGTGCTCACAGATGAGGCAGGCAGCGATGTTGTGAAAGAATTGCAGGGAAGGCAAGGCATGCTTGTGAGGAGAAAAATTGTGCAAGCTTTGTCAGAGATTCATAACCTGATGGTTTTGCACAACGATGTCAAGCTTTCAAATATCTTGTGGAGTGGAGGCGATGCCAAGTTCATAGATTTTGATGCGAGCATATTAAACCCAGATATGTTTCCATATAAGCGTCTGGAGGAAATACAGAGCTTGGAAAACCAGCTTGACGAAGGTGAATCTTTGCTTTGTATGTGTTAATTGCTCATTCATTCAATTTTTGTTTCCTTGCAGCTATATTAGAGGCATGAATGAAACACTCACAGTTTTATACGTAAACAGTTGTGCCTTGGACTATGACATGGCGAGCGGACATGGCACTAGTGACCACGTCACCGACCGCAATAGCTGGGATTGGACAGTGCCTTCGTCTCTGCCACAAAGGAAGAGCAGCACTCGATCGATCTTCTTTCGTTTTTGCACTAGAATTCGATGATAAGGACCTCAAGCTCTTGAATTTGCTTCTCCAGGCAGAGTCGCTGGACCGTATCACTGTGAAGAATTCGGCACTTCTCTCGTCGAGCTCGACCCCAGATAAATGGAAACTAAATTGATCGTCGTGGGAAGAACTTATCTCTGATCTTTGCCGTTGTTGCTGCTGCTGCTGCTGTTGCCGCTGGATTATGAAGCTAGCATTTTCTTTCACCCATCTCCTGAGCAGTTTGAGATAACAGCCATTTCTCGTGCTCTTTCCACTCTTTGTAAAGATCTGCCTCATTCTTCCTGTGAGGATCTCTAAAACCTCATACCACATTGAGTACTACTGCGAAACTTAAAAAGAAAATTGTCACCTCTTTCAGAGAGAGAATTGGAGGAACAAGTCACGGTCACCTTGACTGGTGGAAGAACGTTCCTATATCACGTTGCCCACAAAGAAATTTCCACTGAAAGTTGAGTCAAGCCACGGCCTTGACGCCAGAAACTGTGGGATCATAAGAACTTGTCCAGAAACTGTGGAGAACATAAAGACTTACACTGAGGGACACTGTTCACGTCAAAGGCCTGCGCAGTCCAGTCTCGCCTTGGCTTGACGCGATCTCTTTCCTCCTTTATCTTTGTTCACGTTTCGAGACAGATGAAGATCTGGTCGTTCACCACCGCGGACGGCAGAAGCTTCTCGGCGTCTAAACCTTTGCAACCGTATGTGGTCGTTCTTGGGCCCTGTGGTTTCGTCCTGCCGAACAGAAGCGTCATGACGACTTGACAAAATCTTAGACAAGTTCCTACTTCACTGCATGAAGAGCTTTGTTTTTCCTCGGCTTGCAAAGAAGTGTTGTTTAGCTTTCCTGCAATCTCACTCTCACCAGGATCGCTGTTGTCGCTGGCCTCTGCGTCAGAATCCGATGCGGCATTTCCATCAGAATCGGATTTATGTTGTGCTATATACTGCAGAATAGCATGGATAGAATGAAAACCCACGAAGGTACTACCAATACTTGCCTGATCCAAATCTTCTTGGTTTTGATGAGTGAAGCCACTTGCGGCCAGTTCCTTATCCAAGGCTCCGGCTGTTCTCGCCAAGTTTTCAAAATCTGGTCTTGTGTCGTCTTCGTCCACATTATTATCAATCCCTTGCAAAGTTCGAGCATTGCCGCCCGGAACATAGTTAAACCTGAAGAACAGCTTCTGCTTAACAACCCGTATCAATAAACATGCTTATAAAGCATACCTTTTCAGAAAGAACTTGTAGATACAATCTACGTCCCGATCAAAGTATCTGTAACGACAAAGAGAGTTTTAGACTCTCTGGTAGCACACATGAATAAGACTCACGATTCCGCATTCCGGTGAGAGATTGAAACCATCTGAGGAAAATCGATCATTGTAACCTTTTCGTCATCATCTATCTGCCAGAACTCTTTCAGAGAAAATCCAAAGCAAAAGGCCGGAATTCCTTACCAAGAGATTGAACTCGTTGAAATCACAGTGAATAAGGCCGTGTTCAGCAAGACGAACGATCAGGCTAATTACCGTGTCAAACACTAGTGCTGGATTCTTCAGCTCTTTCACTTGCACCCTGCAATAGTAGGAATTAATCTAGTTTCATTCATTCCAATCATCAAAAACACAACTTACAGAGGATAGCCTGGAACAAGAGTCATTAAAACACAGTGTCGATTCCAATCAACTGCTTTTGGAGTGGGGAATCCATGTTCATGCAGAGCCTGAACAAAGCATTAAAAAAAAAAAAAAAACGCAGAAAGAGTGAAAGCCACTACCTTCATGAAAGCAAATTCCTTCAGAGCCGCAAGACGTGAAAGATATAACCAGTTAAAGCTACTTCGATGTTTGAGGTAGTCTCGCTTTGATTTTACAGCTCTGAATGAAGTTCGTCCCAGACGATGGAGCTTGAGTGCTAAAGTTTGTCCATCTTCAGCAACTACTTCAAAGATATCTGGAAAAAGAATTTGCCAATGATCATCAGCTAAAGAGACTCTCTCTTTCTGTATACCGGATTCTTTGCCAACACCAATTTGACGACCGACTCCCACGATCAATCCACGATTCACCATGGTTTTGATCGCGAGAAAATCATAACCAAGATTTGTGAGGCGATAGCCATCGTCTACCAGCGAAACACAAAAAGAAAATCAGCTATGATAAAGCCAGAAAAAATCCTTACACTTCGTAGAGTCGTGATGAACGAGTTTGTGTCGCAAAAGAGTTCGTATGTTCTTGTAAGCTCCACCAGTCCTGGACGGAAAGAACTCTCGAAAAAATAGACAAAAGGAAACGAGAAAATCACTTACTTGAGCCCGGCAATGCGATCGATAAGCTCGGCAGGAACGATTTCATGCTGAAATGCTCGAAGAAATCAGGCAAAGAGGAAGAAGATCACAGATCGCGCTTACATTCTTCATCCCCATCTCCACAGCCGTGAGAACACGAAATTCATCCTTGGAGAGATAGCGCAGCACATTCACGTCAAGCTTCATCTCTAGGGCTAGGGCTTTAGCAAGCAGAAAAGGTTTTGGTTCCCAGGAATCGAGCCTTGCCAGAACGAGAGCCGAATATCCTACGAATTATTTCATTCGCGCTGTCAATGCTGCCCTCTCCAGTGCTAGCTAGAAGTAAACCGTAGCACTAGGGATTCTACGCGCGACGCGGACGACGATCCATCGATCGCTCGGCGACCAGGTATGCGAGGCCTACCGATCGCTACGATTCTCTTCTGCGTCTTCATTCTCGTGCCCCGATCGTCGTCGCAACCTCCCACGGACAGCCTCCCCAATGTGATGTACTACAACACCATGTCTTTCTCTCCGGGCAGCGCCTTCGAGCGTAATCTCGATGCCGCGCTCCAATCGGTCATCTCCAGCTCCAGATCCAGCCCCAGCGCTGCTCTGGGAGCCAGCCCAGACGTGGCATACGCGCTGGGCGAGTGCTACAACAATCTCTCCCCGCAAGATTGCGTGTTGTGCCTTGGCATGGCGAATCGGACAATCCGTGGTCAAGCACCAAGAACGATTGGAGCGCGCCTCTTTTCCAATTCCAGCGATTATAGCTGCTACCTTCGCTACGAAAACTACGATTTTCTAGGTACGTTTTTCATCTCTTTTTCTTGGTTTTCTCTCATAGATATGTTTGTGTGGATCAGGAGGAGTTACTCCCAGAAATCCAGAGGGAACTATTGAAAATGCTCCTGCGGCTCCACTACTTCGAAACGCCGCCCAAGCAAGTAAGTGGTTTTAATTTCAAAGCAGTGAGCCTGAGAGTTTTGACTTTATTCTTCCAGGCTTTCCACTGGGCATAGTCGTGGGTGTGCTTGGAGGCGTTTTAGGTACTTTAGTCGGTATCTTCGTGTTCTTCTGCTTACGTCGTAGGCGTTCTTTGAGGATTCGTCGAAAGTTCCATCTGGATAACTTGGATCTTCCTGGTATGAATTTGAAAGTTTTCTCTGCCCCCAAAGTTGACACCACTGGTTTGAAGTTATTGATGGGATAAGTAGCTTTACGTACCATGAGCTCGAGACGGCAACAAAAGGCTTCTCGGACGATAACAAGCTTGGTCGTGGTGCATTTGGAACGGTTTTTAAGGTTGTAGTGGTCATAATTTGTTACTGACTTAACATCTCTCGGTTTGCAATGCAGGGAGTGCTGAAAGACGGTAGCGAAGTTGCCGTTAAGCAGCTGGACTTGCATTCCAAACAGGGACAGCGAGAGTTTGTCAACGAGCTGTCTATTATAACGAGCATTCAGCACAAGAACCTTGCAAAACTTCGAGGTTATTGCCTTGACCGAGACGATCGAATACTAGTGTATGAATTTCTAGAGAACAAGAGCCTTGATCAGCTATTATTTGGTAAGGACTAGGCTACTTCCTTATTGGTTAGTCTCTCAATTTTGTGATTGTAGAATCGGCTACTGGAATACTTTTGGACTGGCCAACACGCTTTCAAATCGTCCTTGGTGTTGCGAATGGCCTTGCTTATCTTCACGAAGGATCCCAAAAGCAGATCATCCACCGCGACATAAAAGCAAGCAATATCCTTCTCGACCATAGACTACATCCAAAAATCTCGGACTTCGGAATCTCCAAACTCTTCAACCAAGAGAAAGGATTTACGAGCACCGTGATCGCCGGAACAATGTAAGGCCAGTTTCTTCCCATTTCTCCTCCTTATACTTCGATCGTTTTTCAGGGGCTATCTCGCTCCAGAGTATGTGCTGGGTGGATTGCTGACTGTCAAAGCCGATGTGTATAGCTTTGGAGTCCTGACGCTGGAGATTGTCAGCGGACAAAGATGCAGCGACCGAAAAGATGGCCGTCTGCTAGTTCACTCGGTAAGTTACGAGATTTATCAAAAGTTCCAAAGATCTATTGCTGTTTTATTAGGCATGGATACTTCACGAAAACTGCAGCGAACTCGAGATTGCTGACCAGAGACTAGACTTGGAACACAACTCCGAAGAAATCTTACGAGTTATCCAAGTCGCTCTCGCTTGCACTCACGAGAACTCGGCGTCTCGTCCATCGATGGGGGACGCTGTTGCCATGCTCTCCGGCTACAAGCAAGTCATAATCGCTCCCAGATCCCATGATGTCTATCTAGATTATCTCAGCAGCAACGATACGGATAATTCTCGCTTGTTGACAACGTCCAACACATTCGGTCCGGGAACGAGTTTTAGCATTGAATCAAAGGCATAGTCGAGCGACATTTTTACGTGTAAATTAACTTGTCATAGAATGTTTTTTTAAAGGCTAATTACAATTTTGAAAATCATATTTTGGCGGTAAAAGTTTGCTCAAATTAGATTTCCGTGCCTAGATTTGCCACTGCCGGTGCTGCTGCTTTCCGCTACGCAAGTATCTCCCGGGGCTCTTCCTCTCCAGGAAGTTTGGCTCCTCATGTCACGATTGCTCACCGCTTTCTTCAGATCACAAATCTTGCGTAAGCATCATATCTCTCGAGAGTAAGAGTTACTAAGGAGTCACAAACCTGAAGAGTATATGGACGTCTACCATGAATAGAATCCTCCTCTGCAATACTTCCAAGACCTCAAGTCAAAAAACTATTTACCAGGACTGTCTGTGACAAAGTCGAGCTTCCTTCAGCTCTTGGACGAGATGTTAACTCTGCCTAGATGGACAACTAAGTGTAAGCTGGAAATGTTTTTCAAAGAGCTTTTAAGTTGTTTGTGCGTATAAACATTGTAGGATTACCTTGGAGAACTGATTGAGCCGGAAGGTTTATTGGATGCTTTCGCAAGCTATTCCGTCGGAAAATCCGGCTGGAGCCGTGGAACCGACTGCCGCACTTCTTCCAGCTTGTGAAGCTCCTCCTTGAGCCTCCGGAGTGTTGGATATGGCGTCTGTGTGCAAAACATATAAGATTTTTTTTTTGCCTCTTGAGATGGACGAGAAGCTTACCATATCGACCTTGTAACGCTCCGCGTTGCCGATCTGTGGGATGACAAACACATCAGCCTGGAGTGACAAGAACCAAACGAAGATCCCGTCAGTTACGAAGGACAAGTGCAAAGATTTTCTAGAATGAAAGAACATACGAGGGTGAGTGTGTCTCCAAAGCAGTATTTTCCCGATGTCTTCTTCACGATCTCCTCGAGAGCTACATGAAAGTCCAAGACACTTGTGAGTTGCGGGGTGTGAAAGCAGAAAGCTCACCGTTGAAACCAATGACAACCCAGTGTTGCGCCCACTTGAGTCTCTCCTCGTCGCCAAGTTTCTCCTTGATCATATTCTGCCAAAGAGCAAGGAAGGATTCAGCCTTGCTATGAAAAGCAGGCAAAACTTACCATAACGCGGCCTCCACTCTGCAGAGGCTGAATATTTGACGCGACGAGATTGACAATCTTGCAAATGTAACAATCGAAACATGAGAAACAAATCGAGCTAAAACCGATAATACTTTTTACCTGGCGAATTGTCGCTCGCTGCTTCACGTTTTTAGGCAGGAGTGGCTTCTCTGGGTATTTTTCTTCCAAATACTACGTGATAGCAATTCCACAAGAGATCCCTTCCAAGAGAAGAAAAAAACAATAGCAAACCTCCACAATTGCTACAGAGTCGATCAAAAGACCATCTTCTTCGGTTTCTAGTGCAGGCACCATACCCAAGGGATTGATCTTCGAAAACTCTGAGAATCACAAGGGATTTAACCCCGAATGCCACACAAAACAAACTCTACCATCGTCGAGCCGACCATTTGCGAAACCCACAGCCTGGTACTCGTATGGAATCCCTGATCAAGTAGAAAACTGCGATCACATCCAGAGGGAGAAAGAGAAAAACCTTTCAATGCAAGCGCCAGCCTCACTCGCCAACCACAAGAGCTCCCCCAAAACGTGTAGAGCTTCATCTTCCCTCCACAAAACCTAGATTTTAGAACCAATTTAGCCTAGATCCGAGGTATATCCCCGCCACGTCACTCTCTAAGCTCGTAACGGAAGATCTACACCTTCCACGTGTCCAAGCCGAGTTTCGTAACGAACAATTTTTGGTATATTCTTGAGCGAGACTATTCTGATATTTGTTTGGACACATGATTTTTGTTTTCACAATGTTTAAACAATTTGACTCTTGATCCACTCATTCTCAGGCTTTGAGAATGATTCCACAATCTACTGCAATGCTTCTACTTTGAACTGTGCCTCTTGATCCATTCATGGTTGAGGATCTCCTTGATTACGAGCCTGTTAGCAGTCATACCCCTGATCAAATCTCGGGCTCCATCCGAGATGCCATCCCAGCAAAACACGCCGTGATGGACACCCGAGCCACTGCTTATCACGCTCTCAGATATCCTCCTCGTCTCCTCCCTGCGAAGCTTGAGAAATGGCGTTCGTGCCGTGAGACAGTGATACAAAACCATTCCCAGACCCCAAACGTCCACCGCTGGAGTGTAACATCCATCGCCTAGCATCGCCTCGGGAGCCATGTAAACCCACGTCCCGATGCCCGACACCCGCCATGGATTCGTCATACAGCACGCCAGCCCGAAATCGCACAGCTTGGGCACACAGCAGTCATGGTTTGATTCTCGATCAGCCAGCAACACATTCTCCGGCTTCACGTCGCAGTGGATGAAGCCTTCCTCGTGAACTTGTCCCAGTGTCTTTGCGAGCGGCGCGATGATCTTTGCGGCTTCATGCTCGCCTAGAACGCCCTTCAGCGAGATCCGCTCGTAGAGGTTATAGTCGCAGAGCTCAAGAACAAGGTCCCGGACTTGCTTGCGATCGGGCAAGCGATCGGTGTTGGAATACCCCAGGGTCGCCAACGTTCGATCCTCCCGATCGAAATATCCATCGCCACTGTCAAGGATCGTCTTCACGGCAAAAGCTTGTCCATCTTTCCTGCGCAGAACTTTGAACACGCTGGCCTGGCCTCCGATCCGAATCCGATTATCTTCTCCACCTGGTATTTTTCCGCCAGAGCTGGGTATTCGTTGCGAAGCTTGTCGACGCCCAGCCACGAGTGTAGCTTCTGGGTTTTCTTGGGTGGGCATAGGTATTCCTCCACCGCCGGGCGCTTGAGAGTGATCGCATCCATCTCTTCGATCGATAGATAGGAAAAAAAAAAGAAAACGAAGAATATACCTGGAATGTACTGATTCTGAATAAAAATAATGTACTGTACTAATCGCGGTTAGACCCCCTTTCAATCGCGGCCATCAAGAAGAAGGCGCCTTGATCAGATATTATTTGGTAAGAACGGTTTGTCTCCCACTCGCAACACCAGGGACGAGTTGAAAGCGTGTTGGCCAGTCTCCAGGCCTTGCTCATCTTCTCGAAGGATCCCAAAAGCAGATCATCCGTCGAGACATCAGAGCAAGCGATATCCTTCTCGATCATAACATCCAAAAATCGAATCTCCAAACTCTTCAACCAAGAGAGGGATTTACGAGCACTGTGGCTGCCAGAACATTGTAAGGCCAGTTTCTTCTCCTTATATTTCGATCTCTTTGCAGGGGATATCTCGCTCCAAAGTATGTGCTCGCTGACTGTCAAAGTATCGCTTTTGGAATCCTGGAGATTGCCACCGGACAAAGATGCAGGGACCGAAACGATGGCCCTCCACTGCACAATCCGTGCAAGGGAAAGTCGAATCTGACTGCACCACCGCTTTCGGGTCCGCCCCTGTCGCTACAGAGATCGCTGAAACTAAAAGACAACTCTAAGAAATCTTGCGAGTTATCCCAAGAGATCATCCATACTATCCGGCTACAAGCAAGTCACAATTCGCTCCCAGATCCGAGATTTTATCTCAGCAGCAACCATACATATAGTTCTCGCTTGTTGAAAACGTTCGAGCGGGCTACGGAATCATTTAAATGATATGGTCAACTAAATCATCTAAAAACTCTTGCCACCTTACATTTCATATGAATAAGGGTATTTGTTGCGAAACTAGTCCAGCACCAAGTGTAGCTGCAAGTCTCTCTTGGAAAAAAAAACAATGTATGTATATCATCGCAGCCGTTCGTTAAGCCCTATCCAATCACGGCCACTTATAACTCGTTCTAGAAGATCTCATGTAGTTTTGGCGTCCAGGCACTCGTAGAAGAGGATGTAACCATGATCCGTGTTGTTGGAGTACTCCTGCGTGGATCCAAAGAAAGTTTGCACGTACGTCTCGTCGATGATCTCTACGTTCTCGTCGTCGAAAAACAGCCAGTGGCTGTGGCTCTTGACGAGGCTGACATAGTGGCCGTGATTCGGACCGCTGCCGACGTGAACCACCACCGCAAACAGCGAGTACTCGGACTCGGAGCCTGGAGCATCGTCGGTGGTGTTGCAAAGCTTGAGCTCCAGCGGAAAGACCACTCTGTACGAGAGTTTCTTGTATCGGCCCAGTTGCTCTATGTACTTGAAGCGTTTGAGGTGCAGGGCGAGGATCCGAGGCGGTGTTTTGATCTTCATCCTCTTTTGAGCCTCCTGCAAGCTGGGAGGTGGTCAGAAACGAAGAGAAGCGAAGAAACGGTGATGGATGAAATTGAGTTTTACCTGCAGCATTTGTCGCAGAAGAACTTGTCCTCGGCGTTTAGCGTCTCGGTGGAGCTGAAGTTGCGAAGGCAGCTGGTGATGGAGCTGTTTTGCTCGATGTCTAAGCTCAAGTCGAGAAACTTCTCGTCCCGCGCTGTGATCGTCTCGCACCGTAAGCACCTCGTCTCGTTTGTGAGGAATCCCTGAGGATTCAAAGCAAAGAGCTCGTTTATTTCCTACTGGATGGAAACAAGAGAAGAAGAGAACTGGACCTGGAAGATTTTGTGAACCCAAGTAAGCGGATGATCTTGGTCTGCTGCTGTTCCATTGGCCACACCGTTTTCTTTTTTCTCGGCAGGTTTCAGATTTCCCGAGGCTGTCCGTCCCGACTTGGCCTCCTTCTCCAAAGTCTCAACTAATTCATTCAGCAAAAAGTTTAGAAACTCGTGTGCGTCCTGCCAGCGTAGTGTTGGACTTCTTTTACCAGAGGAAAAAAAAAGAGAACGCAAAGGAAAACCAAAGATCACGAACCCGCTCTTTTCTCGTACGTACCTGGTGCATGTAGCTCCGGAAGAGCTCGTTTTGTTTCTTCACTCGCTGCACGAATCGCTTTGGAGCTATAACACCCGTTTTCTTCTTCTGGGAGTTTATCTGCAAAAGAAGAAAAAAGAATGGAATGATCACGAAAATGCCCCAGAGATTTCTTACCTGCGAGAAGAGGTCTGCAAGGCAAGTGAGCAAATTCTCTTCCGGCTCTCCGCTGGATTTCGTCCGGCTGTAGTACTCTAGCAGCTGATCCCGGAATGGGACACAAAAGTACAGTGCCTAGACGCGAGGAATTCAGAGAAGTGCCTATAGAAGACGCTAGAATCAAACCTGGAGAACGCTGTTGCAATAGCAAGTGTTGCCAAAGTTTTCCAGCCCAAAGTACCTCTCCCCCTCTGGGAATTGGTCCCCCAGCGCCTTCTCCAGCTTGGAGCCCGTTGCTCCCATCGAGAAAGTGCCTAGCCCTAATTTCTAAAATGCGTAGTTCAAAGGGGAAAAGAAGATAAAAGTACATTTGCTATTGAATATTCGCAGAATATTAGTTAGGGTTCTTATAATCACAATTTAGGGTTCCTAGGGTTTGCATTTCTTAACTAGATCGAATTGATGGAGCCTCCTCAATGTTCTAAAGCAATATAGGGAAGAAAAATATATCTTAGTGAAACATCAGATTTTCATTATAGAGATTCCTGAACGTAATTTGGGCCTTGGAAAGACCTAAGTTCATGCAATGAAAATTTGATGTTCGAAATCATTTTCGAAATTTAGGGCTGGGCGCTTTAGAAATTTTTTCTTTTGTAAAGAATTGGCATGGACAACAAATCGGTTCGTCACCTCACGTCTTGAATGCACGCCCCCCTGTGGCTAATTGGAATGTCACATTTGCTGCCACTGCTAGAATTTGGGATGTAAACTCCTGTCCCGGGCCTGCTCGCTTGCTGCCAGGAGGACGATTGAGCGGAGGAGCTTTGCGTTGCCGACGAAACTGTGGATGGTGGCTGCTTCGATCCTCCAGAAGCGCTGGAGCTGGACTGCTGCTGAGCATGCTTGGCTGACAACACCGGCTTTGAGGGAGGAGCCGTCGCCTCTTGGCATTGCTGTTCTAGGCCGAGGAACACGAGGATGCGCTTGAATCGGTTACTAGCAACGGCGTATGCAATCTCATTGCCCGCAGCAGCGTTCTGTTCGAATTTAAGCACGGATCTAGAGATGAGAACAAGCAAAGTCAGCCACTTGGGAGTATAGTTTGACTTGGTCATGCATACCCGGCTTCAAGTGTCACTTGGCCGATGGCCTTGCCGCTTACTACGAAAGGGTCCGCCAACAAGGAGACAAGGCACAGCGGCTGCACGGCCGTGTCCTTTTCTTCAATGGATAGAGATTTTCCCTGATGATGCAAGCGTGGAAAAATTTAGAAGAGAAAAACACATGGGATCAGACCTCGTCAATAGCATGGAACATGAAAAAGTTTGGCCGCACTTCGCCGGGAAAAATTCCACGTCCTTGACCAGAGAGGTAGTCCATCATGGAATGCACCAATTCTGGTATTGACCGCGGGGTTTTCTCTGCAAGAAAAAGCAACAATCAGATTCAATCTGGACTTTGCTTGTTGTGCTTACTGTTCGTCGCCGTCTCTTGGGAGGTTTTTAACTTCCCACGTATGCAGTTGTGATCGCCTGAGTGGAACATACACGACATTAGTAAATAGACGAAATCGAGAAATGCCTGGCGATGCCAGTGTACAAAAGTAACAAAACAAAACGAGAGCACATACCTGTAGTTGTCCTGCCCAAGATCTCAGTTGCCGAGTGCTCCATTTGAGCTCTTTTAACTTCACCGAACACGTGATTGCACACCTGGCCCCCAGAATTATGTGTTAGTGAACGAGCCCATTTCGTCACAAAGACATTTCATAACTGTACCTTCTGGCTACGCTCAACAACTGCAGCTTGTTTGTCGGCCTGTGCTTCTTTAACGCGTGATGACTCTGGAAAAGAAAAATTCAACACCACAGCACATTCAACACCCACACAAATCAAACACTTTCTGCCAAATACCAACTTGATCACACTTACCACCTTGGAGGCTCTCGTTGACATTGCTGCTAGGCGGGTCCTCATCACGCTGTTGCGAGTCGGGAGAAACACTCGCAGATGAAATGTCGGCCACAGTCTCCTTGCTCTCTTCAGCGTCTACTTCTGTCGAGTCCGGCTCCTTCTTCCCGATTGGATCACTTGGAGGTGGCGGTGGCGGTGGCGGTGGGACGTTAACTCTTCCCTTCGGAAGTGGTCGTCTCGAGCCGGAAAAGTCTCTACGTGGGTGACCACCACTGTTGTTGATCTGCGCGTAAGGCTTTTGCTGCATCGCGGGCACCTTTGCATTGCCATTGAGAGGCATTTGCTGCTGCTGCTGCTGCTTTCGCGTCAGTACTTGTTGGAGAGAAAAGAGCACCTCCGCCACCGAGAAGTACTGTTGCATATGAAGAACGCCGTTCCAGCTAAAGCGGCGCTGCTGGATGGATCCAAGAACAAAGTCGTATTCGCCGGGCGCTCCAATCAGGTGCAAATGCTGGCACAGGGAATCGATGATGGCGTTGGCCGCCGCAAATTCCCCTCGCAGCCATCCAATAAACGCGTCCCGCTGATCGGGAACCCAGTGCCTCTGGTGGTGAGGAACGCTGCTCTTGTCGATCGTGCCGGGAGGGAACTCCCCGAGCTTCGGTGGCGGTACGGCCATGGACACGAAAACTGCTTGCGCTCGCTCTAGTCACAGAAAGGGAACCTCTCACACTCGAAAAGCCTGCGAGCAACAAAATCCACAGCGTCAGCTCACGATTCCCACATACATTGCATGAAATTCTCGTCGCTCCAAGCCACAAATGCGCACGCTGCCACGCTGCCGTGGCTCGATCGTCACAGATTGTGGCGATCCACACCAAAACCTCGCGTATTTCGATGCGGCGCATGCAAATGCGGCGCCGGGAGGGGCCGAAATATCGCGAATCGGACAGACCTAGCTAGGATCTAGACGCGAAATCCCTCGCAAGCACAGAAACTCGAGCAAGAAAGATCGAGGAGGCCTTACATTGAGCGATGGCGCATCCGCAACTCCAGCCATAGACGACCTATGCGCGCTCCAGCTCCAGAGCGCCAGCGCCAGCGCCAGCGCCTTCGCTCTTCAAACGGGAAGACAAAATAAAAAAATTAGGAGTGAGAGTAGCTAGCGAGCAAAGCTCTGTCAAGCTCTGTCACGTTACACCGCCCCGTCCGTCTCTTTAACGGAGATTGTCCTGTCAAGTGCCAGAATATCCATGTTAGTCCTGTCACGTGCCGGAATATCCCATGTTAAGAATGTTGGGTACCAAGCCACGACGCCACAAAACTTGTCCAAATACATTTGCGCGTCTTTGGCACTAATGAATCATATTTAATTTACAGCGACACCCGTACGGCCCGTGATCTTTTTTCCTTGCTCGCGTGATCAGCTCAGCCCGTCCGTACAGTGTCGATGGTTCGAACGAGATCATCGAATTTGGCACCGGCGATCTCTGCCACGATCTTTTTGTGCTTGAGTATCTTGAACGTGGGCACAACTCGTATGCCGAGCTCTTTGGCAAGCGGCTAGAGAAAAAAAAAAGAAAAAAAAGAAAAAAAAAAGAGTTAAAATTCCATTCCACACACAAAGAAATGATAAAACTTGCCTTGTTCTCTTGGTTGCAATCCAGCTTGAGAAACATCACGTCCGAGTATCTGGAAGAGAGCTCCACGATCTTTGGAAACATCATTTTGCAAGGGCCACACCTAAAGAGCGGAAAAAAAGCGTTTTTCTGTGTCAAGCTTCCGGAAAAGAAGGGAGAGAAGTTTACCATTGGGTGTACATGTCGAGCACCACGACCTTGTCCCCAGCTCCATCAACGAGCGGCCAGAAGCTATCCTTGTCCACCTCTGTAACACCACTCGAGGAAGATTGGCCGCTCGTCACAACAGTGGTAGAGCCGGATCCCTGTTGCATTGCTGCCACCAGAGTTTTTGGCCAGAGAGATCTGGACGAGCAGCTCGATCTCGCTACGCCCAGCGAAGATTTTAGAGCCCCCAAACTTGTAGCAGCAGCAGCAGCTGTGGCTGTCGCTCCAGCTCCTGGAGTTGAAGCGAGAAGAGCCATAGCTGCAATCCAACACCACGCAACTCAGCACATCTTTCTTCCTTCTTTCCACTTGGTTTTAGATTTGGATCACCTGGCTCCAAAGATCTTCTTCATCACCTGAGGGCCTCGCAGCATATTCACTTTGCTCTTCGAGATTCGCGAGAGAACAAGTGGCTCGCGTTGCCGGATCGTATTCCGACGTGGAAGATCACCCTCCACACACGCAAATCTGTGACTTTTGTGCCTTGATCAATCTATATGAGAGTTTCGTTTCCTCAGAACTCCTTTAACTTTGAGCTCAAGCACGTAAGTACCTGAAAGAGTTCTTCCAAAGTTCCGTGCCAGTGAACTCTAGCTGTCCGCTTGTTTTCTCTTTGTTTTTCTTGCTTCAAGCTTCTTCGAAACAAATTCCTGGATCGCGGATCAAGTCACACAAACCGTGAACTTTGGAGAGAAAAATGCGCAAGTATACCGACAATAAGTAGCTTAGCAGTTCATTGTACAGGTACTGTGAGTGTACAGGTACTCAAGTGTGTGTACACCAACCAGACTCTCAGGAGCGGAGTAAACTTAAGGTTCCTAGACAGGGGTACTTAAATATTTGAGTGTAATCCGCCCCCACTGTGAAAGCGTGTGCAAACTCTGTAAGATGACTGTGATTGCCAAACAGGAAGGAAGACAAACGAGGAAAGCGAAAGCGAAATCGAAAGGAAAAAAGAAATGAAAAACCAACGTCGATGCGATGAAGATCAAGAGGAGGATGCAGTAGAAGAGCTAGATGAAATGGAGGAGACTTACTTCACCACGAGACCACCAAGTTAAAGCATAGTAAAGTACTTGCCATGAACTAAAAACAGTCCAAGCTGAGAAGTGGTACATCACGGAGCTCTGGTCGATCGATCATCTGTGTGTGTGTGGTGAAGTGTGTGCTCTCTCCCTGTGCCTGTACTTATTCTTTAAAAGCGAGTGGGTGTTTTGGCCTTCTCAACGAGCACGATCCGTCCATTCCACTCTGTCTGATCCAAAGCCTCGATAGCAGCATCTGCATCCTCGTCGCGTTCTAGAGTCAAGAACCCAAAACCCCGAGACTCCCCCGTCCTGGGAAAAAGTGATTCGAGTCAGATAAACACATTTTTTACCACATAAAAAAAAAAGAAAAGAAACCAACCTCTTGTCTCGCACTATGCGAACGTCCTTGACTTTGCCGAACTTTGAGAACTTCCTCTCCAGATCCTTCTCCGTGGTGATGAAGTTGAAACCAGCGATGAACAAGTTGTTTCCTGGTTCTCCCAGGCCATTGGTTCGATCCGCCGGAGGAGTCCATGGTCGGCGCCGCGGCGATCGTCTCGATCGGTAGCGCGGAGGAGAGCTCCTCCTCCTCGAGTAACGTTCCCTGTGATCACAACCAAACAAACCATAAGTTCCATATTCTCTATTGCTATGATTTACCTTGGAGAGTAGCCCCGTCGTGGAGATCTCCGGCTGTAAGGACTCCTGGAGCGCGATCGATAGCGTCCCCTGTGCGCCGGGGAGCGAGATCGCGACACCGAGCGGCGCCTTTTCGGGGAATACGAGCGCCTCCGCCTGGGGGAATACGAAGGCGATCTTCTCGCCGGAGACCTGGAAGAGCGCTTCCTGACTGGAGATCTGGAAGGAGAGCGCGATTTCCCCCGCACGGGCGACCTAGATCTGCTCCTGGAGCGCGACGCCGGCGACCGGGACCTGGAACGATCCCGATCTCTCACAGGAGATTTCGAATAACTGCGGCGAGGCGAGCGCGATAACGATCGACTGCGGTGCTTGGCGGCGGCGTGGCCATTGGAAGACGCTGGCTCCGGGGCGGCTCCCTCGCGAGGAGATGGGGAAGAGGACGGCGCCATAGCCAGAGCTAGGGTTTATCTTTACCCTAAAGCTCTAGAGTTCCATCGCTTTTACGTGGGGGTTTATTGACGGTCGTGACGTGGCAAGGGTTCATATGGCATGGGCTTTTTCTTCCAGCGCCATTGCTGCTCCTGCGCGTGGCTGTCGAGCTACGATCGAGTGCAATGCATCGCCGTCGCGCTGATCTACATCCAGGTTTGGCTCTCTCCTCGATCTTCTTCGCCTGGCATCGCAGGTTCTTGCTCAATCGATCGATCTCCTCTCTCTTCTCTTTCTTTGCCCTCGCATTCGCATAGCCGACCGCGTTCTTGCCCTCCTCCGATGTTTTCCCATTGATCGATCATAGCTGTCGGTGCATCGTGTTCTTGGTCGATATTTCGCGAAATCCCTCTCGATCGAGCATGGAAATCTCTTCTCTCCTTCACAGATCCTCCGTTTTCGCAGATTCTTTGCGCTGTTATCGGCTCGTTGGGAGCCACATACGCTGGAGTCGCGGTCGCGAATTTGGCAGTAGCACTCTTCGCGTTGGTAGCAGTGGAGAGTGGCAGCCAAAACCTGGGACGAACCTATGCCGGTTTGCTCGCCTGCGCTCTTCTTCTAGACGTTGCTTGGCTCGTCCTCTTCACTCGTGATATATGGTAAGAACTGCGTTCTCTTTGATCTTCTAGAGTTGATATATCGTTTAAACCTCTTGCCAGGCACATCGCCAAGGATCCAGACGCTGGATCATACGTGAAGTTCTCAGTGATGGCCGTCCTGTCGATGGAAATCGCGGGGTTCGTGGTGCGCTTCTTCTCGGCTTTCCTTTGGGTGCAAATGTACAGGCTCGGCGCGTCCAGGGACTTGACAGGGCTCTACCACCACATTGATTTCGGAGGGATCGGAACTGTGGGTTTCACGACACCGCTCGCCAGCCCCGCGCCATCTCGCCAAGTTTCTGGGAAAGAAGACATTGTTGGTGGCTCCATCTACAACCCCGCGTACTATTCTTCGCTCTTCCAGCCCGCTGGAACACTGGCAGAAGCAAACGTCGAGGTAAAAATCCTCTTTTTTCTCTCGAATTCTCGTGGTTTGATCACTGGTGTTTGCTAGATCGTGGAGGAGAAAACCAATGGAGACATGGCTACCGCGCTAGCTTCTTGTCCAAGTGAGCGATTGTAAAGATGGTGGTCTTCTTCGAGGTAGCTTATAGATTCGTTTGATTTTCATGGTTTGATCGTTGGTGTTTGCTAGATCGTGGAGGAGAAATCAAAAGGAGACACGGCTTAGCGCGCTAGCAAGTGAGCGATTGTAAAGATGGTGGTCTTCGAGGTATCTTATAAGTTTGTTTATTCGCACACCACACGATGATAGTAGGGAGGGGCACAAGTCAGTAGTGATCGATCACTCAAGGCTGGAGAGTTTGCGCTTGAGCAAAGGTCCCGGATTGCTGGAAGACCCTCGCAAGAAGCAGTCGATCGAGTAGAGCGAGAGGGAGAGATTGACCTCGTCTCTCCCCCACGTCGATCGGGGCTGGGACTGGCAGCAATTCCTCTTGAGCATAGGGCCCAAGTGGAGGAAGAAGAAGCGGCGGAAGCCCCCGAGCGATTCCACCACGGCTCTGATCTGCTGCGCGGAAGAACACGCCGGCACGGGGCCGGATCCCAGTGGGTTCTTGTGGCCGCTGGATCGCCGGCTGCGCTTGGCGGCGGCGGCGGGCCAGTGGAGGATGCACAGCGATTCCCACAGCTTCTCGTGCCGCGCCACGCCGCTCCATTGCTTGCTCACGCACGAGACCCTAGCCAAGGAGAAGGCATCCAGATGCTTGAATACCTCGAGGAGCATGTCGTCGTGGATGGGATTGTGTCGCGGGGTCCCCATTCCCGGGCGATGGACGATCCGGAAAGCTCTTTCTTTCCCCCTTATCGCGAAATTTAGGGTTCTTGGGCGGATTTTAGGGCTGCTTTGTTTTTGGCGCCATGGCGATGATGGAGAACAAGGTGAGAGAGGGAGCGATTCTTCTTTTGCCGGATTTTTATCTTACGAGGTTTTGATCGATCCAGTCGCTGCTGTGGGCGCATCCGGAGAAGAGCGGGCAGCTCCTGAAACGCGGGAGCGACATCAAGTCTTGGAAGAAGCGGCAATTTGCGCTCAAGGACACATTCTTGTTCTACTTTAAGATTTTGCCTACAGTGGTACGCTACATTTGTCTTATTCTTTAATGGATGCAAAGGATTTTTATTTTTTTTGTAGGAACAATCCGAGCCAACTGGTGTGATTCCTTTGCAAGGATGCAAAGTGGAAGCCATTCCGGCTGGAGTCCATGGCATCAAGAAATACTCTTTTATCATCAATCTTCCGGACAAGTATATATTGACAAAGGCCGTGAAGCGTGCTCTTTATATTCTATCAGCGCACGACGAACCGGACAGACAATCTTGGATTGGTACGCTGGATGAAATTTCGTTTCTCTTTTCTCTTTTCATTCTTTTCTGTGTGATGTCTCTTTGTTTGAACAGATGCAATTCGTTGTGCCTCTGTATCCAAGCAGATTATTCGCGCCAAGCTCGAGCACTCGAGGCTTGAGGTAAAATCTCTCTTCAAGCTTAATGAAGGGGTAGTTCTGAAAGAAACAAAGACCTTGCGTAGGTTCACGACCTGGAACTGCGATGGAAGGTTGCAAGTGCTCTGGATGCCGGCAAGGTACGTTATCAAATTGTTACACTAAACAAAACCTTTGACTCTAAACTTTGTTTTTCTCGTCAGAAAATGCCATTTGAGCTGCAAGAAAGCGTTGTCATGCAAGCTCTGGCGGACGAACTTATGGAAGTTTACTACTCCATCGAGCTTTTAAACCAGGCAGGGAAAGCCTTTGCTTTTGCTACTGGCGTTTAAGTCCTTGAAATTTCAGAGACTAGAGGAAGCCACGGACAGGTACAGAACAGCGTGCGAGCAACTATCTATGCTAGAGCAAGCCAATGCCATGTAAACTTCTCATTCTTTCTTTTCTTTCTTCTCAGTTTATCTTTCCGGATCAAATGGAGCTACTGAATTGTAGGCACCAGGAAGCTCTTATGCGTGAAGGATCTATGCAAATGATGCATAAGATAAGATCAGGTATGATCTTTCAAAGTTTGGTTTAAATTTTTTCTTTGCTCACTCGTTTTGTGTTTCGTGTTTTAGACGAAAGTGAATGCAACGGGATCCTCGAGTACTTGGTCGCTGCAAGGATATCATTAAGAACACTTCAAAAACAGGTAACTCGCGATTTGTATAGAGGCAAAGCCGTGAAAAGTTTTCTACAGGTTGACGCACTGTCTGGCCTCAGTGAAGGTGGTGAGGGGGTTCCATCTTATGTGGATATAGAGGGGCTACTAAGACAAACTTTGGCTCGCCTGGGAACTCTAGAGGTATCAAAAAAGAAGTTTTCAAGGATGATGGTCTCACTGTTTTGGATTTGCAGTACCAAACATGGGGAACTGAGAACTTGCCAGACGAGGAGCAAATTGCGAGCCTCTATGCTGCGATCGAAGCTTGCCACAAACAAGAGAAGCATCTGGTGAACGAAGCAGCTATATTTCTCGGCTATGCTCCAGCTGATGTGGGAAGTCAAGTCACTTTACCTCCCCCAGCAGCTGGAGGAGAGAATACATCCGAAGATCATTGATCTTTCCTACCAAAATTTCCTCTTTTTCGGCCTCTGCTAGCTTGGACGACCATCGCCAGTTTTCAGCACCCAAGTAGCACCTCTCGTGTAGCAAAGTTCCTTCATTATCTGGAGCACAGAGATCAAGTATGGGAAGTTTTGTAAGCTTTTGAGTACCTTTTGGTAAAGTTGATTCGACGGCATTTTACGTAACGCCAGCTTGAACGCTTCCATGATCTCTGATCTTTGCAAGCCAGCGGACTTTTGCTTCAGTAACGCGATGACCACTTCCCTGCACGAAGACAAGTTAGAAACTACGCACATAATCTACTTTCAAACAGTACCTAAAAGGGTCTTGAGTGGGATCTCCGAGCTGAGTTAGGAAGTAAACACCGTTGATGTTCGTCGCAATGGTGTCCACAATTGCTGTTAGTTCGGCCACTGGCGCCGACGCTCCTTTGGCAGCTGCTACTGCCGAGGCCTTCTCCTCGACTTTAACGTTGTCTGCTTGAGATTTTGTGATTGCCGATTCACGCAGGCAGTGACAGATGAATTGCAGCCTGTGGAAGCGAGTTAACAAGATTATCAAACGCTAGCAAGACAAAGGAGAAAAAACGAGAGAGAGAAACTTACGTGCACACATGGTGTTTGAGAAAGATTTGCGTGAGTGCGTCCGGTAGAGCAGCAAGCGTTTCCGGTGCCATGCTCGACGAAGTTGAGGGCCTCGGTGGAATGCCTGTGCTTGCTGCAAGGCCGCTGCCTGGCTTAGCACCCATTGCCTTGCCAGACCCCATTTGTTGGACGGCTAGAGCCCTGTCGCTAATGAGCTTATCTCCTGCAGTCCAGCGTTGGAGCTGATCTTTGGCGATGGAGTTATGACGCTTGATAAAAGTCTTGTCTGTGCTTTCGATGAACTCCCAGCCGCCTGTCTTGATGTTTTGCACTGCGAGAGGAACAAGTATCTCCCGCAAAATCTCCTTAGAGACCCTGAGTTGCTCGAGAGTTTCACGACTGACCACCCGGTTCTTGACAAACTGTAGGAGGATATAGTCTCGAATCGCACACCGACCACCTGTGTAGCGCATATTACTCGTTGCCACCCAGCAGCCTTGCACCAGATAAGCTGTTTTTTGGAGAACATCCAGAACTTCCTCCTCCGTGCAACCTGCCGGAGCCAGCTTCATAAGTCTTTCGAATTGCAGCACATGTACTCGACCCTGATATTTTACCGCATTACAACCGACTGTGTTTTTAGAAACTCTTCCTTACCTGAGACAAGACAGCGTGCAATCTCTTGTCCAGCGGCAAAGTATCCAAATAGCTGCAAAGTGCGTCGGCAGATATTCAGAAGAAATGAAGAAAATAACAAATTCTAACCTTTTCGAGAGAGGCTCTTTTCCTAGTCCTGGCACGGCTTGTGACGCTGCAGCCGAAGGCGCACGACCAGGGACCAGTTTCTTCATATATTCATTCCTGCCAAAAGTAAGAACAAGTTCTTTCGCATCTGTTCACGACTAATATCACTTACCGAGACATGTCGAAGCGGATGAGATTGTTTGCGGAGGACTTCATTTTCATTTTGATTTCCTTGGTTACAGGACTGTCTAACCCATGCGGCTCAAGTGTGATCCACGCCTGCAGAAGGAGCATGTTAGTAGGAAAACTGATTTAGATAGAAACAGACCTCGGCCTCCTCAAGTTGTTTCAGATGCGCGTATGACATCAATCTAGATTGCTGCTGACGCTCTGTCTCTTGTTTCTTTATTTCCACCTGCAAGTTCGTCCCCGTCAGCTACTGAAGTGGAAAAAGCTAAAGAATGGAACACACCTTAAAAGCCACAGGCTCTGGTTTCTTTTCAGTAGCAGCCCCTTCCTCAGCGTCGGGCATCTCGTCATCACTTTCAACGCGAGTGATATTTTTTTTCTTCTGCTCATCAGCTTCGTTTAGATAACTCAACGACGGACGAAGTTGGACAATCGCATGCAACGGATTCAAGTGGAGCTGTAGAAAGAACATGCATGAGGACCAAGGAAAGAAGAGAGATGGCAAATAACCTTGTTCCCTTGCAGAATTCCAATGGCATAGTTCGTCGAGAGGTTGCCTTGAGTAGAAGTTAACGTCTGGGAGGAGATTATCAGGAACAACCCATCGATCTTAGCGTTTCACCTGTTTAGCGATTCGGAGATGGTCGTCCGCGGCGTCATCATAGTTGTCTCCAAACCGATCGACTTGAAGATCAACCTCGAGTTTCTGGTGTTGGTGCTTCACGCGAACCTGATAGCAAACTAGAACTCAATCCGGGAAGAAACCACTAAAACGTAACGTAAAGAACAAACCGCTTCGCATCGTTGTTCCAACTCGTAAGGTCTCCAATACGGTCGAAGAGGATATTGGAGAAGATAGAACTATAGCAAAATCTATAAGACAGAGAGAAAGAGAAATCCATACGCTACCTTGGTGTCTGGATCGGCTGTAGGAGTAATATGGACCTCGATCTCTCTCACCACTGTATCTCCATCCTCCACGATATCGGCCACTGATTCCATCGTCACTTCCTCTGGAACACTGCTTCCAGCTCCATCCATCCCCTCCCAGACCACAGCTCCATCCTCCATTTTTACCTTGATATCCATTTCCTCGTCATCGAGGATGAAATCCAGAGGCTCCGGCTTGACATCGATCTCCATTGTATCCTCGTCGATCACTGGAGGCCGATCCTCGATCTTCACCTGTGGTGGGGGCTGCGCGACGCTGGAAGCATTGGCGCTGGCCTCCGATCGCCTCCCGCGAGCTGGAACTCGCGGCTTGAATTTGGGCTCCATTGCCACACAAACTTTAGGGTTCTTGGACTAGGTTAGATTTTTGGAGCGATCGAAATGTAGCAGCCGAGGTATGGATCGCAGATTCTCGGAGTACACCGGCCATGGCGCTGCTGCGAGCGTGTCCAGCAGCGATCCTTCTTCCACCGCGGTGCCGCTCCAGTTGTTCGTGCGCCAGGAGATCCCTGGCGCCTCAAATCCGGGGCCCTACATTGCGGATTGCTTGCCAGATTTCGCCGGCTATAGCTGGATCGCGTATGGCGCGGGCAGCCAGCTTGTAATATCGATCGTCGCGTCGCCAGACAAGAAGGAGGAGTTTGGGATCGCGCGCTTGTTTCATCAGGCTCTAGAGACGAGGCTGGTCGAGGTATCGGACGAGGATTCTCGTGTGAGTATCGTCAGCTGGGGGAATTCTCAATCCGGGAGCGTTGGGGCTGCCGCTGGAAAGGCGATCTACATCTTTGCTCCCAGATTTCTTGGAAGACCTGAGACACAAAATACTCCAGGTGATCTCTTTTATTTTCTTCCTCGCTTCATGGAACTGGAACTAAAACACTTCCTTTGTTTGCAGCTCTTCCGCTAGAATGGGAGCCCAGGAGCATGCTCGTCCATACTTTTCCTGTGACACATTTTTCATGGAGCGGATCTGGCGATGGTATACTTTCGTCGGCTGGATCAAAGATCTCGATGTGGAAGCAGGACGATGATGGGTCTGGTAACTGGGTTCCTGTTTGGGAGTCTTTGGTGGAGTGGCCTCAAGCGCTTGTGGCTGCTTCGTGGTCGTATAGGGGTCTCGCAGCGTCCACTGATATGGATAACTTAGCAGGAAAGGATCTTAGAGGAAAGGCTACAGTGTGGTGGTGGCAAGAAGGCTCAGAGGCACAGCCAGTGGAGCTTTCTCATCCAAGGCAAGTTCTTGCTATACAGTGGAGGCCCGTGTCAAGGCAAAATGGAAAGGTGGTGGAGGAAAGTGACCATCACAGGCTGATACTACTTACGTCTTGCCGAGATGGAGTTGTCCGGCTGTGGCTGGAGATTGACAGTGGGAAAGCTAGAGCCGACAACGCCATGATCAAGCCAGCGTTTTTCGTCAGTGCCTTGATCGAAGTGAACACGAGCTTGCAGGCAACACTGGGACTGGACTGCTTTGTGACTTGGGGGTTGGAAAAATCGCAGGGAAGTAATTTCGCCACGGGGAATTCGACAGAGGTTGCGGCTTGTGAGTGGATCGTGGGGACGGGGCCTCGTGGAATCGTTGCACTTTGGTCTTTGCATTGCCTGGACGATGTGTATCCTCCGCGCTGTCCTCGAGTCTTACTGTGGCAACAAGGGACGTTACGTTTGCTCGACTCGGAACCAGACATCGCAGAGAATCCATGTTTTTTCAAGGCAGTGATTCAGAGAGCTCAATCTTCGGTTCCGCCAACTTCGGTGGACTTGTTCGAAGTTTACGATGGAGGTCTGTTGAGACGCTCTCGGCTTTGGCCCCCGGTCACTTCCATTGGCGGTGGTAGTGGTCTTGTGAGGAGAGCATCCGATACAACGGGGTTGACGAGTAAGATCAAGATTGGTACGTGGGGACGCTCTCACGAGGATTTTCTCACGTTCGGTCACACCGGGAATAAGATAAATCTTGCTCTACATCCGGCTCGTGCAGCAAGAGTGGCAGCATCTGTTGACAAAGCAGGAACTCTTCTACTTTGGCAAACTAGCCTTCCTCTCGAACCTTACGTCGAAGCTCCGCATTTGCACGTATCATCCTGGAGACTCTGTGGCAGATTGTCCATACAGACCGAAAACTTTCTGCCGGCACTCTGCTGGTCTCCGGCTCTACTTTTGGGTGATAAGATGGTGTTAGTGGTGAGCCATTCCGACAGCCTCTCCTGTTATCTCGTAGTAAGGGACAGATCGAAGGAACAACACTGGCTCGCATTAGATCTGCTATACGAGTTGCGGCCTCCAGTGTCTCAAGAAAAGCTGGTACTGGAAGACGTGTTCGTGATCCAGAACTCTGCACAGAAGGATCAGTCGGTTCTTGTTCTTGTTGCTTGCGGGAACAAGGGAAACGTGGCGATGTCCTGGACCTTCAACATCGTCTTATGCGAAAAAGATGGTGAAGAAGATCAACAAAACTCTCGACAGTCGGGCATTCCTTACAAGGGACCACTAGTGGGGGCTGAAGAAGCAATCTACACAACATGCTTCTGGACTGGCTATATGTTTATGGCCCTTGGAGAAAGACTCTTGAGCGCAACCTCCCATTATCCGTCACTGTATAATTTCGTTTCGGGCTGTGAAGACGGGTCTTTACGGCTCTGGCGAGTAACTCTGCCGGAAAATCAGCATCTCAACTCCTGGGAGTGTGTTGGTCGACTGACAACAATTTCTTCTGAACGGTTCACTTTGCTAGCTGTGGGTAACCATGGCACAAAGCTGGCTTCTTCGACGCAGTCTGATTCAACTCTGAGAATTTGGGAGATAGTTTGTGGCTCAGGCAGCTACTTGCATTACCTTACAGGAGAGATCGTCCTAGCGCAAACTCCAGCTGCATTGAGCTGGTTCGAAGGTGGTGATGGAGTTTCAATGCTGGGGATAGTGGTTGCCGGTTTAGTCCAGGTTTACGTTGAAGCCCGTGATGACGCATCCGACTACTCGAGCTGGGTCTGCCTAGCATCAATTTCCACTTTGCATTGCGTGGATGGACTTTTTTGGGGGCCACAAGCGTCGCTTGTTGTGACGACTGAAAGCCGGATACAACTTCTAAGTCAATGGGGGACGGAAAGCGGGTAAGCATTGTCTTTATGCTTTACTTTCAAATCGTTAAATTTTGATTGCTCAGTGGAACTGTGGAGATGTTGTTGAAGGCAGCTATTACAGCTTCACGACCGCGATCTCTCTGCCATCCGAAATCGATTTTGAATTTTCTCTTGAACGGTATGCTGCACTGCCTATTCTGGTTTCGTGAAACTCATAGCTGGCTGTGATAATATGGCTAGGAGAGCAGCACCAAGCAAGTATCTGTCTTCGACGCCTCTTATCCCTTGCGGCTGAAAGGACATGCGACTCTCTTGAGTTCCCGTTCATTTCGATACATGATATTCAAAAGGAGAAGAAGTTGGAACACACCGCGGTAACACAAACAGCAGCATGGGTCTTTGGGGAGTCGATGGAGCACTCAGACAGTCTTCACGATGTAGATGGTCCGTTGAGCGCTTTGGAATTGGAGCAGCTTACCTCGATTGTAGAGCTTTTTAAAAATGGCTCTCAGCTTCTACCAGTCATCCACTTGCTTCAGGGGATTCGTCAGTCAAGTCAGTTTGCATACCTTGATGAACCCGGCCAAAGGTAAGATCTTTTTAATAACATGCAATCACTTATAGTGCATTATCCAGGGTTGCTATATCTGTTCTCTACAACAAGCTTCAGAATTTGGAAGTCCTTGTAGATTCTAAAACGATTGCATGGGCCCTTCAGTCGGAATGCAAGGATTTACTCGTTGATATGCTCATTCCAGAGAACAGCATGTCATGGTCCGCTTTAAGAGCTCTTGGAGTTGGTTTTTGGTTTACAGATGTTGGACAGCTTCGTGCACGGGTAACTACTGGTGCATATTATTGTGATTACTGATCTGTGCTATCTCGTTTATGTTGTCAGATAGAGAAACTGGCAAGGACTCTATTTATGCAAAGCCGTGATCCTAAGGACTGTGCTCTTTTCTATATTGCATTGGATCGGAAAACGGTACTGTCCGGCTTATTTAAAATGAGTCGGGATGAAAGCGACAAACCTTTGGTTCAGTTTTTTGCCAGGGATTTTCAGGTACGTGCTTTGAGTGTATCCAAAAGATTGTTTCAACCTTTCTTCTTTTCTGGTGTTAGGACGACAAAAACAAATCTGCTGCTCTTAAAAATGCCTACGTCTTGATGGGAAAGCATCGGCATGAACTTGCAGCTACGTTTTTCTTGTTAGGGGGAGATTTAGAATCTGCAATATCAGTGTGTACCAGAAACCTTTGTGACCCGCAGCTAGCATTGGTTATATGTCGCCTGAAGGGGAGTAATGAGCAACCAGCAAAAGATCTTATTTCTAAAGATCTGCTTCCAGACGCGAAAATTTCCGATAAATGGCTTGCGAGCGTATTTCAGGTATTTTACTTCTATTTAAGTATAAGAATGTGAGAAGACGGTTGTTTCTTTCTGCAGTATTTACTTGGTGAGCGTCTTGAAGCTCTCTGCGAAATAGTCGGAAGTGACAAAGATCCAAGAAAACTACCTCTTCTCGATCCTGATGTTGGAGACTACTGTCGTGTTGTTCTCTCGAAACCCGGAATGACTAGTTCTTCCATAGCAAACAAGGCGTGTCGGATATCTGCTCTAGCTTTGAAGAAGCTTGGACTTCCCGTAAGATATACTTCCTCGCTGTTTCTGATCTAATGTTTTACTTTTGCAGTTAAGAGCTTTAGAGATTCTGCAAAGATCGTCACATGAAACTTTCAGTGCTGGTCAAATGGATTGGATTGTTCCCGCTGTGGCAGAAAAGCTTGCTGTACACTTCGTGGAAGGTCTCGCCTTGCAATACATGATCGATGCTGGGGAGATATGGCGCGACTTCAAGCAAAAGACAGCGGACAATGGCGTTCGGGATCTAGCCATCCTCAACCGCAAGTTTTCTATCGATTTGGCATCTTTGTCTAACTTGGTAAGCTGTTTCCCATTCTTTTTAGCATGTTTATTATTGTGTTATCTTTACAGCTTGAGCTCACCGCATGGCATCTTGGGCGTCCATGGTTTGGTTATTGGTTGCTCAACACCGCAACTATATCTACGGATTTGCCATCACCTTTCAGTTCTTCGGCTAATTATAAAGAAACCATTTTGGAGTTCGTGTCTTCGACAGAGATATTTTGTGCGACATTGCTAGCCTTCGGCCCTGCCATCTTTCCATCAAGTATTTCATTGGATACATATGGGAACTTTCAACCACTTTTGATGAACGAGGGACATATTGGTCTAGCAACTGACAAGGCCTGGTCTACAACGTTGCCTCAGGTTGAAGAATTAAGAAGTTATGCAAGCCAGATCAATCAGTTCGTATCCAGCAGCAGCTCGATACCTGATGAAACGGAGAGACGGCATTTGTTTCTACTCGCCTTTATATTTCTGATGGGAGCAGCTTGGCTTAAGAGACAGGCGGAGGTGCTGTTATTTATAATTCAGATGATGCTGGACACCGAGACAACTTCTGGACTCGATCTTAACGCCTGCTTTCGTATGGAGCCGTCTAAGACTCCTTTCGACGGGTCTGAAACAAAGTTACTAAGCGACGATGATACATGGCTCTTACTTGGTGTTGCATTGTGGAGCCGGGTCCTTACTTTTCTAAAACGGCAGCTTTCGACGGTGGCGACTGAGGTTTCTTATTCTGGCTTTGGCAGAGTTTCTCCTAGGCAATCGACTATCAAATCCTTCTCTCGACTATCGTTCGTAAGCGTTGCCGAGCAATCTGTGAAACCTCGCCGACAACCTGGTGCCGAAGCTCTGTTATCGTCCATAGGCTGCATATTTTCGAAACTAAGAACTCAGTTGGCACTTCGGGTCAGGGACACAGCAAATGGGGCTTCACTTGACTTTTTGTGGAAGGAAGGACCGGATGCTGGAAACTATATCCAGAATTCGTACGTGGAACTTTGGAAGCTTCTATCTGTAAATGAGGAGGTTCGCGCGGCCTTGAAAATGGAAGGTATTGATGGACAACAGCCGTTGGAGAGCAAGGTTGGCTGGATAGCAGAAACAAGTGATAGAAGTTCGGCTTCAGCTGTTCCTGCTCCAGAAGAAAGTGGCATCCGGTCTCAGCTTAGTAGGAGGTTTAGTATGAAGGGATTGATCCGGAGCCACTTCAACACTAGATTTCGCAAGGACGACGAAGCTTTGCATTCGCCAGGCGATTCACTGGAGGTATATCATTTTCCATTTCGACTTTGAATTCCTAAAGAATCCGTTTGTTTGTCCTTTGCAGGCTATCTCAGTTAACAGTTGCAATCCCGAGCAAGTGGTCGTTGCGAGCAGTAGCAAGGTACATTTTCTCATCTCTAGTGTCATTTCGTAGTTTGCATGGAAGCTTGCCGTTTGTGAGCCTACAAACATTGTGCAGGCACAGTGAGCATCCTGTGCTCGACTTTTTTTTCCATTTGGAGCGTGTTGAGATTGCTTGGAATGTCTCTGGGATAATCCCAGTCGTCGAATGTAAGCACTTGACTGACCTTGTTTTGTGGCTAGCCTGCACAAGTCTTTCCATACTTTTGATTTGGTACTTTTCTCCAGGGACTTCTTTACCTTGAACTTAATACGTATGGCAAGTTTTCTGAGTCTAAAGACAACTTGTGGGCAGAAGCTGACTGGCCTCAGGATGGCTGGGCAGGATCAGTGTCAACACCCGTCCCAACTTTTGTCACACCCGGTGTAGGCTTGGGTAGCAAGAGCGGCTCGGGCATTGGACTAGGTGGTGCAGCAGTTGGAATGGCAGCACTGTCAAAGTCCGTAAAGGAGTCGAGAAAAGCTGCGGTTGGATTTGGAGTTCCAGGATATGCAGGCATTGCAGCCTGGCATATGGGATGGGAGGAACTAGCAGACTACGATGGACTCGTCGATCCTCCGGCCACTGTTGAGAACGTGACAACGTCCGCTATAGCTGCACATCCTTTGCGGCCTTTCTTTCTCGTCGGCGCGAGAAACACTCACGTTTACCTCTGGAAGGTACGTTTTAATCACGTTTTCTCGTCCCTTGACTCTTATTTTGTTGCTGCCCGATATAGTTTGGCGAGTCGTCGGCCACTGCAACTTATGGTGTCTTGCCGGCTGCAAATGTCCCACCACCTTACGCCCTTGCTTCCGTTTCTTCCGTCCAATTCGATCGTTGTGGTCATCGGTTTGCATCCTCAGCAGTCGATGGCACTGTGTGTGCGTGGCAGCTCGAAGTTGGAGGCCGAAGTAACGTCTGTCCTACTGAGTCTCAACTGTGCTTTGACCGCCATGCGTGGTACTGTATTCGCGAGCTACAGTTCTATTCGATCTCTCACGGTCGGCCACTGCAGGGACGTCACTTTTGTTGGTGAGAGTGGCGCTATTATTGCAGCGGCCGGTTCTAGCCCCTCGGGAGAGAACCTGGTCGTCTGGAATACTTTAGCTCCCCCAAGCTCGGCGCGAATGTCGATTTCCTGCCATGAAGGTCTGTCAGCCTGTCCGTCTTCCTTCTTTTTTACTAGTATCGTACGTGTATATCTCATACTAGAGAAATGTTTTTGTTCTTGTGAAGGTGGTGCCAACTGCCTGGATGTATTGCACGCGGACCTTGGTGGCTCGCCTCTGATTATAACTGGAGGGAAGAAAGGAGATATCTCCGTCCATGACTTTCGATACATTACAACCGGCAAGGCCAAGCGTCGCAAGAACGGGTATCAAAGAACAGGCGACGATGGTCGTTTCGTGTGGCACATACCGAAAGCTCATACAGGTATGTATCTTGATTCGATTCGAGCTGGCCGATTGAATTTTTATTTCTCGGTTCTTGGACGTAGCGAGTGTAACCAGAGTGCGAGCAGTGCCAGGGACAACACTGTTTTTAACTGGCAGTAAAGACGGAGACGTCAAGCTTTGGGATGTGAACAAATGCGAGCTCGTAAAGCACTGGCAGAGAGTCCATGAGAAACGCTTGTTTCTTCAGCACAATACGCCAGGCTTGGGTGCTCTGGTTCAGGTGAGTGTTCCTCTCTCGTCGGCAAGGAATTGATTAAACCAGGCAGGCCTTCCTTGTTTCTTTTCTCTGCCTTTGTTTTCTTTCCATTTCTTTCGTTTTCTGCCGCTGCACGTTGATATAATAATGCGTGCACTTGCTTCGTTTCAGGCAGCAGTGATGGATTTGAGGATCTTACCAAATGGATTCATTACATGCGGGAGCGACGGGGCTCTTCGGCATTTTCGATTGGAAAGCGAGCATCACTCTGGTTGACCCGTGAAAGGTAGTGTTTCCAGTTTTTTGGCTTAAAAGCTTGCTTTCGAGTAGCTTTCTTCTTTTCTTCTTCGTTTTTTATCGCAGCCCTTTGGTGTTGTGCGCAGATTAGCATAACTTATAAGAACGCAATGCGTGTCAGAGAAATCCCAGAGATAAAACTGAGGATGAGGCTTTGTCGGGCATCCACCTGACAGGCTGCGGACGTGGATGCGTCTCCGCTTGCCACGTGCCGTGGTGTCGGGTGGGCGCTGACTTGCCGGTCAACTTTACCGTCTGGTGTAAGTATGGTTAGTGCTTTCACTCACTATACGAGTATTTCTTTTTTTTACTTATTTATTTTTTTTGTGTAGGAGATTGGGTCCCCTTGGCTTGAATAAAAGATGTTAGAAAATGGATCTCAGTGCAAAGTGGTATCAGCCTCAATGCCTTTTGTGGATGAGGGGAATCTTTAAAATATTGGTATGGTCAATGTACGTCGCTTGCTTTTCTAGAACACTAGGAACATTTTTGTGGCAACCAAAAAGAAAGCAAGAGAAACAACAGGGACAGAAATAAAATAGCAAGGCCGCTTCTTCGAAACTCCAATACCATAAACCCGAAGTACTTCCAACTAAGATCGTTCATAAACACCCACAGACTCAGATACATGTTTAAGGAATAATTCAAGTCTTTTTGCGTGTTTAGAGAAGAATCCACGTATTTAAAACAAATATTCGAGCATGAGCACGAAGTAAACATGTAGCTGATTGAGATTATATACCCGATGAATGATATGATTTAGTATCATATACAATGCAGGTTTATATGATTTAAATTATATACACATGTTCTTCTCTTGTGGAACGAAGTTGTGAGTGGTGAACAACTCATCGTGCTTTCTTGCTTGCAGGATATGCCGCGGGTACACTGGAAATCTTTGACGAAACACGGCTTTAAGCAACAGGGGGATATGCCACTCTCTGCACGCAGACAGACAACACGAAACCAGGCGAGAGGGGGGGTGGTGGATTCGGATTCCATGAAACAAGATATTATGCTCCCCGCGAAAAGACGTCTCGTCTCTTTGGAGGGAATTCCAGAATTCTCGCTTGAGCTCGCAAAAGCTCGAGGAACAAATCCAAACGTATAAGTGTTACATGCACTATGGAGTTTTCACTTGGAGAGGGGATTAGAGCTTTCTTTTCGGTGTTGTCTCGTATAGCAAGAAAGGAACGACTTTGCGTGTCGGCACATTGTGCCCATTTCATATCGAAACATTAATATATCACTTGTCAAGCTCAGTAGGACGAAGCCGGCATTCAAGATTTTCAGCGTGAAGTCGTTTTGGCGCTGCCGGTGTCACGGTTTGGGGTTGAAAAACTTTGCCGTGGCTACGATACGGTAGCCGCCTGGTGGTGAAAGCGAGAAAAGAGGAAAAGTACTACAAACAAGGAGCTTGAGGTGGTACTGTGAACATTGAGTTCTAAGTTTTCTAAAACTCTCACGTACCTTCTCTTTCGTGATCTCGTGCTCTTCTGGATAGACATCTATGTCTTGTTTACAGTTGTTTCGTGATTCTAACTAGCTTGAAAACCTGCGAGCTTGCAATGTTAAAAGAATGTCAACTTATAGAGCACGGCAAAAGGAAACTTCTACTTCTCTGTAAGGCCTCTGGGATGCCTTGTACAAGCCGGGGGATGCCAAGTCTATCCAAGAACATCGACACAAGCAATGTTAGTGAAAGGTTTCTTTGTTTATCCCCAAAATAATCTAAAGCCTTGTAGCTTTTGCTGTTCTTCTTGTACAACACTCCCATAGATAAGCTCTAGCAAAAGACTAGATCCAAGCCAGCACTAGACGTAGCCTTCATCAACTGGAAGTTACTCGTCTGCGGGTTAATCCAAATAAAAAACCACACGATTACGACTTGTCTTTAGCCAGAAACGCTTCCACCAAGCCAAGGCTCGAGCAAGGACATGGTGTGGGTTGAGGAACCATTTGAGGATGATTAGCATGCCATTAAAGAAACTAATAAAATAATGGGCTCAGTGCACTATGAGATCTATCATGTAAATAAGTATGATAGAAAAGCCAGAGCTCATGGAGGAAAAATTGTTAAAAATTACAGCAGAAACTACAAAGAAATACGTAAGTTAGTCAGCTGTGTATTACAGTAACAATTAGTAATGCTGGCTCTCTCCCAGGGTTTTTTTAATAGCTAGATTATTTACCTACACATTGCCTGACACTTATAAGCCACAACACCACTGCCTTAGTTCTCATATTTTCATTCAAAGTCTCAATTGAGTTCCAGCACTATATGCTTTGGAGCACACTCACTCACACACGCACACTCTCACACTCATATCACACACACCCAAAGTACAAAGTTCTTGAGTGGAGTGATTTAAATCCATCCCAGGGAGCTAGGAAGAAATTCTTAACTGGTTTGATGGAGATCATCCATGGACACTCCTTCACAGCTGCCCAATTTTGCCCAAGACCAACATTGATTGATCCATTGGAGTGATTCACCCAGAATTTCTTGCTACCTAGAGAAATTTCTCTTGTTTCTTCTTCTCCTCTCTCTATGATCATGAGCTCCAAAGCAATGATCCATCACCAGCATCACCAGCAGCAGCAACACCACCATCTCAATCTCAATGTCAACAATGTGCTGCCAGATTGGATCAAGCCACACTACTTGACAGCAATTCACCACACTGCCCACCAGAATCTCCCCATCGCCATTCCAATTCCCATGCCACTCCCAAATCCCCCAAGCATCAAGAAGGAGTCGCCATCCAGCGGCCAGGATCGCGACCATCGGACGATCCCCACCGCGCCAATAAAGCCTCTCTACGATCAGCACGGGCAAAGCGCGCAGTCTTGCTCCTCCTCCTCGATCCCTTTCGTCAGCCTGCGGCGGCTGCCAGAGATCGCCAGCAGCAGCTCCAGCAGCGCCTCCGGATCAGCATCCGCCACTAGCAGCAGCTGCGGCGGCGATGGCGTCCAGCAGATCCAGACCGGCATTCTCGACGACGATCGCATCCCACTGGCACTGGCATTGCAGCTGGATCAAGATCGAGCGCGGCGGCGGCGCGAATCGTCCTCGTCGCCAAATATTTCGGATCGGGAGGAGGCCGCCATGATCGATTCTCCCGGCGCGGGGCTCCGGATTGGACTCCCGACGGAGGCGATCGCCTTGAGCAGGAGCAGCAGCGCCAGCGCCAGCGCCACGGCGGCGATCGATCAGGGCAGTAGCAGCTCGGCGGCGGTGGCGGTGGCGGTGGCAGTGGCGGATCGCTGCATGTTCCAGGATCAGGGAGCGGGGATTAGGGGCAAGGGCCAGTTCTGGATTCCAACGCCCGCGCAGATCCTTGTCGGGCCGACGCAATTCTCGTGCCCGGTGTGTGGCAAGACGTTCAATCGCTACAACAACATGCAGGTAATCAAGCGTCGAGACTTCCTGGTCGATTTCTTGCCGTGTTCTTGCGATGGATATCTTGTGTTCTTCGTTTCCGGTTTACTTGTGCGTTATACTGTCTCGTCGATGGATCGTGTTCTCTTCTTGTTGAGAGAAATGGCTGGCTGGAGTGCTCAATCTTTGGTTGATAAGAGCTCTCCTTGGATGCCGTGTGTGAGAGTTCTTGAGGTATTTGACTCCCTTGGAAGCCTTTTCTCTTCTTTTGTCTGAGAGAATCTCTTCAGATGGTACTCTTCGGTCAAGTTGGTTTTGTTCTTGCGAAATGGGAGATGACTGACTCATTTCTCTTTTGGTTCTGTTTCCATGATCCAGATGCATATGTGGGGGCATGGATCGCAGTACCGTCGCGGCCCCGAATCCCTCCGCGGCACGCAGCCCAGCGCGATGCTCCGGCTGCCGTGCTACTGCTGCGCGCCGGGGTGCCGCAACAACATCGAGCACCCGCGCGCCAAGCCGCTCAAGGACTTCCGGACGCTCCAGACGCACTACAAGCGCAAGCACGGCGCCAAGCCCTTCATGTGCCGCAAATGCGGCAAGGCGTTCGCGGTGCGCGGCGACTGGCGCACGCACGAGAAGAACTGCGGCAAGTTGTGGTACTGTAGCTGCGGCTCGGATTTCAAGCACAAGCGGTCGCTCAAGGACCATATCCGCGCGTTTGGGAGCGGCCACTCTCCCGTGGGGCTGGATGAACAGGAGGAAGATCCGGACGAGGACGAGGACGAGGAAGCTGGATCGAATTCCACCAACGAAGACGACGGCGAGATGGACACGACTATGACGGCCATCTCCAGCTAGAAGCAGTCTTTGTTTTTTTCTTGTTTTTTTTTTCTTTTTTTTTTTGCTCCAAGAAACAGAGCACTACCTATGAAATGTAGTCAGAGTTTGTTCAGAATTCAGAATGAACCCTAAAAATTGATCAGAACTCAGGCTGAACCTTAAAAGTTGTCAGAATGAACCTTACAAATGTCAGAATGAGCAGCTTTCTTGGTTCAAATGTTTGAAAATCTGTCCTTTGTTGGGCACATGGTGAAGAGATATTGGAGATCAGGGAGTGGTGCGGATCTTGGATGGATCGCGGCGTTTCAGCTCCAGACACTATCTATTACATGCAGGAAAACATAAAATTTGTAGCATAACCTATCTGATCTCTCTCTCTCTCTCTCTCTGGTGGAGATTTTTCCACGGCATTCAAAAGGCCCAGGTCTTTTGTCTGCTGCTGCTGCTGCAGCACATCTTCAAAACTCACACGCAAGATTGTTTAAGTTGGAGCGATCACGTCCCGAGACACGGCACAAAGGGGATGAGCGCAATGGCTCTTTTTTTTGTTTTCCGGCAGAGTTTCACGCCCCTCCACGAGCGGTGTGCGTATAATTATGCAAAGTTCACCCGTGAACATACCACCCGCACTACAAGAACTGTGTTAACAGCGCGGAGACGACGAAAGCAGGTCGCCCACGAGGATGATTTCCTGGCAGCTTGTTCCACGCAATTGACGGCGATTAACAAAACCCTAGAGAGATGTGGGATCCCGCGCGTGGAGATTTTATGTTTTTCTTCTTCTGAAACGGCTTCGAGGCTCTTTCTCTCCCACTGTCTAGAGTTCGGCAGAAAAGACATCGTTTACTGGGGATGAAAAGATGCCTTACATGAGCAACTTATACTCCCATTGACCGCCTCCTTTCATCCTCATTCAACTCAACGCATTTGTTCACATGGTTTCTGGAGTTAATATATAAAAACAGAGGAAAATCACAACACATGGACAAGGCATGAAATCAAGGAAAGCACTGGTCACCGCCCGTAATCCTGCGGCATGCACGCTCTCGTGTCCCCCATTCTGTGTCTGAAAGGCGAGCGCACGCGTGCGTACGTGTGCCCACCCCACAAATTAGGGCTCCTGCTCGCCTGGGGTGGTAGGTCAAATGTGAAAAGTATGTTGGTTGCTTGTTCCAGCCCAAGAAAATAATATTATGGCCAGCCATCATTTTCCTAGAGTCGGCAAAAACTTACAAACATAGGTAGTGGAGGGTGGTGGATCATGGGCGGGGAAAAAGCCCTAATTAGCGAGCGCGTCGTCATCATTCATGCACCTGGATTTTGGTTATTCATATTTGTCTAGTTTATATTGGACACGGATAGATATTGCCGAATGTTTATGACAGTATTGTTTAGTCCCGATTAGCTTCTATTGCGATAATAGATACGTGTCCACAAGATTCCCATGTGGTGGATTAGTTGGTGTGGTCAAAAACAACGAGACAATGTTCCCTTGAGCTTGATAGGAAAGATGCCCAGATCAAATGTAGTCTCTAGTGGCAACAAATCTTAACCCTTGGGAATAGTTTAGGGTCGCATAAAACTGGACAGTGTCCGTGCACGTAATCGCGCGCTTTTATTTAAATGGCTAAAGATCCCTCCGGCGAATATGCGTTAGAATGTTCTACGTGGATACCCCCCATGGCATGGGTGTGGATGGACCCATGGCGTGAGTCATGGTAGGCGCAAAACGACACCATCGCATGCGCGCGTGAGCGTCGGTGTGGACCCATGCGCATCTATGGCGCATGAAAGGTGGCCTACCATCGCCATACCACGACATGATCAAAACAACACAAGAAAAATATTTAGTCTTTGATATCTTTTGTATGGTTTCTTTTCCGGCTCTTTCCCTTCAATGCCTCGAGCGAGTGAGTGCCTCTTGGAGCACAGCAACGCTGATAGCTAGCTTGAAAGAGAGAAAACAAAAAAAACAACAAACACAAAGGCCACTGTCAGCCGAGAGATTCCTGGAAAGGTTCCAGCGTGGACTGGCTGGTCAACAGATTCGACAAGAGAACATACGAGTTTGGATCGCTTGCGTCGATCAAACTCGCGGCCTTGACACCTCGCTTTGCGTCGCCGTGAACTCTGCAAGCACTCAAGAATGCCCGCCACGACACGGCATCCATAGCCAGGCTGAATTCCTCCGCCTCGCCGAGCCGCCCAACTTTGGCCAGCGCGTCCACGAGACACCCAAAGTGCTCCGCCAGCGGCTGGATTCCATGGTCCTCCACCATGGAGCTAAAGCACGCCATGGCGTCCTTGACGAGCCCCGAGTGGCTGCACGAAAGTATCGCGCACAGGAAGCTGACGTCGTCGGCTTTCGTCCCGTCCTGTTGCATCTTCCAAAACAGCTTCAGACTGTCCCTGGGATTCCCGTGCTGCGCGTTGGCCGCCACCATGACTGTCCACGAAACCACGTCCCGGCGTTTGATCCTCTCGAACTCGCGGTTGGCGGCGTCCAAGTTGCCACACTCGGCGTACATGTTGACGATCGCGTTCCGGACGGTGTCGTCGCTGTCCAGGCCTTGAGAAGCCACTCGGAAGTGGAAGAGCTTTCCCTGAGTCGGGGCCACGGCACCGGCGCAGGCATCGAGCGCGAGGACGTATGAAACTTGATCCGGTTTCGTGCCTTCCATGTCCATCGCCTGGAAGAGCTTGAGAGCTTCTTTCGGCGAGTCGAGCTGGATGTAGGCCGTGAGCATTGCGTTCCACGAGACCACGTCCTTCTTCTTCAGGCCGTCGAAGACGCACTTGGAGTTTTCGAGGCTGCCACACTTTGCGTAGAGGTTGATGAGGAAGTTTGCGACGATGTTGCCGTCGAGCTGGAAGCCACTGGCCAAAACTCGCCTGTGCATGGCTTTGGCAGACTCCTCACCCGTGTAGACGCAGGCGTTGAGAAGAGCCGTGTAGCTTATCTTGTCTGGCTTCAGGCCTTCCAGGTCCATCTTCCAGAGGAGCTTGAGAGCCTCCTTGCCGCAGCCGTGCTGGCTGTACTCCACGGCCAAGGCGTTCCAGGAAACGAGATCCCTGCTCGGCATCTCGTCAAACACCTTCCTGGCCTCGTCCAAGCGCGCACACTTCCCGTACATGCTCACCAACGTGTTGTTTACGTTGACGTCGCCGCCAAAACCAGTGGCAATTGCTCGAGAGTGAGCACTTCTTCCACGCGTTAGATCCCCCGAGCTCGCACAGGCGTCGAGAATGCTCACGAACGTCACCTTGCTCGGAGGAATGCCTTCCAAGTCCATCTTCTTGAGAAGCTCCAGGGCTTCTCTTCCATGCCTGTGCTGTGCGTATGCTGTTATCATCGCGTTCCAGGAAACCACGCTCTTCACCTCCATCCCTTCGAGAACACCTCTTGCCTCTGCCAAGCTCCCACACTTCCCGTACATGTTAACCAGCGTCGTCTCCACAAACACGTCCATCATGAAACCACTCGCGAGGAAAGTAGCGTGAAACTTTCGTCCCTGTTCCAAGTCTTCAAGCGTTGCACAGGCAGCTAGCAAGCCAAGCAAGCTCGCCCTGTTCGGTCGAAAGCCTTCCATGCTCATCAACCGAGAAAGCTCCATAGCCTCTCTGGCATGCCCGAGCTGTGTGTAGGACGTGAGCATGGCGGCCCAGGACACCGAGTTCTTCAAAAGGATGCCGTCAAACACGTCCCTGGCCTCGGAAACACTGGAGCAGCGTCCATACATGCTGAGGAGTGCGTTTCCAACGCCAACATCTGTAGTGAAACCATCTGCTGTAGCTTGCGAGTGGACTTTCCTACCGTGCTCCAAGTCCGTGCAAGCATCCAAGATGCCGACGAAAGTGAAAGCGTCAGGCCTGGTTCCATCCTGCTGCATCTCCTGGAAGACTCTAAACGCCAGCGTCGAGTCTCTGGCCACCTGCGAATACGAAACAATCAGTGCGTTCCACGAGACAACATCTCTTTGTTCCATACCGTCAAAGACAAGCCTCGCGTCGCTGGAGCTCCCGCACTTGCCATACATGGTGATGAGGCAATTGGCGACGATGAGATGGTCTTCAAACTCCGTCGCGGCAATGCTGGCATGCACAGCGCGACCAAGCTCGAGAGCTCCCAGAAGCGTGCACGCCTTGAGAGCCAGGCCCACCGTGAAAGTGTCCGGTCTCACACCCTCAGCGTGCATTCTCCAGTAGATCACCAGCGCTTTGAAAGGATTGCCATTCCGGATGTGAGCCGTGATCATCACTGTGGCGAGGCACTTGTCCGGAACAACACCTTCCTCCACCATCTTCTCGAAAAATCCCACAGCCCCACTGTAATCCCCGTTGAGAACACAAGCCGAGACCATCTCGCTCCACGAGAAGAGATTCCTGTGAGCCATCGCTATAGTGTCGAAAACTCTACGCGCCTCCTCCAAGCTGCCGCACTTCCCATACATCCCAATCACCATATTCGCTAGCCGGCGATCACCGCGACAATCGCTCTTGCTGACGTGATCGTGGATTTTCCTGCCCTCCGCCAATGCCTGCGCCTCGCCACACCACCGGAGCAATCTGCTATAGCTGCCGATCTTGTCCAGAGATTCTTCCAGAGATTCCAGAGCTCGATCTACATCCATACCTCTCCCGTCGGCGATGCCGCCGCAAGAATCAGCTGCATCGTGCGATAGAAGCCTAGAGAATCGAGAATGCGAGAATTGGATCCGCCGGAGCACCGCCCGCCCGGGCATGGGCGAAGAACCCTAAATTACAGAGATTCCACTAACGGATTCATAGCGACACGTGCCCACGGGCACCGGCTGGAGCCGGTAAGATCGCGAGACACGTGGCGGGAGCCTGGTCGCCGCAGATGGCGGTGCCGCCGTGCACGGGCTACAGCCAGTCAGCAGATCCCGTAACCGGCCCAGGGAGTCAGCTTCGTCTACCTCATGTTTGGGTGCCTAGGGTTAGGGTATTGGCGTAGGAGCTGGTGGCCTCGACATCGTCGAGAAGCGCAAGGGCGATCATTCTCCATTCGTGAAGCTTGCGAGGCAAAAGGTGAATTCTTTGCGAGATTTTCACTCTCTCGCTCGCGATTCTCTGAAATTTCCGGTAGCTGAGAGCAAGATTGGCCATGTAGGGTTTGCTGGGATAGGAGGCGGCCGCCAGACCGATGCGCGGTGAAGAAATCCCTGAAAGCGAGGAGGATACGCGATCATCGTCTCCTGGAGCTGCTGCTAGTGGCGGGGCGGCGTCATTGCCGTGGTGGGGCGCTCAATCGTCCGCTACTGTCACTCCAAAGGCTGCTTTTGATGGTTGTGCGAGCGGCGGGAGAGTGAACTTCGCCCCAATGCAGCAGCCTCAAGTTCCACACGATGGTCACACTCTTTCTTCTCCACCCCAGAAGTTACCAGCGCCTTCCTCCGGCACAGGTTTGCTGGAAACTTTCTTTCTTTCTTTCAAAGCAAAACCTTTCATACATTTCTTTCTTTCTCTTCAGCAGCTGTGGATGAGAATGGTGCTACTGCTGTGGCTACTGTCGGTGAAGTAGCGAATGGAATTCCTCCACCGCCGGGAGAGTTTATCATCCGGCCTCCCCAGCTCGAGCTCGGTCACCCAATGGTCTGAAAAACGAAAAGAGCGACAGAAGTTTGATGACCTTTCGTGTTGTGGACTCGTTCCAGGTTCGCGCAGCCTATCCGTATGATCCGTATTACGGTGGACTTGTTGCGGCTTATGGAGCGCAGGGAGTGCCAATGGTAGTGCTCTTTTCAGTAGGGAATTGTCGGTTTCACTCACGCGTTTTGTGTTTCATGTAGATGCATCCTCATGTTCTAGGAATGCAGCACAGTCGAATGCCTTTGCCGTCGGAGATGATGGAAGAAGAGCCCGTGTATGTAAACGCGAAGCAGTATCACGGCATTCTTCGCAGGAGGCAGATACGAGCAAAGGCGGAGCTCGAGAACAAACTCGTGAAGACTAGGAAAGTAAGTTTCTTTTCTTTCCTTTTCTCTCGTGGAACTAGTGTTTCTTCTCTTTTCTCCTGTAGAACTTGACTGAACCAATGTTTTTCCACAGCCATATCTACATGAATCGCGACACCAGCACGCGTTGAGGAGAGCCAGGGGATGCGGCGGCCGGTTCCTCAACACCAAAGCCAAGGAAGATGGGAAAGGATGCAACGATGTAAATGAGAGAGCTTCGTCAGTGTGCTCGGATAGCTCTGACGCCAAGTCCAACAGCGCTGGAGCCGGATCGGCGGAAAGCGGTGGAGCTGCCGGGTATCATCACCCTCGAATGATCTCAGCAGCGAATCAAGCAAATGGTTACCACAGTCTTCATCAAACTCAGTCGTTCCATCCGTCAGCGTTCCATCCTTTAGCTAGTTGTGATGGTGGTGACAACGGGCAGAGTGGCACCGGCATGGTTTCCAGCATGGCTGTGGCGACGCAGTAAGATCGCGCCAGCGAGCGAAGATCGTAGGAGAGAAGTTTATGGGGAAGAGCCAATGTTGGGTGAAGTGGTGGATGATGATGATGATGATCATGATGATGGAAGAAAAGAGAAGGCTTGCAGTTTTGTTACCAGCAAGCAGTGTAGTAGGAGCAAAAACTCAGTTTGTGCAGTGTTCTCTTTTGACTTGTCATACTTGATAGTACGGACTGTGATATTTATGAAATATTATAGTACAGTTAAAGATTATGCCTGAAATATTCTAGTACGGATGAAGTTACACTAAAGCCCTAGCTAAACCCTAAATTTGGAGGGAAATAGGGGGGAGAGATGAATGTAGGCGGCAAGCGGCTATGGTGGATCTCTCGGCGCTGCTCCAGGATCTGGGAGACTGCATCGCCAGCAAGCTCGACTCGTCATCCGAGACGCAGCCGGAGAACGATGATCCGGTAGAGTCGCGCTTCCGGTCGGTGTTGCCTGTTCTTCTTGACGCGTATTTTCTTCCCGAGAAAGGTATGCGGTCGCGATAGGGGAAGAGAGGCTTATTTCTTGCGCTTGGCAGTGAAAGGACGGGAGATTTTGGCGATTTTGAAGCTGGTGCGGCACACTGTGGATCATTTTCCCGGTGTTCTCTTCCATGGCAAAGCTCATGCTGTTCTTCCTGTTGTTGCGAGGTTGATTCCACTTCTTGCCGAGCCCGCTGCGAGGTATGAATTTTTTCTTTCTTCTTTTTTTTGTGTATGGAGTAACTTGACACCAAAATGTAATACTTGCAGTGGATGCTGCGAGTGTTTGTTTGAGACACTGCGTTCTCTCGTTTCAATTCTTCGCAAGGGAGAATGGGAGGTCTTCCAGTACTTTTTTATCGACGCCTTATTGCTCGTGGAAGGTATATCAAGTTGCGATTGCTACTATCTATTGAAAATCTAAGCTTGTGTTGCAGATTTGGCATCCGTTGGTTCCTTTTTTTCCACTCCAACGAGAGTTACATCTCCTGCAACTATATCGGTGAATTGCTTCCAGGAATCTTTTTCCTGTCTACGAGGAAAAAGAGATGGAGACAGGTTTCTTGCACTTTCGTGCTGGGAATCCTCGAATGCCCCTGGGCTTTCGATTGACGTTACTGGAAAGGCTCGATGGGAGCCTCTCGCGGTATACGTTATTAAGCTTCTCACACATTTTTTGACCGAGGACTCGTTTCACGTTCGAGGTCTAGTGACACCGTGCTTCATGTTTGCCATTGGCACAATTATGTGTTATGGCTCTAGCAATCTACACAAGGTACAAACTTCAAGTTAACTTAGCGAGCGTAATAGTCCTCTTGCGCAGGTTTGCTTTGAAATGTTTGCTGTTGGAACATCTGAACTCGATGCTGATGTTGTTCCCAGTGAAAAGGCGATTTTGTCAATCTTGGCCGTGCTGTCTCTACCCAGAAATGGAGAACTTCCAGCCTTTAGGTTTGTTCTGTTTTTAAAATGTTTCTAATACTGAAATGGTGTAAACTTCCAGGACATCGACTTACGATTCCAGCCTTGGCTCCAGTCTGCTTTCACTTTATTCTAAGAGCGCACCAGATGTTGTAAAGTGCACGGCTCAAAATTTTTTGGAATTATTTCCAACTACAATTATGACGTCCGCTAGTCGCGACTTGAAGGTCTGTTTCTATTATTTACTACAGGAAGTATTCTTATCGAAAAATTTCAGGTCGCGTTCTGCAACATTTTGTCAATTATTCTCAAGCAATGCCCAATATATTCCAGCTGCGTCCTCTCTTTCACAACGATGATTTTTGTTCCCGACATTATGTCTCCGTTCAGCTCCTGTCTCCAAATTGCTATCAATGCGGATGCCGGAAATGCTGAAAATGGTTCCAAAAGACGCAAGTTACGTGAAGGTGAAGCTTTGACCTGTGGAGTGGAAAACTCGTTTGATCAGATGCATGAAGTTTTTGGTAGGCTGGAGATGGAAAATAAAGGCAGTACAATGCCTGTCGAAAGTTTACTAGCAGGCTATTGCGTTCTTGCTCGATCCTTTTGCCGAGCACCAGGAACAGATTACCTGCGACTAGTTTTACAACATTTTTGTGAATGGCTGATTTTATCCAAGTCGAAGGCAAGTATTTCTATCCCCCGGTCCTTTTTCTTCTATCACTAATGCGTTTCTTACAGGAGCTAATAACGAAACTTACAAAGTTTCAGCTGTCAATCATTCTTGAAGCAGTTGAGGGTCTGATTTTTCATCCTGGTAATGAGGTTCTCTATTCAGCTGCATTTCCTGCTAACTCTTATCCACAGACTCAGAAATTCCGGAATTGGTGTTTTGCCGAGTTAAAGAAGTAGTTGGGCGTGTTCTGGAGATGCCTTGGTTTAGATTTACGGCTTCTCAAGGAGATAGTATTTGGAAGGCAAAACTACACGTGATGACGATTCTTTCCAAGATGAACGAGCCTGAAAGGTTCAATGCTGATCATCTACTTCGTCTTGGATTGAGAGACGAGGACATGCGTGTCCGATCGGCAGCAGTGACGTGCATTCCGTTGCTGGTCGCCCATTCGTCTATGAGCTGGTTAAAGCTCTCTGAACTTCTAAGGTAAACATTTCATTTGAGATGCTTCTTTACTTATGATTTTCTGCAGGGGTATGGACGAGGACAATGAGCAAGTTCAAGAAGCGCTATGCTCAACTATTGGAAAGCTGTTCTGTGTCGCCGCTGCAAACCTTGTCCCAACGTCAGACATGCAGCAACTCTCGTGCAATATCTGTGACAACGGCATTGCCTCTGCAAGTGCAGTGCTTAAAGACTTGGAGTATCCATATTGGAAAACCGTTGTACTGAAGCTGCTTCTGACGAATCGGTCCTATCGGGTGCAAAGTGCTGTCGTACGAAACCTTTCTCGTCTCCTTGCACACAGTTTTGAAGGAGACGCGAGGGACATATGGGTGAAGTGTCTAGATGTTTTTCCACTGCATCCTGATCGTTCCGCGCGGAAAGCATTTTGCTCTCAACTCAGAGGCTTGCTGACTCAGGAACATATATGGTACTCCACAGTTGGCCACAAGTCCGGGGACTACGAAATACTTAAGAAGCTGGGAGATGCCTTGGCTATAGCGACAGATCCAGACGTGTTAGAGACTCTTATGGAAACCGTCGCAGAAGTTGGGAAGGTGGCAAAGGGTGATGAGCTACGGGTGTCTGCTACTATCCTTCTTATAGAACAGCTCGACAAAAGTGAAGTTTCTGCAAGGGCCGTGAGCGTGAGACTCATATGCGAGATAGCAGCTGCTCAGTGGCCATCCGATAGTAACAGATGCGTGGAAAGGATGGTCGATAGCTCGAGCGAGATATTGTTCGAGTTTTTTTTGAAGAACCTTGTTCTTCGTCCATTCCTCGTCAAAGAATTTGCCGAAGCGGTGATGAAGATTTCTACGGGCGACTTACTGAGAAAAATGATCCCTTACGTGCTTCCGAAGCTTATACTGGATCAACAGCACGACGAAAGAGCTCCTCAAACGCTTAATACTCTAGCGCATCTGTTACAGACAAGTTTGCCGCTGGTGTTACTCGAATGGTGCCACAAGGTTTTGTCCGTGCTCTTACTTCGAGCGGACGGAAGGGAGCTGATGGCTGCATTGCATTTCTACGAAGCACAGACGGGATCAGATGCTCGTGAGATATTTGCAGCTGTCTTGCCTGCGTTACTTGACGAACTAGTTTGGTTTCTTGGGGACACGAGTAACGATGAAGCCGTTAAAAGGTAACATTTCACAAGTTTCTTATTTTCCTCCTCTAAAACTGGACTGCAGGTCTGCAAGAGTTGGTCCCATGATTCAAGAAGTTGCCCGTATTATATCCGGATCCGATGATCTACCGAGTTTCTTAAGGCAACATTTTGTACGCCTCTTGAACAACATTGATCGGAAACTCTTACGTTCGGAAGACGTCCAAATGCAAAAGCAGGCTCTCAGGTGCATCGAGCGTTTGTTAGAGATGATCGGTTCTCATCTCAGTGCTTTTATTCCTAAGATCATGGCTTTACTCTCTCAGCCGCAAGACTTACAGTATGAGAGCCTTAGCGTTTGGCTTTCATTTGTCAAAAGACTCGCTCAAGTTTCCCCAGCAAACCTGAAGACTGTCGCAAGCCAAATCGTCGTGGCGCTGATGCCGTGCCTTGAATCTGAACAGTCATCAACTATCGATGCGGCAGTACAAATTTTGGAGGAGCTGATACTCAAGAACAGGAGGTTGCTGGGGGACCAGATAAAAGAACTGCCGTTACTTCCCAGCCTGGAGCCTTTGGCAGCTGTGAACGCCGTCTTGAACGAAGTGCGTGGATTCTTAAGTTTACGAGATCAACTCTTACGAGCAGGCGAAGGTTTGAACCATGAGAGCCTATCTTTGAGGCTCGTCACCGCAACTGAGCTGCTCAAGTTACTGTCCAGTAAAAGGAACGATATCACTGCACTCGTTCTTCGGGAGACACCGGCGGATGCAGACGCAGTGAGCAGCCTCGTGACTCGGTTACTGCGTGGTTGCTCGGAGGAATCACGGACATCAGCGGGACAGAAATTCAAGCTGGCCTGTGCCGAGTGCTTGGGTGGTCTCGGTGCTATTGATCCCGTCAAGCTACAAATAAGCCTACGACATCGTTCGAGCATGCAGCACACGGAAGAGGATCTCGTGTTCCAGTTGATAAACCAGCACTTGACCAGAGTTCTCCGAGCAGCATCCGATACCGACGTGCAAGATGCAGCAGCTTTAGCTATCCAAGAGCTTCTCAAGCTCACAGGCTGCCATGAAGCTCGAGGTGTCTCAAGACCACCATCGAGTTCGAGTAAGCCGACTCAAAAGAGCAAGCTACAGCTTGGGGACAGGTTGTGGAGCAGGTTCTCCGATGCCGTCAAAGAGATCATCAGTCCTTGCTTAACGTCGAAGTACCTGCTCAAAGTTTCTGGAGCTCCGATGCCTTCCGGGCCCATTTTTCGTCAAGGGATACTGTTCAGGAGGTGGATGTATCTGTGGTGTCGAAGGCTGCTCTCGCAAGTAACCGGTCAGATGGCATCGATTCTCGGTGCTTGTAGAGGTGTGGTAAGACACGACATGGATGCGGCACTATATATACTCCCGTATCTCATACTGGACATAGTCTGCCACGGGTCTCAGGAGGCGCGCACAGGCGTTACGGACGAAATTCTAGCGGTCTTGGCTGAAGCTGGCACTGGAAACGACGGGCAGCCGGGGCAGCCAGTTTATCTTAACAATGCATTCTGCGGGTCGGGTGGCGAAGTTAGCATGCAGACCGTTTTTATGCTGCTAGATAATCTGGGACAGTGGGTGGACGACTCCAAAGCGCTAACAAGCAAGGGATCACGCTCGACACAAGCGAAGGAACTGTCCGCAAAGCTTTTAGTGCAGTGCGAGCAAGTTGGACAGTTGCTGGCTTCTATACCGAAGCAGAGCCTGGCATCGGCTTCTTTTCGTTGTCGTGCCTACGCTCGAGCGCTACTTTACTACGAGTCTTACGTTCGCGAGAAGTCTGGAGCTCTTAATCCGGCTGCTCTTGTGAGTGGCACATTCAAAGACGAAGACGTCGGTTTCCTTTTGAAGATTTACGGTGGTCTGGACGAGCCCGACGGGCTGTTGGGAATAGCTCGCTTGCAAAAGCGTGCAAGTCTGGAGGATCAAGTGCTTATCAACAAGATATCTGGGAACTGGGCCGAGGCATTGACGTTTTGCGAGCAAGCTTTGGAGCTGGAGCCAAAGAGCTTATACTGGCAATCCGGGATCTTAGACTGCCTCGTGAACATGGGACATTTCCAGGCGATGGTAACTCATGTTGATGGACTGCTGGCTCGCTTGCGAGATTCAAGAAGAGAGTGGTACATGCGTGGCGTTCAAGCTGCTTGGCGGCTCGGACAGTGGGACTTGATCAATGAGTACGTTCATGGCTCTGAGCTAGAGGCAGGAAGTACTGAAAGTGATTCGGCATTCGATCTTAGCTTGGCCAAGGTACTGCAAACACTTCGCTCCAAGGATCAGGTGAAGTTCCAAGAGCAGCTTACGCATGCAAGGCTTGCTTTGCTTGCACCGCTCGCGGCCGCCAGTATGGAGTCGTACGTCCGGGCGTATCCTGTGATCGTAAAGCTACACATGCTGCGGGAGCTCGAAGATTTCTTCTCGTTGGCTGACAAAGGTGGCGATAACAAAGACCAACTGTTTGAGAACTGGAACGGACGTTTGAAGATGACGCTGCCTTCGCTCTCGACAAGGGAACCTATACTGGCACTTCGGAGGCTGCTGTTCTCCGTCTGTGACTTGCAGTCCGAAATGGGAGGCTGCTGGCTGCAGTATGCAAAGCTTTGCAGGACTTCCGGCCATTACGAGACTGCAAACAGGGCCATACTTCAGGCACAAGCTGCTGGTGCTCCGAATGCACACAGGGAAAGAGCCAAACTTTTCTGGGATATGAAGAAAACGCATCGCGCCATCGATGAGCTACAACAAGTTTTGGTGAACGTACCTCTGAGTGTTCTTGGAACCGCCAGCGGTGCTGCTCTTTCAGGACTTGTCCTTAACACCTCGCAGACGGAGTCAGCATTAGAGTTGACAGTCGAAGAACAGGTATGCAACGATGCAGCAAAAACTTTGCTTCTCTTGGGAAGATGGGCCCATTGTACAGGGCAGAAACAAAAGGAGGATGTGATCAGCATCTACACCAGAGTGAAAGACTTGCAGCCAATGTGGGAGAAGGGATACTTCTACATGGCAAGGTACTACGACGATTTGCTAGTGGATGCCAGGAAGAGGCAGGAGGAAAACAAAGAGCACAGAAGTAACACAACGAAGCGGGGCAGTAATGCTGACGACAAACCATGGTGGACTTATCTCCCCGATACGGTTCTTTGTTACGCGAAGACGCTGCACAGAAGTCACCACCATTTGTTCCAAGCCTTGCCTCGCTTGCTGACGTTGTGGTTCGAGTTTGGAAGTGCTTATCGCAGTGAAAGTCTTGGTTCAAACAAGATCGTAAAGGCCGCGCATGTCAGGGTAAGCTTTTCATCGTTCTTCGAGACAAATTTCTAACGTGTGGTTTTTGAAGGTGATGGCTATAATGAGAGGTTGTTTGCAAGAACTTCCGTCATATCAGTGGCTTGCTTCTCTTCCCCAGCTAGTCTCAAGGATCTGTCATGACAATGAGGAGGTGGTCAGGCTGGTGAAGCAAATCATCCAAAGTGTTTTGCAAGCTTATCCTCAGCAAGCCTTGTGGACGATGGCTGCTGTTTCGAAGTCCGATATTCCTGAGAGGCGCAGTGCAGCTACAGAGATAATTCAAGCGGCAAAGTTTTCAACTCGCAACGATGACGAGAGAGCGACGTTTGTTCAATTTGCTACTTTCATCGAGCATATGGTCCGACTATGCTTCGCCCCCGGTGCAAGTGAAAAGGCTCGGTCTCTAACCCTGTCCACAAGCGACTTCAGCTCTCTCAAGAGAATGATGCCCCTCCAGGTAATTATGCCTGTCCAGCGAGCTCTTGCTGTAACTTTGCCCGCTGATGGCCTTTCAAACTCGAGCTACAATCCTTTCCCGTCTGGCGACTGCTCTACGATATTTGCTATTCGGGACGACGTCGAGATACTGGTATCGTTGCAGCGGCCCAAAAAGGTATGCGTGGCGGAAGTTTTTCAAACTACAAACATCTAAATCGTTTTGTCAGGTTGTGCTTGTTGCAAGCGACGGGACAGAACATCCGTTTCTCTGCAAACCCAAGGATGACTTGCGTAAAGACGCTCGAATGATGGAGTTTACAGGCATGATCAACCGTCTGCTTTCTAAAGACCCCAGCAGCAGGCGGCGGAAGCTTTACATTCGGACGTTCGCAGTAATACCACTGACAGAAGACTGTGGAATGGTGGAATGGGTGTCACATACGAGAGGCCTACGACACATTCTACAGGACTTATACGTTTCGGCCGGCATGTTTACCAAGGAGACCAACCCGACCATCAAACGCATTTACGAGGACAACAAAGATAAGAAGATCTCCGCCACCGAGCTAATGCGTGACAAGATACTACCGATGTTTCCTCCAGTTTTTCACAAGTGGTTCCTCAACACGTTTCCGGAGCCAACGGCTTGGTTCCAATCGAGGCTGGCTTATGCTCACACTACAGCAGTGTGGTCAATGGTGGGACATATCGTGGGGCTTGGGGATAGACACGGTGAAAACATTCTTTACGACTCTACGACGGGTGACTGCGTTCACGTGGATTTTAGCTGCCTTTTCGACAAGGGGTTGCAGCTCGAGAAGCCAGAACTTGTTCCTTTCCGTCTCACACAGGTGCGTTAACATTTCTCTGTCCGTTTTTTTTTCTGAAGCCCTGCAACTTGCAGAACATGGTCGACGGCCTCGGTATAACAGGCTATGAAGGTGTGTTTTTGCGAACTTGCGAGATCACCTTGTCTGTTCTTAGAGCCAACCGAGAGACGCTCATGAGCGTTCTAGAGACGTTTATCCACGATCCTCTAGTGGAGTGGACGAAGTCTCACAAGTCGAGTGCAACGGAAGTCCAAAATCCTCATGCTCAGGTGACTGGTCCCTTTGGCTTGTGTATTGGAACTGACTGGGCTTTCCAGCGAGCGCTTGCAAACATCGAGGCTCGTTTGCGAGGAGTGGTCGTAGGTGTTGCTGCAGCTCCGTCTTTACCACTCTCGGTAGAAGGCCAAGCTCATCGTTTGATTCAGGAGGCCGTGTCTCACGAAAACTTGGGACATATGTATGTCTGGTGGATGCCGTGGTTTTAGTACGGCTTGAGGTGCGTAAAATGTGCTTAAAATTTGGTTCTTTATGCTCACTAATTGTTCTTGGATGCAGCAAGCGGATTTATTTTAGATATATATGAATTTGAGTTTCTTGAAGTTCGATAATCGTGACTTGGGCCACACTCCAAAAGCTTAAAACAAGTACGTGCATCTATCATTTTAGTGCAGGAGAATTAGTAGTAATTATGACGTATTGTTGCTGTCAACAAGTCGTAGTCTTGAGCATGCCACTAAAATAGTGATCGCTCACGGAATTGTGAAATATAACTGTACAGGTTTTGAGTGCGGCCTGTTATGAAGTTCCAGCATTAGCTCTTCACTCTAGATGATGGCGATGGTGATGCCATTCTCTGATGATCCCCACTCCACTTGCGGAAATTAATCTATCTACAACAACATCGATCGTCTATATAACTCAAGGCCGAGCAGAACCTTAGAGTAAGCAGCCATGGCTGGTCTTGTCATTTTTTCTTTGCTAATCTCTGTGGTCTCATACTGCAGCAATGCGAAACTCAGTGACAACGTCGACATTACCTGGTCTGCAGATCATGTTGATAGAGCAAATGAAGGGACTGAGCTCCTACTCAAGCTTGACAATTCATCTGGTATGTAACTCTCTCAACTGGACTTTCTCCAAGCTGAGGCTTTGCTTTTGAACAGGGTCCGGCTTCAAATCCAAGGAGCAGTACATGTTTGGAACCATCAGCATGGAGATCAAACTCGTGCCTGCCGAATCTGCTGGTACTGTGACGTCCTTCTATGTAAGAAGCACCTCCAGTTTCGTCGACACTAGATCTAAAATCTTCTTTTGCTCAGTTGCAAACGGACTCCACCCCCAGTATTGGACCAGATTACTACGAGTACGACTTCGAGTTCCTTGGAAACGTGTCCGGGGAGCCTTACATCGTCCAGACGAATGTTTACGCCGGAGGCAAAGGTGGCCGAGAGCAGCGCATTTACTTGTGGTTTGATCCCACGGCGGACTTCCACACATACACCATGTCCTGGACCAAGCAACACACAGTGTAAGCTGCTAGTTCTTCCCTCCAGACTCTGGATCCCGGCTTACAATTCGATCCCGTTTCAGGTTTTTGGTGGATTCGACTCCCGTGAGAGTTTTCAAGAACAATGAAGAGAATGGCATTCCTTACCCCTCCAAGAATCCCATGACGATGCGCTCTAGCCTGTGGAGTGGGGAAGATTGGGCTACGCGAGGTGGGCTCGTGAAAACCAACTGGAACCACGCTCCCTTCATCGCTTCCTTCCGGAACTTCATTGCCGATGCCTGTGTTGTCTCTCAGGGTCAGGGTCAGGGTGGCGATGATTCCTCGTGCTCTAAATTTCTGCCAAGTTCTTCTGCAAGCTCCTTTAGCTCTGCCAAAATGGAAGGCAACCTTGGATCCGAAAAGCTAGGCTGGGTGAGGAAGAATTACATGATTTACGACTATTGCACTGATGCTCTCCGATATCCATCACCTCCACCTGAGTGTTTTCTCATTTAATTGTAGTGATCTTAAAGTGTCTTCTCATTTGATTGTAAAGAACTTCAAGTGATCTTAAAATTGTGGATCATTTTTCTTATATATTATACATTGGTGTTTACATTTTGGAGTAATATTTATCATTTGTTACAAGGTTTATGATTTTGTTGAAGGCTTTATCGTTTAGTGAAACTTCAGCAAGCAGTTTCCATGCATATTCTTGGGTGGCATTTTCGAAATCTTGCTTGCGTTTGAGAACTATGTGACCGCTTATCTCCCAAACAGCAGGGTTGACTTGTGTTTCCAAAATTTCGGCCTCAACTTCACCACGAACTTGTCTCTCAGCAAAACACTAGAAGAAAAACAAATTATCAATAAAAATCACTAGAAACCATGTAAAACTATCATGAGTTACCTGTGGGAATAAGTAAATTTGTGATCCTTTATCAGCAATAAGAATATTGTATGGAATATTTTGCTCTTCAAGAATATTGCATACTGTAACAATTTGATATGATAATTCTTGAAAATTACTTGATCCAAGTTCATAAATAATGCCTCTTACGGGATAATTTTCCAATTTGTAAATATTAAAACCTTTCACATTATTCACAAGTAGTTTTTTCGATGCCTTCTCTACTGGAAATATATATTCCAAATAATAAGCCTATTATCAGAAAAAATTAGCTTACAGCAATAAATATAAAAATATTATTCTTTCACATACCTGAAAATGGAGATGGTTAATTGTAGCAAATGCTCCCAAACTATTAAATCCAAGTCTGAAGTATATATTATTTGCTTGTTTAGCCATTTGAAGAGCTATAATAAATGTGTTGACTTCTAAACGTTGTGGGAGACAATTAAGTAACCTTGGAATCAATAATATATGTCCAAACTCTATTGGACTCACCTGTTAAAAAAATTGTTAATAATTATATATTAAAAAGGAAAGAAAATAAATTACTCACATTAATAATCACCATGTTTGAGCTAGTTGCAAATGGTGAATTTTCTGGATCAAAACAGAAGAGAACTTCTTCTTGGCCAACTTTAGTAAAGTTGAATTTACTGGGATCAAAATCTTGCAAAACTTGATCCATTTTAAACTCAGTGGGACGCTTTTTTGAATGCCTGCCTTCGTTGAGTTGGGCAATAAAACCACAATCTCCCGAAAGAATCTATTCAATCAAATATTAATTCTATTATTTGCGAATAACAAAAATTTTCTACCTTTGTCTCGCATGAGGTAACATCGTAGCGGAAGAGTCCCTGTTTTTGCTTCTCCATCCACTGACCAGAGATTGAGTTAGAAAGTTATACATACTAATCTAAGAGAACAACATACCGGAGCAAGAATAAATGAGTGTAGGAAGTCTATAGTTTCCCCCTTGGTATCCATACACTGTGCCTCACCATACAAGTAAAGAGGCACTCGCGCTCCTACAATCGAAAAAATGAAAGGGTTAACCATTAGCAAAAAACATAGAAGAAATAAAAAACTTACCAGGAAAGCAACATGGTCCCAAGCAATTTCTCCCACACCCATGGTTAGTTTCTGAGCGATCATTAGAAACAATGGCTGCCTCAAATCCCATCTCGAAGAAGCTCACGCGCCACAAAATACGAAGAAGATCAAGCGCCACAAATTAACGCTAAAACCTTAGGGCAATCTTTACTGTTATATATAACGATTCCTAAAAGGATTGCTACTTCCTTTAGTATCTTTTCAACGCCTGCAAGAGTTTGAACGGGGCCGTTGGATGATGCTGCGATCCGACGGTCCCAGAGCAAAAGGCGGAACGTGCCATGTGTAGGAGCCCTAAAATGGACTGGGCAATGGGCGCGAGCGTGTTGCGCAGCCACTGTTGTCTTTGCCGGGTCGTGTATCGGCGGCGATCGAGAGATTCATCTGATCCAGGGTCCAGGTTTGTGGCGCCATCGATCGATCACAGCTCGGGGAAAGATTTCAGGGGAATGCTATGACTGTGATGGATCAGGGAGAAATCCGGGTGTTCTTGCGGTAGCAAGCTGGAAATATCGGTCATGGGGAGCTCTAGAATGGTGTGGATGACTAGGAAAGTAGCCATTCTCGATATGTACGCGTTTCCACTGGAGGTGCCGCTGGAAGACGCCGCTCTTCTCAACGATCTAAAGAAGAGGGTGAAGGAGCAGCACCGGCAATGGTTGTCGATCGAGGCAAGCAAGGGAGAGGACTGGTATGTAGATAGATTCGCGAGAAATACTCCATTCCTGGACCACTTTGCCGCTTATGCCAAGTCCAAGCAGCTCAAAGGGATGATCCGAAAGGGAATTCCTCCAGCTCTTCGTCCAAAGGTGTGGCTGGCTTCTTCCGGCGCTGCAAAGAAGCGCTCCACAGCTCCCAGGAGTTACTACAACGATCTCATCGAAGCAGTCGAGAATCGAGTCACTCCGGCAACTCGGCAAATCGATCAGGTAAGTTATAGTTTCTCGATTGACAACTCATTGTAGTTTTTTTCCAGGATCTCCCTCGAACTTTTCCGACACATCCATGGTTGGATTCCAAAGAAGGGCAGCAATCGCTGAGAAGAATTCTTGTTGCTTACTCGTTTCGTGACTCCCGAGTCGGATACTGCCAGGTAAGAGAACTTCATTGTCTTCACATTGTCCAGTTCATATCTAAAGTTTTGTGGTGATAGGGAATGAATTTCATCACAGCGCTTCTTCTTCTAGCGATGAGGTCGGAAGAGGACGCCTTTTGGATGCTTGCTGTGTTGCTGGAGGACGTTCTCCACAGCGATACTTACTCGGACAATCTCTATGGTTGTCATATCGAGCAAAGAGTTTTCAAGGACCTCATGAGGCAGAGAAGTCCAAGGTAAGAAATGTTTTCGTCTTTACAAGAGATCGATTTGGATCTGTTTCAGGCTGGCTGCCCACTTCCATGATATTGGATTTGACGTGTCGCTAGTCACCACCGAGTGGTTTCTTTGCTTGTTCTCGAAGAGTTTGCCTTCTGAGGTAAGTTTTGTCCGCTTCTTCAAAGAGAAGAAAATCAAATCGTGTTTGCAGACGACAATGAGAATTTGGGATGTTCTTTTCAATGAGGGAGCAAGCATCATCTTTACAGTGGCACTATCATTGTTTCAGGTAATCAGGAAAAAGCATTTACACTTTAAGACGCTTTTGAACTGCAGACCCGAGAAGATCACCTTCTATGTGCCAGAAATGTTGGTGAAGCTCTCAGAATTTTGCACGATGCAACCCCGAGGCTGTACAACCCCGATACAGTTCTTAAGGTGTTTGATGGCTGGCTTTTCTTGTTTCCTTCTGATCAATCCCATGGTATCAATTCAGGCTGCTTTCGAAGGACTGGGCATGATGACAAGTTACACCATTGCCAAGCACAGAGAGAAGCAAGGAGTGGTTGTTGCAGCCGAGCTACAACAAAAATTAAGACAATCCACAACAACTTGTGATATTGGCAGTAGATTGTGTGGTGCTACAGTTCTCTAGAATTTAAGGATGATTGATCACTTGATCCAGTGTCAATCTTTTCCTTGGATCCAAAACAAGCATGCCCATAATAAGATTTCTCGCCTCTGGTGACAGATTGACAAGCCACTGGAACTCCAGGTTCGATCACTTGTAGCCTTTGAGAAGCTCGTATGCGATCACTCCAATCCCCCAAATATCCACTGCCTTTGTGTATGACAATCAATGCCCTTACTGGGCATTTTACAACACTTGATTTTTAAAATTCCCTGCACGTAATGGCCGCATGGCTCTAAAAGCTAAGACTCATTTCACACAAGCCTGTCTTTCAGTCCTTGGAGATGCTCCATCTCCTCCGCAAATGCAGTGCTCTCCCACTTTTCCAACATAAGCTAATGCAAGCGCGGGGGATTTCCATAAACCACCGTCATCAGTGGCAGCAAATAGTTCCTCTTTACCTCCCTAAAGCTTGGCTCCCTCAATCCTCTAATCCACCACCTTTTTCATCGCATCCCTCACATTCCATCCATATCTCATGGCTTCTTGCACAAGACCTTTGTCCTTGTCTAGCATCCTCTTCACCAAGTTACTCCTCTTTCACACACCACTAGTTTGTTCTTCCTCTACGTTTTGCTCTCTCAGAATCACTTCCCGGACAAGGCCATGGAAGATTTCATCGTTCCAGAGTAAGGCGATGCTCGCAGAGCGGGAGCCGGCTAGAGTTCCAGTCCTATCACCGCAAATCCGCAGACTCGCCATCGCCAGCTCTCATCCTACGAGTAAATCCACACCCGATGCTCTCGATTGATCCAAGATGACCAAACGGTGATCACGGCGATTGCCAATTCGGGATCGCGTCATTTGGATCGCAGGGCCTGGGGAACAAGATTGCTGGCGATTGCTTCCACTTTTCTCTATGCTCTGCTCATGAACAGAGTTTTTCTCATCGCGAGAGATTCGTCCGCAGAGATCATGGATCGATTGTTTTGCGAGTCATTCCCAAAGAGTTCCTGGCTCCTTCCCTGGAGAGCCGATTATTCACAGTCAACGATTAATCGCGCCCGGATCTAAAAATCACTTATAAGCACTGTCACGATTTCGCGAGCTCGATCAAGTTATCTGTCCGTGGACTATACCCTGCAAGGAGCAGCAAAAACTCTTGCAATCGCAGGTAACGTGGCTGTTTCTCCGGTCAAACGTCTACTTTGCTCCGGGACTGTTCTTGGTGGAATCCTTCCGGAGTGATCTCGCGAAGCTCTTCCCCCAGCAGCAGGCGATCTTCCATCACTTGAGCCGCTATCTCTTCCAGCCCATCGATCTGGTGTGGGCGCACAGCGCGGTTCTACGACTCATATGTCGCGCGCGCCGATCGCGTAGTCTCCACACTTGCAAGGAGTTCGTCAAAACCTGGCGGCGGAGGTGTTCCAGTGCGCAGTGGAGACGAAGATCCTCCCCAATATCAGCAAGAACAACGAGAGGATCATGCTGCGCTCCTCGATCAGCTCGCAGCAGCAGCAGATCGCGGCGGTAGTGACTTCGCTAGACGAGCGCCACTTTGACGTGCTGCGAGAGATCTACCTCAACTCCTCAGCCGCCGATGGATCGATCGTGAGAGTGGAGCAGCCAAGCCACGAGGGGCAGCAGCACACCGGATTTCTCGATCACGACGAGAAGGTTCTCCCGGAGATTTATTTTCGGGTAGAACCTTTATTTTCTGGGGTTGCTGATCAACCACTTTCGGCTATATTGGCCAGGGATTAGCCGGGTTGAGGCCTTGGCTTTATGTCTGCTGGGCCTGGATCAGGTGGGGATGTTTGCTCCAAGGCAAGAACTATGGATCCTTGCTTCTTTTCGTTTGGGGAGTCTAACTGCGATTGTGGAGAGTCTGTCAAGTTTGACAGTATGGAGCGGTGTCAAGATTGGCATATAGCGCCTGGTGTTCAACTCAAACCAACTTGAATCTTAATCCATTCTTTTTAGGACACGTAGAGAGTTTTGGTATGAATCGTTTGATATATGCAGTTATCTTTCTTTGACATGGTTATACCTCCATTCCACGAGCTTGGATGTTACAAAAAGGAATCCACGATCAAGATGTGCAAGGATAAATTTATAGTAAGAAATGGCATAGCCTCTGTCAATATCATTCACATGATGGACGGTTTTTAATTTATAAGATTTGCATGATGGGTGATTCTCCTCTTTTTGTTTCCATGGCCACGCAAGTTGTAGTTCCAGTGGGATCAAACTCCTGGTGAAGTTTTCGTGTATGAATGTCTTCCTTGGACTCGGCAGTGCCAAGCCTGCAAGAATGATCGCGCTGATAACTTCTTCCAGGAGCCTGTCTCAAGCCAAGCAGATCCAAAGTCGGGTCTTTTCCAGCAGCCACCAAGGGACCTTTCTGTCAAGTCTTCACATCAAATGTATGGGAGATGTGGACGCGTGGCCGTTGCTCGCTCGGTCTTCGATGGTGTAGAACTCACTTGGAATTTGATGCTTTCAGCATATGCCAAGAACGGGCATTTGCAGAGGGCTAAAGAGGTTTACGACTCCATGCCTGGGAAGGACTTAGTTTCATGCAATGGAATGCTTGCTGCGTACTCTCAGGCCGGGAAACTGGGTGGCGCCGTCGGGTTTTTTCGAGCGAAGAGTCTTAGCTAACCGGAGCAGGGACAACACTGTGTATATTGTTGGAGGCAAGCTGCCAGTGGTCGTCTCTGCGATGTGCTGGTTGAGTTTGGGCTTGGCTGCCTGTTTCGCTGATGCCCGATTCTTGATGTGTAAGGTTCTGGTTTCCTTGCTCAAACCATGGATGGTGATTACAGACCTGAAAGAAGAGTGGCACTTTGCTTGGATGGACGGCGCACGTATGTTTTTGTGCAAGGCCTCATCAAGGACTCGGCATCCTAGTGTGGTGACCACACTCACGCAAATCCGAGTGAGTGGACAAGAGAATCTAGCAAGGTGAGTCCTTAATTATTTAAAAGAATTTCTGTTTATAACCTCGAATTAAAGAATCGGGCTTGAAGATACTAATTTAGAGTCTTAGAACATTATTAAAAAATATAAGTTTAAATCCTTTTAAACGAGAAAAGCTTAGACGAATGGATGTTCGGGCAAAGTGGCGGCAAGCTGTGAAGCAAGCCACCAAGGTCTAAGTTCTTCTTTAGTGAGCTGTTATATAAGATCAATGGCTTGCCAGATTGGTAAAGGTCTGGATACTCTCAAGCGGCTACTGGCTTGAAGCTGTGAGTAGCTTTCAGAGTTTCTGGTTCTTAATCCCTATTGCCACAGGTTGATGAAATACACCCCTCTGCACATATTTTGAATAAATGTGTCTGGTCGGACTAGTCTTTTTATCAGATCGTTCTTAGGTTAAAGTTGAAGAAGTCATATTATAAGTGACAGAAAAGTTGAATCTAGATCCAGTAAGTTTCATTGCACTTAAAATTGGCCTCTTCATGACGAACAGGAAGAAAGGGGTAGATTTGAGGTGATAATCCAAGAAGGGAAAGTGGACTATAAGGCAACTGGCATTCCTGTCCATGAAACTTATTCTCCTACATTCATGTTTGTAATGGATCCAAATGGGATATATGCTGCTGAGGTAGGCATCCTTATTATTCTATACAAATTCGTCTCTTCCTTCCAGAAAAAAGATGGTTACCAACAAGACTCCTCTGCATACATTCAACATTCTTGCTGCAGCCGATAAAGGCAAGAGATTTTTATTTTCAAATGATTGTGACCAAAGGTATATATATTGTTTCAGAGTGTGAACAATTCTAGTGGACATTATAAACCAGATTCCTAGACCTTGCACAACTTCTTTAACAGATTGAGCAAAAGAGGTGTCAATACAGCTTTACTGAAAACTTCTACTTTCCAATTGTAAGCTATAAGTTTTTTCTTTCTAATTTGCCAATTTACTTTCACTTTAGCTTCAATTAATTTCCTTTACCAAAGTTCCACTTAATGTACTAGCTTTACTACTCAACTACTCATTGCACAAGCAATGGGGTCATTAAAATAGGGCATATCCATGCCCTACTTTAGGAGCTCACTTTTTTTCTTTTTCTTTTTCTTTTTTAAATATATTTATAATATAAGTTTAATTGAAAATTTTAGAAATATTGTAATATTTTTATAAAAATAAATTTTTAAAAAAGACACAAATTTCTTATATATTAGAGCTAATTAAGTATAAACCTATGAAAATATTATTGTTTTTATTTTTATATTTTATATTTTTAATTAAAAATATAGTTTATGGAAGAGCAACTGTACAATGGGGTAATAATAATACACTTACTGAAAATGAAATTAACCTTATAATTAATAATGGATTCTTAGATCTTTTAACTCATATTAAAAATTATCATTCATATTCAAGAAATTTTAAGAATTTAACTGTTTTAAATATTGGCAGGGGTGTATTTGCTGTAAGAATTGAGCGTGTGGATGGAGAGCCACCATATTGTTCAACTGGTCAAACTGAAAGTACAATTATTGGCATGAGAATAAAAGAAGCTGTTAGGTACTTAGTCAATACATATAATACTACAATGATTGCAGCAAAATCTGATGTATGCAAAATTATATCTCAAAATTATATAATTCAATATTCAGTTGTATTTTGGTGGAGACTAACCTTAAGTAAAGTTAATAGTTTGTTTACATCTTATCTTTCATATGATAATTGTGATACTACCTTAACTACTTTAAATGCTGGTTTTTCAGACCATGTGTTATATACAGGCCAATTTTTGGTATCCCCAAATCGCAAAAATGTATTAGTAATAGAAATAAATTGTAAAGTTTCACTTTATTCAGGAAAAAATTTACTATGGAGATCTGATATTACGTTTGATTTTATTGGTCAATGTAAGCTTGATCTTCAAAAAGATGGGAATTTGGTATTATATACTGACAAGAAAATAAAAATGTGGTCAATTGATCATTATTGTTATAATCAACCAGATTGTATATTTCTTACTTATCTTAGTTTATTAAACAATTGCAATTTAGTAATTTATGAGGCTAATAGTCCAAATGCTATTTGGTGGGAGACAAAAACTACTAATCATTTTGGTTGTTTAAAATAATACTTAAGATTTATATTAGTCATGTAAAACCTTATTAAGTTCAATTCAATTTACAATAGTTTAGTATCCAAATAAAAATTAGAGGGACCAAGAGTGAATTAAATTGCATGCAAAGTCTTTTCTCTTTTTTTGTGCTCTGAGTGGAATATCATATTCAAATCTAATGCTTCCATCATTCCTTGCCATGTAAAACCATCCAACTTAAAATTTAATACTTCCATCATTTTTTGGCATGAAAAACCACCAAATATCTTTTAGTGAAAGGCATCAAAACCATAATTGAAACTTTTATTAAATGTTTTTGAAATTCTTTGTATAAGCTATTGTTGAATAGCTTTATTTAATTATAATTTATTTTTATTGAGCATGAAAAGCATGATAAAATTCAAGCTATAATACGGGTAACCAAGGACAACATGGTAGGGAAAAGAAAAAGAAAAAGAAATGTTTAAAATATATGGTTATTATCTTGGTATGTTCTTCATGTCTCAAGATTGTTTTTAATACGCAGAGTCCAAGTGACAAGAGCCAGTTCATTGACACTACAAGCTTTAGCCAGTTTGCCTATGAAATTAGCTATATCACATCAACCTTAGAATGAGCTTCATATCTGGAGAGCTGTCTACTCACACAAGGTAACAGTGCTTTTGAAGGACTGGGTTTAATGACAAGTTTGTTGCAGCCGAGCTACAACGAAACTTAAGACAATTTTAAACACAGTCAAAACATATTTAACTTCAGATGAGCTTTGGTGTAGAAGTTTTGACTAAGCCACCCTAAGTTTCTTCACAGCTGGATGGCTAGAGTGTGGAGTGCTTCTCTTCCCTCCACAACAACTTGTGATATTGGCAGTAGCCCGTGTGGTGCTACAGTTCTCTAGAATCCAAGGATGATTGATCACTTGGTCTAGTGTCAATCTCTTCCTGGGATCCAAGTCCAGCATGCCCATAATCAGATTTTTCGCCTCTGGTGACAGATTGGCAGGCCACTGGAACTCCCCCTCGCGCAGCAAATGCATCTCCAGGTTCGATCGCTGGTAGCCCTTGAGGAGTTCGTATGCGATCACTCCAAGCCCCCAAACATCCACCGCCTTCGTGTAAGACAGCCCATATCTCTCGACAAAGATAAGCTCGGGAGCCATGTACTTCTCAGTCCCGCAGCTCTGGCTCATCTCTCTGGCATCGTCGGTCGCCACTCCAAAATCCCCAATCACTGGCCTGATCGTGCTTGCATCTTGCAGCTTGGTGAAAACGTTCTCCAGCTTGAGATCGCGATGGACAACACCACTCGAGTGGACGCCCTTGAGTGTCTCAGCCAGCTCCTTAACGATCTCGGCTACCTCCTCCTCCCTCAGTGGCCCTTTCATCGCTAGATCGCGCAGGCTAGGGCCACAAAGTTCCATGACCATCGTCCCAAAGCAACGCCCGCCAACCTTCCTCTCCCTCCTCAGCCCATGGAGGAAGACAACTCCAGGAATGGGGCGAAGCTTGTCCAAGATCCTTGTCTCCCTCTCGGCACAACTCTCCGACTTAAACATCTTTCCTGCGTACCTATGGCGGTTGCGGGCTGCGTCGCTCAGCAAGTAGACTTGGCCCTGTCCTCCATGCCCCAACTTCTCGTGTCTGATGTACCACTTGAGAAGCTCGCCACACTCGTCATCTCTAAACTCGCCATCCTCGAGCGCCATCTTCCCCTTTTTCTCGCTTGGTTTTAAGAAAACCTAGCTTCCCACAACAGGTTTAATGATCGCGAAAAGGCCATTACTTTTATTAAACTAAAAACTTCACCAGTAAAAAACTGACCATTGTAAAAGACCATTTTAAGATCCAATGGCTAATATTTTTTGGTTTTCTTAAGGGAAGGGGAGTTAAGATGGTAGTGAATATACTTAAAATATGCTTGAAAATTTAAATATTCTACCATCTAACGGTTCTTATTCATTTAGATTAATTTTGTATTTATACTTTCTTAAACACTTTCTAGTATATTCTATTTTATTCTACCGGTTGGTATTGCAATAAAATTAATCTTGTGTTTATAAATTACAAACATGCTTATAATTATAAATTTTTATTTGATCAATTAGATTAATAATTAAAAATAACACTACTATTAAGCAAACAAACGCGTAACAAATTATTATTAATTAGAATAATTTATATGGAATTAAAGGTGATCGCTATTTTATAATTACCCTCCAGGGTTGACCAGCGCGTTGTTTGATGCAGTCGGAGTTTTACGTGTACATGCAAACCAGCCAAGCACGGAAGCTTCACGAGCAGAGTTATGACTATGCGCACGATCATTCCCTTCGTGAAGAATGGAGAGAGTCGCGAAAATGGCGTCTTACTCCAACCCAAAATCCATCGCTCTGATTACCACTGGTCTCTTCTTCCTCTACGTTTTGCTGTCTCAGAATCACTTTCCGGACAAGATCGTGGAAGATCTCATCGTTCCAGAGCAAGGCGATGCTCGCCAGTGCCGGAGCCGCGTAGAGTTCCAGTCCTATCGCCGCAAATCGACAGACCCATCGGCGGAAAGCTACTCGCCATCGCCAGCTCTCATCCACCGCCTGCGACGCTACGAGCAAATCCACGCCCGGTGCTCTCGATTGATCCAAGATGATCCAAACGGCGATCACGGCGACTGCCAATTCGTGGTGTGGATCGCGCCATTTGGATCGCAGGGCCTGGGGAACAAGATGCTGGCGATTGCTTCCACTTTTCTCTATGCTCTGCTCACGAACAGAGTTTTACTCATCGCGAGAGATTCGTCCGCAGAGAACATGGATCGATTGTTCTGCGAGCCATTCCCAAAGAGTTCCTGGCTCCTTCCCAGACCCCTGGAGATCCGATTATCCACAGTCAACGATTCATCGCGGATCGGCCATGCCCCGGATCTAAAAATCACTCCTCAGCACTGTCACGATTTCGCGAGCTCGATCAAGTTTCCAGATGTGGCCTACTCGTATCTGTCCGTGGACTACACCCCGGACGATCGAAAATTCTTCTGCAAGGAGCAGCAAAAACTCTTGCAATCGCAGGTAACGTGGCTGTTTCTCCGGTCAAACGTCTACTTTGCTCCGGGATTGTTCTTGGTGGAATCCTTCCGGAGTGATCTCGCGAAGCTCTTCCCCCAGCAGCAGGCGATTTTCCACCACTTGAGCCGCTATCTCTTCCATCCCATCGATCCGGTGTGGGATCGCACAGCGCGGTTCTACGACTCATATCTCGCGCGCGCCGACCGCGTAGTCGGCATCCAAATGAGAGTTCCTCCACACTTGCAAGGAGTTCGTCAAAACCTGGCGGCGGAGGTGTTCCAATGCGCCGTGGAGACAAAGATCCTTCCCAATATCAGCAAGAACAACGTCGCGAGGATCAAGCTCCGCTCCTCGATCAGCTCGCAGCAGCAGCAGATCGCGGCGGTGGTGACTTCGCTGGATGAGCACCACTTTGACGTGCTGCGAGAGATCTACCTCAACTCCTCCACCGCCGATGGATCGATCGTGAGAGTGGAGCAGCCCAGCCACGAGGGGCAGCAGCACACCGGATTTCTCGATCACGATGAGAAGGCTCTCGCGGAGATTTACTTGCTGGGGCTCAGCGATGTGCTGATCACGAGTCCTGGCTCCACTTTCGGCTACATTGGCCAGGGATTAGCCGGGTTGAGGCCTTGGCTTATGTGGGCTGGGCCTGGCTCAGGCAGGGACATTTGCTCCAAGGCAAGAACTATGGATCCTTGCTTCTTTTCGTTTGGGGAGTCTAACTGCGATTGTGGAGAGGCTGTCAAGCTTGACAATGTGGAGCGGTGTCAAGATTGGCCTATAGCGCCTGGTGTTCAACTCAAAACAACTTGAATCTTTATTTATTCTTTTTAGGACATGTAGAGAGTTCTATTGTGTCTTCCAATGTGGACCATTTTGGTATGAATTGTTTGATATGCTACTGATTTCAAGGAAGTTATCTTTCTTTGACGTGGTTATGCCTCCCATTCAACGAGCTTGGATGTTACAAAAAGGAATCCACGACTAAGATGTGCGAGGATAAATTCTAGAACAAGAAATGACATAGCGAAGTCATATCAAGATGTTTAGTGATTCACGTCGTGAAGCCCGTCACTTTGATACGCTCATAGGCACCCACGATCTGTCCAAAAATTATACAAGATGTTACAAACATACATTACGGGTGGGCTCTTGTTTCCATGATGTAAACTCCTGGTGACAAGTTTTCGTGCATGAATGCCTTCTTCGGACTCGGCAGTGCCGCGCCTGCAAGAATGCATCGCGCTGATAACTTCTTCCAGGAGCCTGTCTCAAGCCAAGCAGATCCACAGTCGGGTTTCTTCCAGCAGCCACCGAGGGACTTATCTTATCTTCTCATTCAAATGTATGGGAGATGAACGGGAAGTTGCGAGAAGCGTTGTCATTGTTAGAAAGGATGCCAAGAAACAATTTGGTGTCATACAACTTAATTCTAAGCGCTTTAGCCGCTCAAGGTCTCTTTGACGAAGCAAAGGAATTCTTTGCTAAAATTCCCAATCCAAGCATTATCTCGTGGAATACACTCCTTGCTGCATATACTCCAATTGGGCATCTTGACGAGATCATCATGCTTTACAACCAAATTCCAACAAGGATATAGTCTCAGACACAGCACTCTTGAATGCCTTTTCTGAAAATGGGAAACTTGAGCCAGCAAAGATGGTATTTGATGCAATGGAGGAATGGGACCTTGTGTCAATGAATGCAATGCTAGCGGCATTTTGTGACAGTGGGAGCTCGTTCAATGCCAAGGAGATGCTCAGTTGGATGTGTGCTCGGAATCTTAGCTCTTGGAACTGCGTTCTCCGATCATTTGCTCTTGATGGGGATCTTGACGAGACAAAGAGATTATTTGACAAAATGCCCGAGTGGGACCAAATGTCTTTCAATTTCATGCTTGCGGCATATGTCTCAGGCGGGCATCATGGTCTTGCTAAAGTAATGTACGAAACACTACTTCGTGAGAAAGATTCCTTTTCACACGTCGCCATGCTAAGTGCCTACACTGTACAGTGCAAGGTTGACGATGCAAAGCTTTTGTTTGATAGCATGCCATGCAGGTTTCTTTTTATTTGGAACTCTATGCTTTCGGCATATGCCCAAAACGGTCATCCGGACAATGCAAAACATCATTTTGATGCCATGCCCGAGTGGGACATTGTCGCTTGGACCTCTTTATTATATTCCAGAAATTATCAAATGTGGAGGAAGCGAAGGTGTTGTTTGAGAAGATGCCTGAGCGAGATCTAATCGCATGGAATGCTATGTTTTTAGGACATTCCCAACACAGGCATTTAGAAGACTCAAAGTGCCTGTTTGATTTGATGCCTTCCCACAATATTGTCTCTTACAACACTCTGATGGCAGCTTACTCTCAGCATGGATACATCGAGGATGCCCTCTTGGTCTTCCAGAAAATGAGACACAGGAACTCTATTTCGTGGAACACTCTACTTGTGTCATATGCTCAAAATGGGCATACGAATACTGCAAAGGCGTTTTTCTCAACCTTGCCCGAGCAAAATCTGGTTTCTTGGAATGTAGTAATTGGAATGTATGCTTTAAATGGGCAAACTGCACAATCCTTGGAGCTCTTTAGAAACTGTGTTGCTGATGGTGTCAATCTGGATGATGTATCTTTTACCTCTGCATTGATTGCTTTGAGCCATAGCGGTGAGGTTGACGATTCACTTTTTCTGTTTAAATCAATGATAGCAGACTACTTAGTAACGCCTGGCAAGCAACAATATGGTTGTATCATCTCCTTGTTTGCTCGTGGAGGATATGATAGATCCTGTAAAGAACTCATTGATACAATGCCTTTCTTTCCTGATACTCACGACTGGACGTGCCTGGCAAGTGCCAATAGAATCTACAAATCTAACAGCCTTGGAATGGGGCATCACAATACACGAAAACAAAATGCCAACTAGCAGAAGCATCTCGCATGCTTGGTAACAGAGCAAGCTTAGACTTGGTTGAAAGGTACCTAAGTCATGTCCAACTTCGCCATGTCCTTGTCGGTCTCGCATTCCCCATAGGCTGGAGCTTGTGTCACTGAGCCTTCTCTCACACTCGAGCCACCTCTTCATGCCGCGAAAAATTCCTCACAACTTTGTTCTTCGCACGATCATCGACTGCTCCTACTCTCTCACATGCTTCTCCGGTTCCAGACGGCATTCATTACGAGCATAGCAATGTGATCTTGGTTTACAATTTTGCAGCAATCTCGCGAGCGCATGACGAAGTAGTGCATGAAAGCCTCTTCTTGTGCTGTCAACTCTGATATCGTCGATGGTTGATTCTTGGACTTCAGGCGTCCAAGAAAACAGCCAGCTGCATATTTCTCAAGTGATCACGTCGAATCAGATCCAAAACTCTTTGTTTACCTTGCTGAATCCCCCATCCTTGTAGCGGAAGGTGGTAGCGTCACTTTCTCTAGGTTTGCGCTCGTACGCCACCAGACCCTCGCACCACTAAGTAGAAGCTTGCGTAGGGAACCAGATGGTTTTCAGACTCATGAAGCTCCTCGCTTCCATCAACAAAGAAGTGGAACTTCTCAGCTCTTGGCTGCTGCCTCTTGTGCTCCTCGACAACCTACACTGCCTCTTCCATCTTCTGGATTGGCGATTGCACGAATTACAAATCACTGTATCCCAGAACCTCGTCAAACGGAATAGAGTTGCTTATCCAAGAATATGCATGCGATAAATAAATTTGACGGCTGTAACTTGGGATCTCCGTGTTGTATCTGGTGTTATGAGCAAAAACTTAGCTTCCTCCGTTCTAGTTAACATTTGAAGAAACGAGTGAGCTTACTTGTCCCTGTAGAGAAGATTGAGCTCCGCAGTGGTTAATTAATAAGAGTTCAGCCAATCTTTCCTTGATGCCATCTGGTGGAAACTGCAAGCCACTGCTCTAAAATCAACTTACTCACGCTCTTGGGACCGTAAATGAGATGGTGTACCAAAAATCGCAGACATACCTGCTCACAGTTGCTCTTATGCCTGGAGGTGGCCTTAAACTCAGGCGGCCCATTCCAATGTATGGTAACTTTGTGGACTTGGTTCACTGGCATAATTGTATCACTTCCTTGGCCTCCCGTAATCTCTCTTGAAACCGGGCCAAGGCTCATTAGGGCTTTAGAATTCTGGACATGTCTTCTCTGGACGCATTGCTGGAAAGAGGAGTGTGGCTTCTGGAAACGCCTTGCAGCAGGATTGACACTGTTGGGTTCAGCTTTCAAGACTTGAACAAGTTTGATTTCTGCAAAAATGTGACAAGCAAGACGGAGAAGGAGCCGCACAAGTTCCGTGTGATTCGAGACGACTTGCTGCACCCGACGCTCGGTGGAAACAAAATCAGAAAGCTCGACGCTGTGGTTCCGTTCCTCAAGGACGAGGAAATCACTGATGTGGTACGTACTCTTCTTTTTTTTTTTGTTCTTTCTTTGAAGCGATTTCAATGTCTATCAGGTGACTTGTGGAGGCTGTCAAAAGTGCTCATGCTGCTGCTGTAGGTACGAAAAGAAGACTAAGAATTCTCTAGTTTTATACTTCTTCTTCTTTTCTATCTAACGTGTTTTCTCAGCTCAGCTGTGGCGTGTGCTGAGCATGGGATGTCGGCTCATTTGCTGCTACGAGGTGAAAAACTTGAGGTCACGACTGGATATAACTTGATATCGGAGGTTTATGGAAACGTGGTGTATGTTCCAAGAACCGAGTATGCCGATCGACAAAAAATGTTCAGCTCGCATATGGAACGTGTTGCTTGTTCTGAAGAACCAGTTCTTTGGTTGAATAGCAACTCTATCACCAGAGAAACAATCACTCCTTCAGAAAATTCTAAATTGCTTGAACCCGGAAGAGGAAGAAGAAAATGGGCCGTGCTTGGAGAAGGTGGTGCGAGTGGTCTAGCACCTCTCGGTGTGTGATTTTCAACTTTGATATGTTTGTATCTCTAATATTTTTCATGCGATCTATGATCGGGCTTTATAAGACTTGTGAGATGGCTAAGCGAAAACGAAGTCTTCGAACGAGATGACAAGATCAAAATCGTGGTCGATTCTGGCACTGGAACATCCGCCATTGACCTGGCTCTAGGAATCGCTTTGCTCGGGCATGCTCGAGTTTATATCCTTTTGGTGGTATATATCCTTTCTTCCAGCCTTCACCAGTGGGAGATTGTTGGTGTAATGCTCTCCGGTTCTCGCGACTACTACGAGAGACAAATGAAGAACCTTGTCATTGGTTTTCTTCAGCAGTTTCGCTGCGATCAGTCGGCAGAGGCTTTGAGCTTACCTCTTGTTTGGGAGGAGAGGAAACGAGTACGCAGGTATGATTTATATATAAGCTTGCGAGCTACAGTATAATAGTCTGATAGTACAGGTTTGGAAAGATTTTTGGAGAGATCGGTGCTTGCAAGAGTATAGCCCGACAAACTGGCATTTTGCTAGACCCGATTTACACGTTTTCCCCTTTTTTTCGCTTGATTTTAAGGATCGAAGGACTGGGCATTATGACAAGTTACACCATTGCCAGGCACAGAGAGAAGCAAGGATTAGTTGTTGCAGCCGAGCTACAACAAAAATTTAAAACAATCCATTTTAATTTAAACATCTTTTCATATCGAAGCTGGTTTGTAAATGAGCTTAAGAATTTTTTATGTGGTGCTACAGTTCTCTAGAATTTAAGAATGATTGATCACTTGATCTAGTGTCAATCTTTTCCTCCATAATCAGATTTTACACCTCCGACTACATATTGACAAGCCATTGGAACTCCAGGTTTAATCACTTGTAGCCTTTGAGAAGCTCGTATGCCATCACTCCAAGCCCCTAAACATCCATTGCCTTTGTGTATGACAATCTCCCATATCTCTCGATGAAGATATTCTCAGGAGCCATGTACTTCTTTGTCCCACAGCACTGGCTCATCTCTCTTGGATCGTCGTTTACCACTCCAAATCCACCAATCAGTGGCTCGTCTATGCTTGCATCTTGCAGCTTGGTGAAAACATTCTCCAGCATGAGGTCACGATGGGCAACACCCTTCGACTGAGTGTCTCGGCCAACTTCTTCAGAATCTCGGCTACCTCCTTCTCGCTCAGTGGCCCTTTCATCGCTTGATCCCACAGGCTATGGCCACACAGCTCCATGACTATCGTCCCTTCTTCTCCCTTTTCTCCCTTTTCAGCCCCTGGAGAGAGGTAACTCCAGGAATGGAGCAAAGCTTGGACAAGATCCTTGTTCCCTCTTGGCGCCACTCTCACGCTTAACCATCTTTCCTGCGAATGTTGTGGGCTGTGTTATCAACCGGTCATAAAAAATTAAAGTTCACATGTTACTATCTTTCTATATCCTCAACAACATTATGTAAAGGGTATAATCAACTTCAAATCAATTTGAATCCTCAGATGTGTAACTGCAGTTACAGCTCATTGTAAAGCAAAGAAGATTCATAAATTCCATGTAATGCCCTTAGTGGGCATTTTACAACACTTGATTTTTTAAATTCCCTGCACGTAAGCCTGTCTTTCAGTCCTTGGGGATGTTCCATCTCCTCCGCAACTCTCCCACAGTCCCACTTCATCCAAGCGCCACTGGTTCCGGGGATTTCCATAAAAACCACCTTCATCAGTGGCAGCAAATAGTTCCTCTTTACCTCGGCTCCCTCGAGAGATACTCAATCCTCGAATCCACCACCTTTCTCATCGCACATTCCCTCCATAACCCATAAGACCCTCGTCCTTGTCTAGCATCCTCTTCACACACCACTGGTCTGTTCTTCCTCTACGTTTTGCTGTCTCAGAATTACTTCCCGGACAAGGTCGCGGAGGATCTCATCGTTCCAGAGCAAGGCGATGCTCGCAGCGGCTAGAGTTCCAGTTCTATCGCCGCAAATCCACAGACCCATCGGCGGAAAGCTACTCGCCATCTCCAGCTCTCATCCACCGCGACGTTACGAGCAAATCCACGCCCGGTGCTCTCGATTGATCCAAGATGACCCAAACGGCGGCGAAACAGCCAAGTTACCTGCGATTGGAAGAGTTTTTGCTGCTCCTTGCAGAAGAATTTTCGATCGTCCGAGTTCCTGGCTCCCCGGAGAGCCGATTATTCACAGTCAACGATTCATCGCGCCCGGATCTTCTAAGCACTGTCACGATTTCGCGAACTCGATCAAGTTATCTGTCCGTGGACTACACCTCTTTGGGAATGGCTCGCAAAACAATCGATCCATGTTCTTTGCGGACGAATCTCTCGCGATGAGAAAAACTCTGTTCATGAGCAGAGCATAGAGAAAAGTGGAAGCAATCGCCAGCATCTTGTTCCCCAGGCTCGCGATCCAAATGGCGCTATCCACACCGCGAATTGGGAGTCGCCGTGATCGGTCAAACGTCTACTTCGTTCCGGGATTGTTCTTGGTGGGCAGCAGCAGATCGCGGCGGTGGACGAGCGCCACTTTGACTGAGATCTACCTCAACTCCTCCACCGCCGATGGATCGATCGTGAGAGAGGAGCAGCCCAGCCACGAGGGGCAGCAGCACACCGGATTTCTCGATCACGACGAGAAGGCTCTCGCGGAGATTTATTTTCTGGGTTGCTCCTGGCACCACTTTCGGCTACATTGGCCATGGAATGGAGGCATAACCATGTCAAAGAAAGATAGCTTCCTATATCAAACAATTCATACCAAAACTCTCTACATGTCCTAAAAAGAATGGATTAAGATTCAAGTTGGTTTGAGTTAAACACCAGGCGCTATAGCTTGACATCTCCATAATCGCAGTTAGACTCCCCAAACGAAAAGAAGCAAGGATCCATAGTTCTTGCCTTGGAGCAAACATCCCCACCTGATCCAGGCCCAGCGCACATAAGCCAGGGCCTCAACCCGGTTAATCCCTGAGCTTGGATGTTACAAAAAAGAATCCACGATTAAGATGTGCGAGGATAAATTTATAGCAAGAAATGGCATAGCTTCTGTAATTATCATTCACATGATAGACGTTTTTCAATTTATAAGATTTGCATGATGGGTGATTCTCCTCTTTTTGTTTCCATGGCCGTGCAAGTTGTAGTTCCAGTGGGATCAAACTCCTGGTGAAGTTTTCGTGTATGAATGTCTTCTTTGGACTCAGCAGTGCCAAGCCTGCAAGAATGATCGCGTTGATAACTTCTTCCAGGAGCCTGTCTCAAGCCAAGCTGATCCAAAGTTGGGTTTCTTCCAGCAGCCACCAAGGGACTTTTCTGTCGAATCTTCACATGAAATGTATGGGAGATGTGAACGTGTGGCTGTCTCTCGCTCGGTCTTCGATGCTGTAGAACTCACTTGGAATTTGATGCTGTCAGCATATGCCAAGAACGGGCATTTGCAGAGGGCTAAAGAGGTTTACGACTCCATGCCTGGGAAGGACTTAGTTTCATGCAATGGAATGCTTGCTGCGTACTCTCAGGCCGGGAAACTGGGTGATGCTGTCGAGTTTTTTCGAGTGAAGAGTCTTAGCTAACCGAAGCAGGGACAACACTGTGTATATTGTTGGAGGCAAGCTGCCAGTGGTCGTCTCTGCGATGTGCTGGTTGAGTTTAGGCTTGGCTGCCTGTTTCGCTGATGCCCAATTCTGGAATATGTGTAAGGTTCTGGTTTCCTTGCTCAAACCATGGATGGTGATTACAACCTGAAAGAAGAGTGGCACTTCGCTTGGATGGCACACGTATGTTTTTGTGCAAGGTCGTCAAGGACTCAGCATCCTAAGGTGGCAACACGCATGTCAATGAGGGTTCTTCTGCCTTCAAGCCCGATTCCTTTAATTCGAGGTTATAAACAGAAATTCTTTTAATTAATTAAGGACTAATTTAGAGTCTTAGAACAATATAAGTTTAAATCCTTTTAACGAGAAAAGCTCAGACAAATGGATGTTCGGGCAAAGTGGCGGCAAGCTGTGAAGCAAGCCATCAAGGTCTAAGTTCTTCTCTAGTGAGTTGTTATATAAGATCAATGGGTAAAGGTCTGGATACTCTCAAACGGCTACTGGCTTGAAGCTGTGAGTAGCTTTCAGAGTTTCTGGTTCTTAATCCCTATTGCCACAGGTTGATGAAATACGCCCCTCTGCACATACTTTGAATAAATGTGGCTGGTTGGACAAGTCTTTTTTCAGATCGTTCTTAGGTTAAAGTTGAAGAAGTCATATTATAAGTGACAGAAAAGTTGAATCTAGATCCAGTAAGTTTCATCCAAATATGCACGTAAAATTGGCCTCTTCATGACAAACAGGAAGAAAGGGGTAGATTTTGAGGTGAAGGGAAACTGGTCTATAAGGCAACTGGCATTCCTGTCCATGAAACTTATCCTCCTACATTCTTGTTTGTAATGGATCCAAATGGGATATATGCTGCATCCCTATTATTCTATACAAATTCGTCTCTTCCTTCCAGAAAAAAGATGGTTACCAGCAAGACTCCTCTGCATACATTCAACATTCCTGCTGCTCTTATGGCTCCAGCTGCTACAAAACTTGAATGATAAAGGCAAGAGATTTTTTATTTTCAAATGATTGTGACCAAAGGTATATATATTGTTTCAGAGTGTGCGACTATTGAATTGAAAAAGCATATTCTAGCATATATTCTTAATCCAATGACTAAGCTCCTTAACCCTACTTGGATTTAGCTCATGAAACTAAGCAGTGTATTCTATGAAACTATATTAAACTTTTGGTCGTTGAAATAAGGAATATCCATGCCTACTTTAGGAGCTCACTTTTTCCTTTTTCTTTTTCTTTTATATATATAGTTATAATATTTTTATAAAAATATTTTTTAACAAAAGACAAATTTCTCATATATTAGAGTATAAACCTATGAAATTTTTTTTTAAATAAAATTTTCTATTTTTAATTAAAAATATAGTTTATGGAAGAGCAACTGTAGAATGGGGTAATAATAACACACTTACTGAAAATGAAATTAACCTTATAATTAATAATGGATTTTTAGATCTTTTAACTCACATTAAAAATTATCATTCATATTCAAGAAATTTTAAGAATTTAACTGTTTTAAATATTGGTAGGGGTGTATTTGCTGTAAGAATTGAGCGTGTGGATGGAGAGCCACCATATTGTTCAACTGGTCAAACTGAAAATACAATTATTGGCATGAGAATCAAAGAAG